CATCGAACGTAGTGACCGCAATTGTCAGCACGTGACAATTGAGAGCCTTATCGACGGCCGTTTGAATGAGTTCCTCCCCCTCAAGCTAGAGTCACACTCTAAAAAGGTGGACAGACGATGATGACGTAATCCATTCACGTAGAACGGTGTAAACGTCGTCAATGCATGCACCGAGTTGTTGATGGCGAATTCCACCGCTGGCAAGAATTTGCTCCACTTCGTAAAGTGATGGACGTAACCCCGAAGGATTTTCTCAAGAACACGGTTGGTACATTCTGTCTGACCATCTGTTTCAGGGTAGTCAGAGTTTGATATCTCAAAGCACGCTCCGAGTACTTTAAACAAGGAACACCAGAACTCAGTTGTGAATCGCGGGTCCCGATTGGACACGAGTTCACGAGGCATCCATGAAGGCGCAAGACCATGCCACTAAAGACACGAGCACAAGCCGTTGCGTCAATTGATTTGGGTACATCAACCGAAGTACCATCTTTCTGAACCTGTAAACGAAACAAGAATACTAGTGTTCGCGTGAGAGTCTGCGGGGAATCCGAAGATAAAGTCCATTGAGACAGATTATCGCTACTCGGCCGGGACGGGCAAGGCTGCAACGGGGCTTGAAGGAAAAGACTGGATTTCACCGTTGACAGACCTCACAGGCCCCAATGTACCTGCGCACGAACTGATGCTGGCGGGGCCAGTAAAAGTCGCGACTCACTGTGAGATGTATTTCATCACGACCAAGATGTCCACCAACCGGTGCGTAGTGGTATTCGTACATGATACGCAACCGCAAATCACCATTCTCTGGTCCGACGATACGAGGAGTGTTGCCGGCAACACCCCAAAATCGGAGTAAGCCGTTGTAAAAACTTTGTATATATCCGTGAAGAATTGATACACTGACGACAACTGCTAAAGGTCCTTTCGGAAGGGCGAGAGTGATGACGTATCAATTTAAAAATTCCCGGATCGTACGACTTGCGTATGTCTTCTAATAAGGTTGACGACGGGAAACTCATAGTCGACGCCGCTAGAGCGGTCAAATAGTGTCAAGTTGCGCGGCCGGTTCAAAATCGGGCCGACGCGACAGAGCATCAGCGACGACATTCAGTCATCCAGGATTATACTCGACGGAGAAGATATACTTTGCGAAGAACGTCATATACCTCTCCATTCGTTGCCAGATGCGTTGACTGTTAAAGGCCGTGCGTAAAAACGCATGGTTCGTGTAGACGTTGAAGATCTATTACATAGTAGATATTCTAGACTTAACCGGCGCGCAATACACGACAAGGAGTTCCTTTTCATGGAAGGGTAAGTTCTATTTAGCCGGTTAAAGCTGACGTGATGATGGGTGAGCGTATCAATCTTTGCATGATACCTTCAAAGGAGCGCTGGAAATTAGCACGCCATGCCACCTTCTCGTCCTTTCCAATGAACGAGAGAGATAAACAGTCTTCTCGCCGAAATTGCGTTAATATTCATGCCAAGACGCCGCTGGGCCAAGAAACTTACAAAGTCATTTGAAATTTGTAGGCACCGGCCAGCCGGTGATCGTCTTGATCTTTTCTACAATGGGCCGGACGATGTGCACACCCACGATACATACAAGAAAAGGTATTTCGCTAGCAGCAAATATGCACTTCTTGAGTTTGGCGTAGAACATATGCTCGCGCGTTAGTGTAAGAACGTTCCAGACGTGGTGTCGCTGCATTTTCACATCCCACTGTCCATCCATAGCACATTTATTGATATGAACTTTAGTAAAGTAGCTGGGCGCGAACACTTTAACAGATATCAACAGATTCGTTACACACCTGTTGAATGTGTCAAAGGCATTACTTAGCCATTGTGGCATTACTGACCACTCCCAAATCATACCGCTTGGGGTGTTCACTGAAGTATAGGGAGTGTTTCTTTCACGCACAAGGATATGATAGAACCCGCCCATCAGATCCATCGATGAAAAGATGGCGATCTTTTCCATATCATCTATATTGACATTCTTCCTTGATATCGGCGTTTGAGCCGGTGCAGTCGCATAATTCAAATTTTTGAGAGCGTGTACTATCCGCCACCCTCCTGTGGCCTTTGGCACACAAAAGTTCGGAGAGCCCTGTGGAGAGATGTACTTCCTCATACGACCAGCAGCTAAGCGATAAGCAAAGAATCTGTTGATCGCTAGTACTTGTTTATGAGGCAGTGATCATTGCTTGATGACACAGTACTTTGAACCCGGTTTCAAGTCGATTGCGTGACGAGTACCTCTATCCTTAGGTAACTCGCACGGTACTATTTCTATAAATACATCCCTAAATTCTATCAACTCATCGTAGAGAAGAATTGATGTGAGCGATTACCAAGATTGGGATGTACATCGCTCAATTCGAGTCTTCTCATCATTTTAACTCTCATCCGTTATTTGAGATGCTGAAAACTCGTTCATCTTCGGCAATAAACTGTCTCTGTCACTTCATGAAACGTACTTCCATTTTTTATTGGGAATTATCTCCACAACTCTAGCCTCTTGGACTATTCCGTCTCCGTTTGACCAATTCTGGCAATCGGTTGGTCAGGATGTTAGTGAAATCTACTAAGGAGGCAGCCATACCCCGGTCCGCTCGACTTATTCGAAGGGGTGGGTCTTCGGCGCTTGCATTGTAATGCAGTCGCCGGGAACTTTCCCCGCAATGCAATTGTAAGTCATATCGTGATCTTGTGTAGTCTTTCTAACGACTGAACCACACGTGGGGCCATCGCACTCACTCGTAGTACATCCACATGTTACTGGGCGCTCCACGGAGTTCATCGGACGGTCATCGGATGAACAAGTGACAACCGTATCAACTGTTCTGCAATACCAGCTGACTTGTAGTTCGTACCTTCTGAGGCACAATAAATTAAGGATGAAATCAAATTTGTCATCCAAGTCCCAAACGGTGAAGTCATCATCGTATTCGACTTCTTTCAGTGTGTAGGAGATTCCTACTACACGTTTCATCACTGCTACGCATTCGCCTGTCTCGAGGCGCACCGTCATCCTCGTTGGAGGGATCTCGCGCTCAATTTATTTCAGCTCTCTGCAGTCTAGCAAATGGCGTTGTACAAATTTGTTGGAAGCCCCGCAATCGACTAAGAAGTTCGAACCAAATTTCTTTTGCCGCTTCGAGATTCAAGATAATGAGATTTTTCTCATTACCAGGTGCAGTAACGCACAATGATTGCGTGCTGGGATCAACTCTCACCAAGAGGCCTGCAAATTCACTGGGCGTTGCTGGATCAGTAGGATGCTCCGCACCTACTGACCCTGACGGTTTTTTTGGTCGTCCATCATGGTGTTGCGTTTTTGCAACGGCATCCCACCCACTCCTCGGATCCTTCTTGGTTGCTTCACGGTTACTGCCTCCTGCGGTATGTATTACCGCGTTCGGGGCACTGCGTTCGTACGCATAATGACCTGTCTTTTGACATCAATTGCATGTTTAAAATTTCTTGTAATTGCTAACACGAGAACTCTCGCTCTCCGCGTGATAGAAATCCATCGGTTCTGAGCTCCCGCTTTCATGTCGCCTCGGAGGACGATAGGAGTTTGAGCTCACGTGAGCTTGTCCACGCTAAAGTCTTCTTGTTCCGCAGCTTGTATTGTCCAGGGCATCGAATTCTAACCGGAAATGTACTGAATGCACGAGTGTACATCACGTTTGCCTTGTTTGGGTTTCAGGAGTTCAAAGCGAGTCTTTAACACGGCTCGCGGCAGTTTTAATGTTTGCCTAAGCAGTGACTTGAAGGCTTCTAACGACCAAAGACAAATGGGTCTTGTATCCTGAAGCTTAGACCCACGTCTTTACAAGTTCTTCCAAGTTCGATTGAGCAAATGCAATTTGCACATCAAAGATGTGACAAGTCTTTATGGCTTCATCTAGCTCAGCAAACTATCTCATCAGAGACTCTTAATCAGCTGCTTCGTATTCAGAGATGTCAATATTCAGTGATTCGGGTCGACGTCAGTGTCGACTCGGTAGCAGTGGCCTGCTGCTGTCTCAACAGTTCGAACTGTTAAGCATCATGTCTTCTCAACAGCTCTCTCTGTTGAGAACCTTTTTGGTGAAACAAGTTTGCCTTTACCCGTTCAGCGTCAAGTTCAGTTCGAATGAACTTGGCGATGGTGGTGTGCTGTCCGTCTGACCCCAGGGCGAACAGCATTGCGCCAACAGCTTCTTGCCCTATCGTCGAGCTCATCGTTCGATAGCATCCCATTAGATTTGACTCAAATAGGAGTAGCTCTCGTGCATTGACTGGAAGTCTTCCGCCTCATCATCATCTAACATGTTCATAGTCGTCGGGCGCAATACAAAGTGCTACCAGGTGCAACATGGCAACGGTCGCTTGTACTGTCACAGTACGAGCTAATTACACTGGACACAAAGTGATGTGGTGCCTCAAGACTTTACGTACACGTGTCGTGCAGAGGATAGTTCTAACACGAGAAAAGAGAAAAAGTAGAACTGTATTTGGTACAGCTGATCTCCTTTCAATAAATCCTATTCAGTCTTCATTTAACTACATTTAAGCATGCATTGTAACAATCTGCTCACCACTGATTGCGTGCCTCTGTCGTGGCTGGACTTTGTTGGTAAACATCTCGATCCTGTATCATCCAATGAGCAGTGTGTTTCATCTGCGAATCAATTTTATCTCTTAGTCAAAATTGTGAGAATATTGTGTTGCCCTAACAAAATATTCGTTCTTGAAATTTATCTTGTGTAAACTACCATGTAACGGAGGCACCCTGTTACATCTTGCCTTCCCTTATTTTTGCCGTCAACTTAATCAAAATTATCAAAAATGACGTCAATCATAGAATACCCAATTTTTCATGAAACCTGTACAAAGAAGGTCAATCGTACTCTGTCACAAACAGACACATTTGGTTGTCACTATTCCATTTGTATTCAGCAATTACCACCTTGTCGCGCTCGAAACTACAGGTCAACTCCATGACAGCATGGCAGGACGAGTGGACTTGTGCACGACTGTCGCTGCGTCTTCGCGACAATCAGCTCTTTCAGGGTCACCACTTACGTTGTTACTGTTATGTTTGACGTATCTTCTGACGATTGTTGAGTTGATTGTACCAGGCGAGACTGTGGACGTTCAAGTGTGTGCTGAGGTCATGCCATCGTTTATCAGGTCTAAAACTCCGACTGAAAAGCTGAAGGAACGTGGAAATTCTCCAGTGCTGCAGCGCTGGAAAGATCGTTTCGAGGGAGCGCGCGTCCACATTCGGGTCGAGGAGGTTGTGGTCTCGGAAACAGACATAAAAGCCGCAAGCAGCTCCGCTCCAAGTCTATCTCCTATACTCCGACAAGAGACACAGGTTTCCCACGTCGTTGAGGGAACAGCGGGGGAAGGAGATGGGGTAGTAGTGGTGCTGAAGGCTCGGTTGGACCTCAAGGTCTGTCGTGAGTTCTGGGACCGACCGTTGCTGCTGGTTGTGCACATGGCACCGAAGGAAGGCGCTGTCCAAGTTGCTCAAGGGGATAATGATGACGACGTATCCCTTGATATCAGAGATAGAGAGTCTTTCGGACCTCTACTGCTACAAGACGAGTATGCAAGCGCTCAACTTGTTTCTCTCACCCGGGAGCAGGCTCAGCCAACGCTGCTGATGACGCGGCGTGTCGAGCAGCATATTGTAGTCACAAAGCCGTTGCGTCTTGCGCTTGAGTCTCGTGAGCTCGCTGGACAACGCGTCGGGATACTGGCTCGAGTCTCAAACAGAAACCGGTCGTTAGCATTGTCGGTGCGAAACTTGCGTCTTCACCTGGACCAGTCGTTAAGTGCTCAAAACGCAGAGATGTGTCGCTTTCGTATTGTGGGTAGTGACAAAGTGCTGATCCCGGTTGTGTTGCAACCTCAAGAGCGCTACAGCTTCCTTTTCGTGTTGGAGCCTGCAGAAACGTCGATGCTGCACGCGTCGCCCGGACTAGAAGGAGACAATGAAGTGAAAGTCGCGCCATCCGTATTGGATTTTGCGACGACTTCCACTCCTCAGCGTACATCATTGACGCTGTCTTGGAAACCAATTACTGGTTCAGTCAATGCTACTACAGAAACTTGTACAATCGATTGGCACCCAAAGGTACCTTCGGAAGTGTTTACCTCGCTGTTAAATGGCGGAGACAAGCTTCGAATTTGCATTCGAAAGCTGGTGACGAATCTGCTGCAACACGAAAAAACGCTCTGTGCTGATTTCAAATGTGTGCGACTTCTGCCGAACTCGGTGTTGCAGATGACCGTTGCACCTTTTGCATCCAGCGTATCGATCGGAGTCGCCGTCCCGGCCAGTGTGACGGTGGTGAATCGATCACTGTGCACCGGTTTCGACTTGACGTTAGTGCACCCCTCGCAAGTCACAGATGTCATGGATGGGAATAACTGTGCTGCACCAGTCGTTGTGGGATTTGAAGGCTCTCAAAGATTGGGGTACGTTGGGCTTACTTGTGCAATTTCTTGATTCATTGTGGTAACAATTTCGGCTGTCTCTAGGTTCATCCGTCCAGGCATGAGCGTCGAGCAAAGTATGCACATTGTTTTTCTGCGATCGGGAATGTGCAGGCTAGGACCAATAGTGCTGGTTGACCACTTGACACACACATGCTTCGTATCTGATGACTGGAATGTTTTCGTGGACATATGAACGGCCTGATCATTATTGAGCTGCTCGATGTAGTGTGCTCTATTCAGCGGCCACCTACCTACCTGCAAAGACTAGATGGCATTGAAAATGAGTGGCGTCATTGCAAGTAAGGGCTTCCTCTTCAGTAGTTGTTTGTGGCCGACGCGAACACTATCAGCAGCAGTGGCATATTGGATCGGCAACAAGCAGAGGGCAAATGGTGCTGTGTGAGTGATTTCTGGCCCAACCTATTTGCAGCTTGGAATGATGAGAACTTGTGCGACGACGAGGCAGAAGCGTGTAACTGGCGCTGTACACATACGGAATAAGTGGAGAAACACGAAAAGGAGATGTGACCAGATATCGTGCGCTGGAGATTTTATGGGTACCGTGGTCAAAGTAGATGGCTGACCGAGACAACAAACAGTCCCAGCTAAGAAGATACGGACAGTGATCCTCAGTGCTTCTTCACGTCTGCAAATTGAGACAAGCAGACGCAACATGTGTCGAGAACAGTTCGAATGAGAAGGCGGACTGGCACGCGGTTACCATGCGACTGCCGCCGAGTGGTGATGCGGGTACGAAATTCGAACTTGACCTCGTATGGTCCAAGTTGCTCAACGCGTCAACCGTCGAAGTTATGTATGCTTGTTGCAAAGTCCAAAGAAATTATAAATGAGCGCAAGTTTGCTGTTTTGATCCGGTACTTGATAATCTATTGGAAGTAATTGGAAGTGACACTGGAGATTCGTAGATGCTGATACAATATTGCGTCCGTTGGTAGCGCACTGTTTCGCTGGGGCGGTGGAGATGTCGTTGGGATCTATTTGATTTTCATTTTTCCTAACCGTATGGTCACACCCAAAGCTACGCTTCTGTCTGACCGCTGCTTTTTACTAAGATTGCTAGCTGTGTGGATATCGCCATTTGGGTTAGGGATACACCACCTCGCGATATTCGCTGCCCATCGTCTGTGGTGTCGGGATATGGCTCAGTTGTACGAGCACAGCTACACGCGACTGTTTATGCCTAATAACGCCATTTGTTCTGGGTGCGACAGCTATGCAGTTTGATCTAGCGATTGCTGGGAACATTGGTTGGTACCTCACTACTGGTCAATTTTGGTCTACAGCTTTGTAGAATGTTACAAGAAGTGTGCCCTGACTACAAGAAGTGTGCCCTGATCTAGTGACATGGTCCTGTCGCAATGAACTGATACGGTGGAGGTGATACCATTTAAGTTGGGATGGGCAGCTTCCTTGCCCATGCTGTACGGTCACAATCGCTCTCTCGACCTGGACGTAAGCAAATGGATGCATTCTTTTTTGCGGATGCTAACGGCGATAGCTGCAATGACTGAAACACTGACGCGACCCGGGTGTGGCCTACAACTGCTGTCTGCATCCTGTGCATCGCCAGTCGTGTTGGCACAGACGTTACAAGACCAAGTGAGTATCAGGTTCACATGGATGACTCGCATAGGAAGATGCATCAAACATGAACAAAGTGTCCGTCATTATCTTCACATATGAGCCGGTGCGAATACACCACGAGCGACACATTCAACAAATGAAGAGAGCGCCGTCGCTTACAGCCATGGGGACCACGTGGGATACATTTCCCGCTGCCGCTCTGGACTTGTCGCCATCTCGAGCAGTTCTTCGACACCCTTTCCTCGCGGAGCTTTGTCGTTCTCCTTCTTTAGCGATACTCCGCGGATTCTCTCCATTACAAGACTCACGTTTGCTTCCACGCGCTGCTGCACTTGAAGTTCCACGCGTCTCTGTGTCAGTGCCGGTGAAGCCGGACCAGGGGACGCATTAGGCGACGATGCACGTCCAGCAGTTTGCGGTTCAAGAGACAAAAGTCGGGTCTTTGACGCGTGCCATGAGAGCAAGTCATCTCTGAAGAAGAGACACAGCTGATCGCTCAGGATATCCTCTTCATTCATAAGGGCTTCCGCAGTGGCTGTCATCCCGATACTGAATGGTCCCTGTACTCCTGCGCGTGTCATGAAGCTATGTAGATTGCGTGTAAGGCGGAAAGGCATTGTCGTCGCCGCCTCCAAAAGCCCGCTGCTGGCATACCCAGGACGCAACTCCGTGCTCACTACTCGACCGATGCGACGTGAGAAAAGCACGCGGTGGGGGGCGCGGTCTCCGACAAAGAGCGCATACGACAAGAAACTTGATAGGGCCAGATGCTTCGTAAACTCGCTGCGGAACTGGAAATACGCGTCACCATGCGCCGAGATGCCGTGCACATACTTAGCCAGGAGAGTCTCGGGTACGTGCTCGCTACAAATTTCGTGAAATGCACGGGCTTTTGCCTGCGCAACACGGTCCTCTTCCTGCATACCCCGGTTGTTTTCTGCCCCAGTCGCTGCAAAGGCTTCGCTCACACGTTCTCGATACAACTCAACTGGAACGTCCGGATCCTTGTTCTCGATTTGACAATCGAGTTCATAGATTTCGCCAAGCGTAACAAAGTCACGGTTGTCCTCCAGTAGCCGCACGCGTGGTGTCAGAGGGATCACCTTTGGCACGTGGAAGACTGTGTTACGCTTCCTGGTTTCCTTGTGGCGCAGCAGCAGTCGATTCAGTAGTAAATACATCTGCATCATCCTTTCATCTGTGCGGGTAATGTGCGTCATCGCGTACTGTACCAGGAAGTAGTAGGATCGGCCGTCGCTGCCACCCATTGCAACACGTCGCTGAGTAAAGCCGTTACGCAACAGCACGTCCACCGTACTCTCAAAGTGCTGAATACGCGCGTGTAAATCCTTGATAGGCTCACTGTCCGAGACGTACTGCCCTAGAACCTCCATGTTGGAACTGCTGAGTTCCATCAGGTGACGACTGTACTGCTCTAGATAAAGCTTACCAGCATTTCGTTTACCAACCTTCTTTACACGCAGTTGCAGTAAGCTCTTCCACCGCTTCAAGCGATTCATGATCTCGTAAAGAGTCACGGCCGCTTCGCCTTGCTGCTGTGCATGCTCGTCTCCGAGCAGGGTAAAGTCACGCTCGAATGCGTCCTTGAACTCCTCAACAAATGCCTCATGGCTTTCATTTTTCTGGTGTGGAAGCAACACGAAGAGCTTCCGACACACTCTTGCAAGCGCAGCCCGCAACATCTTCGGCACAGGCTCAGTCTTTGTCAATCTTGAAAGCTGATAACACTTCAGAAGAAGTGCATGGACAGCCGTGAGAAGCTCTTCTTCTGGCTCCGGTCGAAATCGGGTAATCAACTCTTCTAGCATACACTCCATCTCGAACGTAAGGGAGTCGTGTGATCGACGCAAGAAGTTCAACAAGTCCTCCGTGTATTGTACAGGGCCGACTTCAGCCTTCAGTGAATGGCCGTCACCATTGTTGGCACGAACCTTTTCAGTCCATGTATCCAGTGACAATACGACGCCAGGAGCTGCATTGAAAGCTGCGGGTGTCGGGCAAGGTGGACCAACTAGACCAGGAACTTCCTGGACTCGTGCAATCGGCAGAGTCGATGGGACCCCGACAACGTGTCCGGACTTTGTCCGGTAGTACATATGCGCCCCAGATGGAGGCATTCCACCTGTAGAAGGCGACGCGCCTGTTGAGCCTACTGCACCTGGTGCTTGTGGTTGGTTGGTAGGCATCATAGCATTGTCACGGTTTTCTAGAAAGAAAGCTCGCATCGTGTAATACAGCGCTTGAGGAAATTTGGCTGAGAGGCCCCGCAGCAAGCCTCGAATTTGGGGTGCTTCTGGACGCCCCAGTGCCACCAGTAGCTGTGGGATCCACACGATCCATATCCAGATCGGCAACTGCTTTCCGTGTGTCTCAAAAGCCTGGATAAGCACTCCTCGTCGGTCATCCATGTTCAGCAACCAAAGCACACGCGCAATCATAAGACGTGCTGAATTGCACCTGTGGTGAATAGCCTGCAAGTAGCATGCAATGGTCTGTGAAGCCAGCGCGAGATCTTTCTGCACGAGGAACAGCCGGTAGCAATAGTGCCCCCACGAAAGCCACCCTTTGCCATAACTATCGCAAATTTGCAAACAATGTGAAAACGTCTGGTTGGCATCCGGAAGCGATCCTTGTGCCTCTAAGAAGAGTGCCTTTAGCCGAAACATCTCCGCCTTCTGCCGAAGGCTGAAATAGTCCAGATTAGTTGTGTTCAGGATGCTAAGTCCACTGGAATATTCGGTAGCACTTTCGTAGCAAATGCTCACTTGCTCACGGAGCTTTGAAAAGGCGTCCTGCACATCCATCGCTGGAATCAAGTACAATTTTGCGAGCGCGCCAAGACACACGTCGGGTAGTCGCTGTTTACGAGCCGTGTGCGCAAGTTTGATCACAGACCAGGGACTATCGTGCATGCAGGCAAGCACCTGCGCGTCGCTCCACGCAAATGTTGTCTTGACCACTTGGAACATGTGTGATCTCCACGTTAGAATATCGTCCCACAGTAGAATGGGTTCCCACTTATTTGGTAAGCGCTCCCGCCACGTATTGATAGACGGCTTCAGGTTCGGCAGACCCGCGTGTTGCGTACTTGCAGACTTAATGTCTTCCATCATCTGGATCGACTCTTTCACCTCAACAAACTTGTGGAACAGATGCATAAGTGGCAAATGAGCGCGAGAAAGAATTCGTGGTAGCCCTTGCCATTGGTGCAGCGCTAACTCAGCGGTCTGAGCGGTAAGGTTGTCGACAACACTGCGCTTGTCTGCGTCGAGAATTGAAATGTACAACCGTTGTAGACGGGTCTGTGGACATCCTAGCTCTGCTGAGGACTGCATTGATGGCAACAACAGCAACTGTTTTGCCGAAGCCCAATCTCCACGTTTCCAAGCACAATCGAGAAGCAATTCCTGATTCTGCGTTGACTTGGCGAAGTCATTCATGAGCTGCCATTGGCACAGTTGCTTCGCACATCCTACCCAACGCTCCTCCCACAACCTCAACTCAAAGAGATTTACATCCTTGGCGCTAACACGTCCGCTTTGAGTTTTCGACAGCATAGAGAAATATTCCTCCTGCGCTTCATGGACGCAGCCAAGCGCTTCCAGAGACAGTGCTGTTCGCGTCTCGGACTGCTCGACATTTTCAAGACTCAATCCGATACGAAGATCATCCTCGCTCAGCTGCTTGTAGATCGCACTGAGGGCTTCAATCCATCGCAGCCGGCTCTCGACATTGAGGTCCGGTTTCTCCGCGTGAAACTCGCAGAGCCTCAGCGCACAGCTCCACACGTCATAGGCTGACGCTATGTGCAGAACAAGCTCAGGTGTCATCACTGGCGCACTAGGGCTGGTGCTTATGATTCCTTTCATCAACGTCTGTACGACATTTGTACGGCGTAGAGTAGACTGACCAAGCGGCACGTTGAGGTCACGCTTGTTGTACTTAGACGCTAATATCTTCAGCAATTGACCTGTCATCTGTACCTGGTCCGACTCTTTCAGCAAATTCCACACTGCACTGAACAAACTTACCCACAACTCTTTGGCTAGCTCCAAATCAATGTGTGCTAACTCACGTAAACTGGACGTGAGCTCTGACGATTCCACCTGCCCAAAACCGTCAAGAAAACCAGTGTGGACAGACTTTTTCGTCCACGCTCTATTTGCTGAAGATGTTTGACTTGGCAGAACAGAAGCGATTGGTTGCGTTGCCGGGGAGATGGCTGCCAATAAAGTTTCGATTGCAATCACAGGCCAGTATCTAGTTCCACAAGCTTGCCAATCCTGGCGAAGCACGAGTTGTAGGCGAGCCACGGGACCAGGTCCGCTAGCTGCAAAGAAAATTTTCAGGAATTTCTCCCGCGTTGCTGGATCTGGAGCAAGCAAGCCCGCCATAAAGTGTGTCGTGAGGCTATGACTCTGTGTAGTCGGGCTCAGGTGCAACAGAGGAACGTGACTGCTGGAATTGCCCGATGGTGGGTCACAGAGCTTGAGTACCAGCTGGTAGTATTCCTCATTTAGCGGAATAGCAGCTATCTCGTTGAGCCGGTCGAACGTTGCCATCTTGCTTAGCATAGTCATTGTGTCTTTAGTAGTCAGTATTTGCTTATGAGCATCGGTGGAGACAATCATCTTCGCCACAATCTTTGTGATTTGAAGCAGAAGCGGAATGTTGTATGAGCCCTCCAAACAGTGCACCAGCAAATTCTTATACAGACGGCGGTGTTCACTCGTCGTGAAAGTACACTTTGCCAGCAAAGTGTAGCACAAGACAAGGAGCTCGATCGGTCGCTTGCCATCACCATCAGTGTACCCAGCCGGCGTGCAGGCAGTGTTTGTACCAGTCCCCATCTTTTTTTTCATCGCACTGCCCGCCTTTGTGTTCACCATTTCGACACCGAAACACTGATCGTTACTCCTTCCCTTCTTCTTCGACGCAGATGTATCACCTACTACCTCGCGCTTGTTTACAGCCTTATTGACCGCTAAGTTGCATCGTCCCGCCAGCAGCTGATTCCATTCGTTCACAATGGCTAACGACGGTGTAGCCATCACTCGGTTCCGTCCAAACGAATCCACTACTGCTTGTCCACTTTCTACACCTATAGCTGTGTCATTACTCCCGATATGTTTCCCACCATGAGTACCTCCGCCTCCAGCGGTAGACGGCTGAATCAGATGCTCACGTGTGAAATGCTGCGCTAGTTTTAACAGCGCCGGGGCAAAATGATCGACGAAATCTGGAGCCATGTCGGCTAGGCCACTCAGCAGTTTCAAAGTAAACTCGCCGGGGTAGCTCGAGGATGACATAGTAGTCCGGGGGTGTTGTGAAAACAGCAAGCGCATGCGCGCTGCCTCGTGATTGATCAATGGATTGATGCCACTCGGATCCTTCCGCTGCTCGCCTGAAGTACATCCTACTACAGCATTGCCACCCGGTCCTCCCTGCTCTTTAGGTTTCGGTCCGGTCACACTTTGTGCCACATTTTTTCCCTTGGATTTTGAGGCCAACACGCTCGGTCCACCGGACAAGCCTGTCCTATCGACGCCAAAATCTTGCTGAAACATCGCTGCGTTCACGAGACGCTCGTTGATGATCTCACGAAGCCACGGATAAAATTTGCAGGCAACTAAAGGTTGAGGTGCGCGAGATGGCGGATACAACTATACAAGCAAGCAATCGGTAAGCACATGACTAAAGCGAAGCGCTACACAGCACAATTAAACGTTCGCGCCATAGTAATAATACATCACATACCTCTGCCATGCGGCGTAAGAACCTCGTCAGGCTCGCTTGAATTTCATGGCTCTGGCGATCGAAACACGGCTCCAGCAGTTTCATTATACGCGGTGCGTACTGAATGACATATGGTACCGGACGTTTGGACATCAGAACGACTTCGGGTGAGATTAAAGAGTTCAAGATACCCAAGACAGCGTCGAGAATCGCGAGCGACGATAGAGGAGCACCTTTCGGAATAGCAAAGAATGAGGGCATCACTGTCGGTAACAATGGCGCTGGTATCGGACCTTGTGGTCCTGTTGATCCAGTGGTAGTGGTAGTTGCAGCAGCGTTCATACTAGCCTGCAAATGTTGCTGCTGTCGGAGAACTGTCTCCGCAGTCACAGCGATGAGCTTGTCAAAGTACGAAAAGCGGATGGATGCAGACGGCCACAAACGAAGTGCCTTGTCAAATAGTTCACCACAAGTTTTCGCCAATCGGCTCGTTTCCTGCTTATCTGCAGATGCAAGTGCGAAGCGGAAAGCAAAGTTGATCACCAAATCAACCATAGCGCCACTCAGCTCAAAATCGTCTTCGCTGTTCGCCACCCGATTTGCTTCTGGTGGTAGCGACGCCGCAACTTGTGTTTGCTGCTGGCCAGATCCAGCAGCCAGTGTTCGCGACGGGACTTGATTCTGTGATCCGCTATTTCCACCTCCACCAAGATGTGTACTCGCCTGAATACACAAAGCTTTTGCATCTGATGGACAAGCACCTTCAGCTGCCAAGATTTTCCGTTTCTTTGCAGCATGATCGTCTGATGTATTTTCCAACGCTGCTGCTAAGCTCATTGCGGGCAAACTTCGCTTTCGCTCTTCGGCAGGGCTTGAGACCTTTGGTCCAGAACAAGTACCTCGCATAGTCAGTCGATCTTGACGTGTCTGCTCCCACGAAATGACCAGATCCACAATATTCACCGCCAGCCTACGATTGTCTGGCGTACTACTCGGAGGAATTGCCAAGCGGTTCAGTGAATTCACCATGAGGGGAATAAACTGGCCGCGGAACGGATAAAATAACGCTGGATGACGAACTATCAGAAACCAAATATGCACGAGCTGCCCAAGCACATGACCTTCTTCGTAAGCGATCTTCTTCGTCCACTTGATGGCTTTGATAAATTCGTTGGACGGCAGTCGATTTGGCAAGGCCGGCAAGAGAATATCGAACGCTTTGCGTACAAGAAAACGTGCATCCATCTCATGTGTCCGCAACAGAGCTACATACACTTGCAAGACAATTTTCGGCGGAGTATCGTACACGGAGATAAACCGGCAAACATTCACGTACGCCCAAAGCTTGGAAGTCAAGTCATGAGCCTTCAGGTGGTTCCATGCAAACTTTATCACTTCCTTCCGGTAGTCCGTTACGTACTTGCTCATGTGCTGAATGAGCAATGTACCTAGCTTGAGCAATTCAATTTGAAGGCTTTGCATCGCATCCGGTGGAGAATCCTTGCTCGCCAAAATCTCACGTAACATCCACATAACTGTGTCAAGGTCCACCACGTCGATATTGTTGACGTTCGGATCCTCAAACGACGCAGTTAAGACGGGCGTTATTAACAGCTGAATGGCATGTACCTTTAACTCCTCGGATGCACCAGGTTCACGAAGCATGCGCAGAAATAGTCGGACAAGGTTGCGCTTGTTTGCAGCACTGTACTTCGTCGCAACTTCTTCACGATAAAACATCTGCAAGAAGCTATAATCAAAAGGCGTTCGGTGTAGAAACACCGAGACCATATCCAGTGGCACCTGCACGTCTTCTTGCTTGACACGACTGTACGTAATCAAACATTTGATGAGCAACTTAGACTCAAGGTGGAACTTAATAGGGAGCCGATCATGCCCCGCAAGCCGCTGAATACGGGCTGACGATCGCCAAAGCTTTCTCAAGCAATCGATGATCACCGTCTGTGACGCCAACCACGACGGATGGAGCTTGCTAATTGATCGGATTAATCGCAATCCTTGGTAATGCAGTTCTAATGCCTCTCGCTGGGCACTGGATGTAAATGGACCACTGGGGACAGCAGTTGAGCTGTCGCCCAACGCCAGAGATGACCCTTGGCTTTGAGCTCGAGCGAGTTTTGCCTGAGCTTGGGCATTCGCACGATGTACGTATGTTGCCTGGGCCTGTTTCGCTTTTTCCTGCGCTTGCATTGGCTTCAGTCCTTGCGCTTGTGCAGTTGCAAGAGCTTGAGCATGAACTTTCTGGGCGTTCACTTGTATTTGAGCTTGTAGCTGCTGTGCTTGCTGCTGCGTGACCAGTAAGTTCATCATTGGATTAGGCAGGGAAGCTTGCATAGCTGTAGACGAAATGTGGCTCTGAGCTTTAGCAATGTACTCCTTGCTGGCGAATTGAGCTTTCGTTTGGGCTTGCACCAGCGACAGTCCTTGTGCCTGTGCTACTGCTAGTGTCTGCGCATGCAATTTTTGCGCATTGGCCTGAATTTGCACTTGTGACTGTACCTTCAAGGCTTGCTGAGCACTTACTTGAGACTGCGCTTTCACTACGTATGCCGCACGAGCTTGTGCCCCACGAGCCTCCGCCGCAGAGGCTGTCATTCCTTGAGCCTGAGCAGTTGCTACAGCCTGTGTTGCCGCTTTCTGTGCATTCAACTGAATCTGAACCTGCACCTTGTCATCACTTGACGCGCCTGCACTCGCATTGGTGTCTCCGAAACTAGCGCCAAGCTTAAGAGCTGCATTACACGTTGCCTCCAGCACTGATTCGGCCCCTCCATCATCAATAATGACCGCACGAAGAGGAGCTGCCTCTGGCAGCTTGATAAGTTGCTGGAAAAGCGACGAATATTTCTCTTCAACCAAATGCTCACGCTTCAAAAAGAACGAGACGGTCATGGACGCGTAGCGGTTCAAAAAACGCGTCAGTGGACTTCGATACGGCGAGCTCATTTTGCCGTAGCTTCCGTATTTTGACAGCACGGCCTCAAGGTCCACCACACAATTAATGAGTGGCTCCAAAAACGCATCATTCGGGGGCAGCAGGTGAAATAGGTCCACAATCGCTGCTGCTACAGTGGGTTCTTCGCCTCGCTTCCAAATTCCTGCGTTGATAATTCGGTCCGGATCCCGCCACTGCTTCAAGTGTTCCAGTAGCTTTTCCCCGAGTGTCACGTTAAAACAGCTGCTCAACAGCGTCAATAGACGGGATAGTCCTTCAAGTAATGGTAGCTTAAGCTTCCGATAGTCAGCCAGGTTTAGAAGTACAGGCCGTAAACACTGCTGCAAAAGCTCCTTCGGTAGAAACACATCCTTGTTTTGCTCGTTCAGCTGGATCACGTCTGTTAACGCATCCTGAGCTACCTGTACCAGCTCTGGGGGTTGACCCGTCAGATACCGAAAGAATACACCCACGAAGCGATTGCGATACTCGGGGTTCTGATTAAGGTCATCGGGCGCTGATAGAAACGCCGCTCGGAGGAGTTTTGCGGCGGCAATGCGCAGTTCACACGCTTGCGACAGTCCAAATGGATATTCTTGGGCCGAAACACTTGAACCAGGGATTGCTGGCGTGGCGTCTCCAGTATTGTTTGGACTCTCAGCCCCGATCATTGTTACTCCATCGCGCTGTGAGTCCTCCGAGATTAGCTTCCACACATCCTGAAGAAAAGTCATGATCTCCTTTGTAAGCGAAAAGATCGGTGGATCTAGTGACAGTGCGAACGCCATCGCGTCCACATAACCCGTCCTGGTACTGCTAGGCAACATGCGTAGATTGCACCCAGTGATCTGCTTACTGATCAATTGATGGTACGGATAAAGCACGGCTGAAACACTTGTTTTCTGCAGCGACGCCACCGTGGTTATACAGTGTTTCGCATACTGTCGTGTTGGTGCATTTGGACTGAGGAGTTCCACCACAAACATCTGAAATACCTCGGTATCCTGGAAGGCAACACACGACAAAAAGCCTTCAATCTTAGCAGCATCGTCGCCGAGTCGGTCCACATATCCGACACGAACTTTCCAAGCTGTTTTTACAGCTTCCACTAGTGTCTCACCGGTCTCAGAACTTATGGTCGTACTCAGTTCCAGTGGATGGTCTGAAAGGACGAAGAACAACGCCTTCATTATCGTAAGCTCATTTTCGTGACACCACTGAGTCTCTAGCGAATTGATGAGAAGTTTGATGCCGATTACACCTCCCAGCTTCTGACGCCAACTTCCCTTGCCGTAACATCCATGCACAAAAACCTCACAAATACTATTAAAAAACGCACCCCCGCGTTCTATAGCTAACTGTGGTGAGTCAAACTGCGCGACCGCCGTCTGAATGATAGAAGTAACAATCCCTGTTGCGGCATCGACGGTACGTTGATCAGGGGAACCTAGCGCTACTGCTGTTACTTGCACAAACGAATAGAAATCATTCGTCACGTCGGTATCCGCCATTTCGGCGGCGCCGTATGTCGCTTGGCGTATTGTTTCGATTCGTTTTGACGTCGCCAGATTTCGCCCGGGCGATAGGCCTCTTGTTGCTGCATACAATGTTGACGGATGCAACGACGAAAGCACAGCAACATCAGGCTGTTCACGTGAGCACTTGGCTAAAGATAATAGGGTTAAGTGACCTGCAATGCCTTTCAAAATTTCCTTCGCCTCCGAACCAACATCAATATCCACCATCGCCTCGAACAATCCTTGCAGTAGCTGTTCACGTGTGGATCGTAATGCCTCCTGCAAAATCACTCCCCGCGGTGGTTTCGTATGCTGTGCACCCACGTTATTTGCCATAACCTCATTTTTATCTACCTCTTCACCGGCATTCGCATAGTGGTTGACGTTAAGTGATACTAGAGCCGCGCGAGACACGAAAGAAAATGCCGTACGTTTATGCCGGAGAATGAATCCGCGGATTTTTCCTAATGTCTCTGTCTCCAACTGAAGCGTCTTGTCATCTTTCTCAAGCAAGAAAGAGGAACTAGCTAAATTTTCACTTTCTTCAAACTCGTCAGCATCGGCAAGCCGCGAATCAAACTTGCCACTGTTACTACTGCGCTCCACCGAAGACTTTCGCAAATACATACGGAGTATTTTTGTTGCCTGCGCAACCAGCACATCCATCTCCATCGGGAATTTGTTATTCATCGTGAGTATGACGCCATCGCCCATGTCGATATCATTGTCGTCCCCTGTTTCACTCCATTGAAATGTGAACGCTAATCGAGTGAACGCATGTTCTTGGTAGTCTAAGTTCAGCGAATCCATGAGATATTGTCGATTTCGCCCGCCGATTTTGCCAAGGATCCGCATAGCTAATTCACCATACGGGTACGGAGGTGGAATAAGGTGCGTATTCAGTGCCTCAATGATCTCCGTAAGCAACCGATCCTGAGATGTCATAATGGGATAAAGAAAGTCTGGGTTGAGATTATCTACCCAGAACTCAAGCGTCCGTAGTCCTAAGTACGCGAGCTCACCACGCGATAATATCGCCCGCACGACCGATTTCATTAGAGAAGGTAGGTACTGTAGTAGTGAGCTCAATCTTGCGGGAATCGTCAGGCACAGCTCCAGAAGCACCTCCTGCATTGCTGGTTTGGCCATGTGCTTTTGCAACCGCATCAGCGCTGACAGCACGCCTGGTAGCAACGGAAAAACCTCCTTGTAAAAGTTTTCGTATTTACCGCCTGATATTGACCGGAATAGGGCACGCAGCAACAGCAAATAGTTGTCAGGGTGTTTCGTAAACGTCGCTTGCTTCAAGCACGACTCGATAATCGTGCGTAAATGTGGAAACAGCGCCGATTCATTCGACTTAAACAACGTGACCGAGCCGAAGACAATCTTGAACAATCTAAGTACAATAGACGCACGGTGCACTTGGAGTACCGGTCGCATCTTCTCGAACTTCAAATTCTCAATCATCATGACCTTTTCCAGGCGTTTGGTATCAGGTAGGTTTCCCTCAGCGTCAACACTCAGATCCTCCATTTGTGTAATCAAAAATTTCAACAAAATCTCGGCAAACCAGCAGCTCACATTCGAGTTAGCCAAGAAATGCTGGGGAATCGTCAGAATAGCATGATCTTGGAGAATGCACTCATAGAGTAGCTGGATATTGGAAATAAAAAGATCACGAAAGTCTGTTGCTTCCAATACGGTGAATGCACCGGCAAAGTGGTCCAGCATTTGTTTTTCCTCTGACAGTGTGTTTTCTGATAACGTGTATAGAATGAAGCACCGCAGTCCGTTCCGAAGCACTTTCACGATGAGTAGACGCTCATCATCAGTCAGTGGGTACAAATGCTCGCTTCCGAACGCTCGACTCGATAAACTCCCAACTGCGTCGACCGAGTGTACGCCTAAGCCAGAATGAATCCCTTGTGAAGCTGATGTAGCAGCCAAACCACTTCCATCCGCTGTATTGGCGTCGACGAAAGATAGATCCTTGGCATGTGGATTTCGATAATTGGCTGTGCACCAAATAACAGCACGGATACCTAAGATCATTGTCCGCAATAGTGACTTGATGTCGCGAATACTTGGTTCTTCCTCAAAGATGGAATCTGCAGGGCGCTGAGCGCGCACGTGCGGCAACAATAGTGCCTCCAACTTTCTCTCGTATTGCGTTTTCTGCACGACTTCGCGTGGAAGCAAGCTAGAGTGTTTGATCTTATCCATGGCGCCTCCTTCCAACAAGTCATTTCTGTCCCCGCCTGACTTACTGCGTAGCGTCGTGGCAAGAGCCGTAGGCAGGTGTGCTAACGTCGTGCCAAACTTACTGGAAATAATCAGTAAAATACGTGACAGGATATTACGGCCTTTCCATGCATCGATGTCCTCATTCTTGGCACTAATGTCGACCAGATTGAGCAGCAGTCGAATGCTGGTCGTTTGTATCGAAATGGGCAGCGTTGGGTCATGAATTCGCTTGCCGTAAAATTCCACAATGGCGCTCACTTGCGCGAGTGTTAGCATGTCTCGAACGTGATGGATCATATCGGCAAGAGTCGAGTACGCCAGCGGACGAATCTGGTAGAAGCTACAACGTCCTTTTCCAACAAGCACGTCATCATTCATGAGGAGCTCAAGCTGTGGGTAAAAGCCTCGTCGAAAGTCGGTAGAAATGACGTGCCTGGCGGCTACGAAGATGTCCTTCCGCAGCACAAAGGCATCTTTCGGACAGACGACAAGCAATTTGACAGTGCTCTCGCATATAGCATCTTGAAAAGGACGCATGAGACTCGCGCATCCGCGCAACAGGTATGTCACAAAGGACAGCGTCTTTACTTGGCAATCCATAAAGTCCAAATACCGCAAAGGCTGCGAACCAATGGCCGTATCTGGCGCCCGTAATGCCAATGCTGACATCATCAACGGCACCAATACTGGGATGTAGCCTTCAATATAGCTCGGGTAACACTGGAAGAGCAGCATAATGATCAGGGGCAGTTCCGAGATCGTCTTAAATGACTCCAGGTTGCTACAAATGGGCTCGTCCGTGACGACCTCTCTGATTTCAGCATTTGCGGAGCTAGCAGCATTGCTGTCTAGTGCTGGATCAATGGCTGCTGTTGCGCTCGTTCCACTGGTATTTGAACTTCCCTCACCTGCTATTGCCCCTGCTTGTTTAAAGTCCGTCGTAGTACCACTTGTTGCACTAACCGTTTCTTTACCCACTTCAGACGGTGCTTCTTTTGCTGCCTCTGGGTCAACTCCTAGTATTACTGCAGCGTTTGCAGCAGCAACAGCACTTGTCGTCATCGTTACGGAGCCGGACCTGAGAGTATCCAGCGGTGCACTGAACTGCTTCTTCACCGTCGTGGGTAAGTTCTTGTACATAAGCTGGACAAGTTCCAGAAATGGCTGCACTTCATTACGCAGTCCAGGACGGTAGTTCCGATGCAAATCAAACAGCGTCTTGAGCGCAATCAATGCGTTGTCCTCGTTGTCTTTCTGCAAGACCTCCATGAGCAGCTGCAGCAGCTGCGGGACGTACGGCCGCACGGCTTCATTGCTCGGAAGTCGGTTCATAATCTGCAGCAGCACCTTCCGACAGCGATTCGGTGTCGTAGCGCGTCGCTGAGGCGGTAATGTACTGTGCAAGAGGGTCTTCCAGACAGGGAAGAGCACCTCGAGGATGCGGCCAAGCTGCGGCGTGTGCAGGATCTCGGCCCGACGGTAGAGATCCACCAGCTCCTTCAGCACCGTGTTCGTGTCGCTGTCCAGCAGCTTCTGGCGCACGACGTCCACGTTCATCGTCATGGCTTGACGCTTGTCGTGCGAGATTTCCAGGTGCAGAACCAGTCGAAGCCTGCGATTGGCTAATAATAATATCTTGGTCCGAAATCTGTGTGTGCGAATCAGACACAGGATGGATGGATGCGTGTACCCATGTCCGAGATTGGCACGTTCCAAAAGAGATGGTGCTGTACAGTGTATTTGAAAAGATTCATGGCGTAATCGCCATTACTTGAGTCAGTAGCATTCAGTAAGGAACATAGTGCACTCGACCGCTTGCTACGGCATCGCATCGTGTAAATTGGTTCGTTGTAGATTCGTTGTAGGGTGCACGAGGATCGATACCAGAAAAATCCAGCCATGCCGCCATGGATCGCTGCGTACCTAGTGCATAGACCTCCATTTGCTCCAGCTCGTCATGTTGAGCCGACACAGGCAGACCTAGCAGTTGTCGAATGCGCTGATTCGCCTTGTCCATCCTCTGTTGTCGCTCTTTGTCCGTATTGTCATCCATGGATCCAGATGACATCGGCAGCGGTGGCTCTTGCCAACGATATCGGCCAAACAGCACGTCTTCGTTAGGCGCGTAGAAATCGTAGCCGCGAGTCCAAAACCGCGTTGCTCGTGCGTACTCGAGTCCAGCAGAGATCAGCGGTGTGTGCGGATCCGAGCGCACATCCAAAAGCGCTCGAACTGGGCCGAAGTGGAACGCTTCAGAGTACTGCGTGTGCAATACGGGTGCAAACAAAGCAGCACCTTGACGTGGGATCGGCTCAGGAGGGTTAAACTCTACCACCGCATCTTCCGACTTGGAGCAAATGCGTGCCGAACACTGTACGAGCATGGTCGAGTTCGCCAGCCCACGTACATCAATGGACTTGGGCGCGACGCTCAAGACGGCCATGTCATTGCCCACACTGTACCATTGCTTGAGTAGCACGAGGTCCCACATCTGTGTGAACACCACGACTGCAGGATCGATCGAGAGGTAAAATTCCTCGGCAAACGTGCGCTCCACCATCCCTTCGGCCACATATCGGGCAACAGCTGCCCCGACTGCTCCCGACGCATCTCTCCTCTTGGTTCGCAGCTGTCCCGACCGCAACAGCTGCTTGCAGTCTTTCTTCTGCTGCTCGCAGAACCGCTGCACACACGTCACTTCTTGTGCCAGATAGAGCTCCTCAAACACGCAAAAGTGCACACGTGACGCCAAGAATGCCGTGGCCCGAGCGTCCACGAGCGCCTGAGCACACGCGTCACTATCTCGGAAGTGCGTGAGCACCACGACGATGCGTTTCTCGTCATGAAACCCGCGCGTCACGAGCTGATTCTTCATCTGAGAACGCTCCTTCTCCTCCGCCAATGGCTCCACCTTTCCAACGTGATGCCATGGATCGGGATCTGATTCCATCGTCAAGTACAGCGGAGACGCCTCGGCTGACGGCAGCTGCAGAACGAGACGCCAGATCATCACGACACAGAGACCGAGCGCCAAGAGCGTCCCGCTGACAATCAGGCGCCGTTGTCGGAAGACTGCCGCCTCCTTGGCACCTGTAGCGATGACGTCTCGGCGCCGCGTCTGTGGGAGTCCTAGCGCCGACATGGGCGTCTGGAACGGCATGGTCGCAGCAGTGAAGAAGAGGATGCTCGCCCAACGTCGAGGCAATGGGTACACGCGAGTCTCTGAAAACTGATATTGTCTACCCTCGTTGTGTTTATCAGATTGTGGCAGTAGTGGTGATGGTTTTTTTCTCTCGATCATGTCAGTGCGGTTGGAAGTGAAGTTGTTGCGGTAGCTGTTGCGGGCAGAGTGAAGAGCAGGCTACAGCAAAAAAAGAAGCGATTGTAACTCGCTGGAACGTATCCCATCACCGTTGACGGCGCTGAAGCTACGGATGGTGGTTGCAGCGTTGCTGTATGGGGTAAGCAGATACTTGCTCGAGGTGCGACCTGGGTACACACTTGTCACGGAATGTAATTGGGAGAGGACGCGACGCAATTATTTGTACTTGATAACTGATAAGCTGAGAAAGGACAAGACGGTCCTTGGCAATTATTGAGCTAATATATTTTCATGTGCCAGTACAATTATACTGCTCGTGATGCTCCCTCTTTGCAATTGATTTACAATTAAGATTGATGCAATGATTTATTTTTATTCTTACAATGGTAAAAATAATGAAATTTTCAGAAACGCAAAACTTTACAAGAAACGAATCGCCAACAAAGCAGCAAACCATCGATTTGAGCGATGTAATCAATCTTGTCGTCCCAGCACGATCCCAAAAGATCGTGCTGGGACGACATAATTGATTTTTAAATTTGGGATCAGCCTCCCGACAACATTACCGCCCTGATATTTGACGACGGGTCTGTCATGATATGGGCTTCGTCCCGCAACGTACCATCCCGCGGGATCTCGCACCCCTCCCTGTGCGGGACGGGACGCAGAATGAGACGATCCCATCCCGCGCGTCCTGCACATCCCGCATTCTACAATTATCTTGGTATTTGACGTCGGGATTCTTAAATTTTCTACGAGCATACAATTTATGGGAAGTAAGAGCGTAAAATGCAAGCGTCATCTATATCGCATCTATTTCTTGTTAGATTCAGTATTCATTGTCATTTTTTACCTTTCTGCCAAGGCATGCATCCAGGCATAGGATACGCTAGTATAGAGGATTTGGTTGCGCCTAGCGATGATCCGATAAACTTTCTTCGCCGACTGGGCCTCGACACTTCAATATATGGTAAAGTTTGAGATGCTTTTAGTAATGAATAGATATCCCGAAAGCTTTACCAAATGTTGGACTAGTCCATAAAACGTCAAAATCGTCTGTATGAGCAATCGCAATAGCTCAAAACGTCTGGCCAAAACCACGCTTCAAGGCGTTGCTAAAACTCTACTGCATTAATGTTTTTGCATTTGGTAAATTTTAGTAATGTCGTTACCACGTTTAAAAAGAGTCATTCTCGCACGAGTCTGCCATCAGCAGCACCGACGAGAATCAAGTGGATAAGGCATAGAGCTTCTACTTTTGTTGTAGTGGTAAGCATTGATCACGTAGAAAAGAATTTTACCAGTTAAGTAGCATTATTCTCATTCTTTACTACCCTCAGCGCAGATGGGTGCGATCGTGTGTCTGTAGATCTGGTCGTTGCGAAATATAGGTAGCGCAAAATGTTCAATGATCTCGTCCCGCAGTATCCTGCGTCCCATCCCGTCCCTTGCAGGAAGGGACGCGGGATTGGTCAATCCCGTCCAATCTACGCGGGATAGAGCCTCCCTGGTCATGATGCGTTTCTACTTTGCGCAAGGACAAGCTTAAACGATCTGCAGGTACTCTGCTCGATGAATGGCATACCCACTCGCCACGGACACCGCAAAGTGCACAGCTTTGCTTTTTCGTGACAGTCACTATACACGCGCAGTAAGATTTGCTGCTTCAATGCGTCAGCTGACGTACTCATTCTCCCTTAGCAAGAGCTTGGAGTCGATCACGCACGTTCATGTGAATTGAACCGAGACAAGATCTCTTGTAGGCGTTACTAGACGCTTAGGAGTGATTTGGAAGAGCTACTTTGCGCAGCCTGTGCTCTTCATAGCAACCACGATAGCTGGATTGCGAAGTTTTGATGCATCTGGTGAAGCAAGTCGATTGCTGTCCAGCATTTCACCCAAAATAGCCCATCAGCTGCCGCAACAACAGGTGGTCGCTACGATGATTCCGCCCCGGGTAAGCTAGCGACTATCATTCGCAATAGATTGGATAAGCTACTTGCACGTGCCCGATGACAGTCTGCGCACGCTTCGAAATCGAGTCCCTGTGGGTAGAATAAGGAGTAGTAGAACGCATAGTCCATCCTTGTAGTTCATTACGGCGAATTTGCTGGGAATGTACTCACGTCGAAGCTACTAACGGGACTTGTTGATTTATCGGATCGTCCAGTTGCTCTCTGCTGGAGCAAGTGATGCGTCGTATGTACGTCATCTTTTTATTCATTGTAAACAATCACCAAACCAACACACAAGTGCATTTGGAGCGAGGACAGAGTTGTCACACACACCGTCTACAAGGGTGCTGACAATAAATCTGGAAAGAATGAAGCGCAAAAGGAATGGTCGATGGATGTGTTCTAAGCGTGTTTAAGGATAAATGAGAGACCGGCAAGACATAAGCCAAACGAGCACATTCAACAGCTACATACAATACGGGTGTTCTGCTCTGGGGTCTCACCAGAACTTTCAAGTGCTTCCACAACGCATATCGCTCACGTTCATTTGTTTGATCTACTTCGGTTGTACGGTCTTTGCAACTGACTTGACCTCATCGGTGCGCCTTGTGAACGGAGCTAAAACAGCTGCTCGTCAAGATTGCTCACGCCCCACTTCTGCACACATCGACGTCCGCTCGACTCGACTCGGCTCTTCTCTACACCCTCCACTTCAGTGCTGAAGCAGGTACTCACTCACTCTCCTGGAGCCACTACTTGACTGCAAACGCCGCATACAAAAACCAACTTGTCTGACCACCGTGGTCACGCGCGACACGCTGTGTACCACGCCGAGCTTCCAGATGGACCTGAGAAATCGATCGCGATGAAAAACGCCTCCGCGCATCCAGCTGAGACTGAAATCAGAAAGCGGCGCCGTCACTTTACTGGCCGTGGAACCACTTGACCTGGGTTTTCTGAACATCCGAGCGCGCTTCAACTGCAGGACGTGACTGGCTACAGCCGCACTGGTCAGCACCGAAACGTCAAAGTCTCGAGTCACGACTGACAAGATCGATCCGAGTCCCGTCGTGTCGCGGCGGACTCGAGTGGACGGGACAGCAGAGGCTGACAGTGTACTGGCCACCGTTTCTCCATGCAGTAGTAGTATCCTCACGGTGGGCGCGCACAAGCTGGTGGCGCGTTTTCTTGGTGGCTCGCCACGCAAAATGTCGACGAGTTCAGTGCCGACGGAGAAACGCTAGCTTTTCTCACGCGGACGTCGTCGGTCTTGGTACGATGACCGCGCGGAGACCTTGGCATTTGGACGCATTTCCATTCTCACTGGTGACTGCGCATCACCTACCAGTCAAGCACTACCAGGCACCACCACCGCCACCGCCACCAACAACAGCAACAACCATCACCTCCTCCTCCTCCTCTCACGCTCTCACACGTTTCGCTCAACCAGTCGCACGGATGAAGATCGTGCACTTCTTTCCAGCAGTCGTGGCAATGGCCATGACCGCTGCAGCAGCAGCAGCAGACACCAACGTGTCACTAGTTGACAGCACCGACCAAGTGGGGACCGTGCACGCACTTCAGGAACAAGTTGCAGGCAGCAACTACCGTGCTCCGTTTTCCACCGAAGCGCCTTCCGACATCTTCCAGCGCCGTGACACACTGACCGCCTTGGCCCCGATCGTCAACGTGGCTTCCGACTTGCTGACGCGGCCATTGCCCACGAACAAATGGTGGGGAAACCTTATTCACACCACGGCTCAGGACATTGACACAGTGGCCACACCCGCGTGGGCGAACCCGTACGCACTCAAGCTGCCCAAGAAAGCTCCTTTCGGCCTCCAAGCTTGCTACTCGTACTCGTACCGCAACATGGCGAACGAGGTCAATGGCGTCGTCAAGTACTACCTGCACGCCTTTCACAACGACCTCACGCTATCGGCGACTGAATTCGCGTCGACCAAACCCGACTACGAGATCTACGCCTTCAGTGACGAAGGCGTCAGTGTCCGCACTTGCGTCGCATCAGGCAGCGACAGCTGCATGGACTCGGCTCTCGTCAGTGGAATGGCGTTCGTGTCGGCCACGTACTCCGGTCTCACTGCGAGCATCCACTCGGAATACACCATGACCTTGAAGGACAGCTCGACGCCTGGCAAGTACATCCTCCAGCTCCCGAACAAACAGACGTGGGTGGTCTACTCGAGCGACACGAGTGCCTCCTTCTCGATTGATAGCACTGGCTCGGCATTGGTGGCGAGTGCAGCGTACACGGGTACACTTCGAGTAGCAGTTCTCCCCCAGGGCGGCGACCTCAGCGTGTACGATGACTACGCGTCCTGCATCGTTCGTGGCGGCAGCTTTGCCATGCAGTCTCGCACGGCTTACTCGTTCGAGTGGGAAACCGAGGGCAAGGGATGCGACAGCACGGGGCTTCTGCACTTTGCTCTGCCCCATCAAGTGGAAGTCCTGAGCGACGCCATCACTTCCCAGTCGACCGGAGCCATTGTGCTGCACTCGGCAACGCGCGGTCAGATGGTTGGTCAAGTGACCACGTCTTCGAGCTGGTCGTTGGCGGAGGACGAAGCGGCGGACGAGGTGGACTTCTACCCGGGCAACAAGCCTTCGCCTGACGTAATTGCTCAGATCAACCTCTTGTCCACGCTGCAGAGCGACATCGACAGCGACTGGAGCTTCAATACCGGTAGCTGGTACTTTAACGGCAAGGCGTATCAGAAGTACGCGTCCCTCTGCTTGATGGCGGCCGACAGCTCCGTCGTGGGCGAGGATACGACGTTGTTGAGCACTTGTCTCGCCAAGCTGGAGAAATTGCTCGCGCCGTTCTTGGACAATACGCTCGGCTCGCCTCTTGTCTACGAGACGGCCTACAAGGGTATTGTGACGAGCCAGGTCTTCACGGCCAACGACGTCAACGTCGAGTTCGGCAACGGGATCTACAACGACCACCACTACCATTACGGCTACTGGATCACGGCGTCAGCAATCCTGAAGAAGCTGGATCCGTCGTGGTCAGGCATGCCACAGCTCGAGACGATGGTGTGGACCATGCTGCGCGACGTGGCCAACCCGAGCGAAGACGACACGTACTTCCCGACGTTCCGACACTTTTCGTGGTTCCGGGGCCATTCGTACTCGCACGGCGTGTCCCCGATGGCCGATGGCAAGGACGAGGAAAGCACGTCGGAGGACGTGAACTTCAGCTACGGCATGATGCTCTGGGGCAAGGTAACGCAGAACAAGGCCGTGGAAGACTTGGGGAGTCTCATGCTGCGCTTGAACGCGCGGGCCGTGCGCACGTACTTCCTCATGACGTCGGACAGCACGGTTCACCCGCCGCAGTTCGTGCCCAACCACGTCACGGGCATCTTCTTCGATAACAAGGCGGACTACGCGACATGGTTCAGTGCGGAGAAGTACTGCATCCACGGCATCCAGATGATCCCCGTGTCGCCCATCAATGGTCTCGTCCGGACCAAGGCGTTCGTTCAGGAGGAATGGGACGACATTCTGTCAAAGGAGGCGATTGTCACGAGCGGTGACACCTCCAACGCCTGGTTGTCCCTATTGCTCGTGAACGAGGCAGTGATCAACCAAGCCGACGCACTAGAAAAGCTCGCAACGGCTACCATGGACGACGGTCTCTCTCATTCTTGGGCTTTGTACAATGCGGCCTCTCGCGGTGGACCAAGCTTGAGCGGCAGCACCACGGTAGTCACAGTGGCGCCAAGCACCTCGACCATCGAGGCGTCTGGTTCCAGCTCAGCGGCCACATCCGACACGCGTGATGCAACGACCGCTACTCCGGTTATCGACTCGGAGAATCCGGAGGGCACTGCTGTTGTCACGGCCACTACGACGTCCACAGCTGCTGCAATTGCTGCTCCTGAGACGGACACTCCTGATGCAAGTTCGTTATCAACCACTTCGCTTCCACCTGCGGCTACCACTTCGGTCGACACATTGGCCACTCCCGCTGCAACTCCGACCGTCTCGTCATGTAAGCGGAGTGTCAAGTCGAAGACTTCAACTCCAGCTGCCACTCCGTCCCCCTGAACGGATACCGTGGGACAGCTGTAGACTTGCGTCTCGATGCCGTCGACTTTGTACAAACACTTTGCTGCCAGCACTTGGTAGCTCCTGCATGTCAAGTGAAGCCCGCGCGGAGAAGTGCGTTTGATCTTGACGATGCAGAGAAGCCATAATAACTCAAACACATGTACTCATTGATCTCTCCTTGTTGTTGTTACAGTCGCCATGAAAGTGGTCAATCGCGTCGCTCGATTTGCTCACGAACCAGTGATGAGTTTTCGACGCAAGCAGTCAATGGGAGGCCTCACCGAAAAGAATCGGGCACGAATGGTACGCCATCTGAGTGTTCACTGCCATTGTCACGATCGTGGCATTGTTCCGTTCTCCCTAAGAACTACCGAACAATTGTTCAAGCTCTCATTTATTCACGTGGTACGCCACCTTGAGCCAGCACCATCGCGGGCTCCATCAGCAATCGAGGACCAGAACTTCCTTCATCTGCTTTTAAACATGAATCGTGATGTAAATCACTGATGCAAAGTGTCACTACCAGCAGAACTCGAGGTCCGGCTAGGGTCTCCTACGCCGCCTGCACATCGTGATGGCCGTACCAGTTCTCTTCGACAACGCCCACCTGCCCTACGTGGCGGTCCTCAGAGTTAGCCCCTCACATCCAAGCGACGAAGCCATTAGGTTGCTGTCGAATAGACATTTACGTTGGCGATCGTAGTTTAATGTACCGCACCACCCCTAGAAAAACTAAATGAATGTCTTCGGTCAATGAGAGTTTTCCGGCAATTCAGGGTATCCCAAGGTCGTCTCGAAGATTAGGATCAGTCGGAAGTGCGAAGCCCAGGAAGCCTTCTATCTACTCGCCTCATAGCAAATTGTGCTCCATTGACATACATGACCGATCTTAGATGGCAAGGTTGGTGACATTTAGTCCTCAATGTGCGGATCAGACTCATCTCTAGGTCCTCCGGTCACACGTTGCGATCTGGAGCGCGTGCTCGACAGGCTAGCTGTCTACGAAGAGAGCCGCTGCTGCACGTCAGTAGGCAAATACTGGTCTATCCTTCTACAAGGCTGCTTGGGTGGCCTGTCGAACTGGCATATGTGACTGCCGTAGCTTGGCGCAGGGACGCCGGCATTCCTGAGATGACCATGTCTTGACTGCTCGCGCAACCTGCGGTAGTCCTACTTCGCGGGGGGCAGGAATGCTCGTGGAGATTACTGCACGGACTTGCTTTGACTTAAGTTTGCCCGTGAGGTACAGCAATATGTAACTACTTGGATTGTAGCGGCGTCACGATTGTGAAATGCTTGTCTCGAGGAATGCACTCCCAGCGGATAGCAAAGGAATGCACTGAAGCAAGTAAGTAGGCTTCGCATGAAGCTGATGCGTGACACGTGAATAAATGAGAGCTTGAACAATTGTTCGGTAGTTCTTAGGGAGAACGGAACAATGCCACGATCGTGACAATGGCAGTGAACACTCAGATGGCGTACCATTCGTGCCCGATTCTTTTCGGTGAGGCCTCCCATTGACTGCTTGCGTCGAAAACTCATCACTGGTTCGTGAGCAAATCGAGCGACGCGATTGACCACTTTCATGGCGACTGTAACAACAACAAGGAGAGATCAATGAGTACATGTGTTTGAGTTATTATGGCTTCTCTGCATCGTCAAGATCAAACGCACTTCTCCGCGCGGGCTTCACTTGACATGCAGGAGCTACCAAGTGCTGGCAGCAAAGTGTTTGTACAAAGTCGACGGCATCGAGACGCAAGTCTACAGCTGTCCCACGGTATCCGTTCAGGGGGACGGAGTGGCAGCTGGAGTTGAAGTCTTCGACTTGACACTCCGCTTACATGACGAGACGGTCGGAGTTGCAGCGGGAGTGGCCAATGTGTCGACCGAAGTGGTAGCCGCAGGTGGAAGCGAAGTGGTTGATAACGAACTTGCATCAGGAGTGTCCGTCTCAGGAGCAGCAATTGCAGCAGCTGTGGACGTCGTAGTGGCCGTGACAACAGCAGTGCCCTCCGGATTCTCCGAGTCGATAACCGGAGTAGCGGTCGTTGCATCACGCGTGTCGGATGTGGCCGCTGAGCTGGAACCAGACGCCTCGATGGTCGAGGTGCTTGGCGCCACTGTGACTACCGTGGTGCTGCCGCTCGAGCTTGGTCCACCGCGAGAGGCCGCATTGTACAAGGCCCACGAGCGGGAGAGCCCATCGTCCATGGCCACCGTTGCGAGCTTTTCTAGTGCGTCGGCTTGGTTGATCACTGCCTCGTTCACGAGCAATAGGGACAACCAGGCGTTGGAGGTGTCACCGCTCGTGACAATCGCCTCCTTTGACAGAATGTCGTCCCATTCCTCCTGAACGAACGCCTTGGTCCGGACGAGACCATTGATGGGCGACACGGGGATCATCTGGATGCCGTGGATGCAGTACTTCTCCGCACTGAACCATGTCGCGTAGTCCGCCTTGTTATCGAAGAAGATGCCCGTGACGTGGTTGGGCACGAACTGCGGCGGGTGAACCGTGCTGTCCGACGTCATGAGGAAGTACGTGCGCACGGCCCGCGCGTTCAAGCGCAGCATGAGACTCCCCAAGTCTTCCACGGCCTTGTTCTGCGTTACCTTGCCCCAGAGCATCATGCCGTAGCTGAAGTTCACGTCCTCCGACGTGCTTTCCTCGTCCTTGCCATCGGCCATCGGGGACACGCCGTGCGAGTACGAATGGCCCCGGAACCACGAAAAGTGTCGGAACGTCGGGAAGTACGTGTCGTCTTCGCTCGGGTTGGCCACGTCGCGCAGCATGGTCCACACCATCGTCTCGAGCTGTGGCATGCCTGACCACGACGGATCCAGCTTCTTCAGGATTGCTGACGCCGTGATCCAGTAGCCGTAATGGTAGTGGTGGTCGTTGTAGATCCCGTTGCCGAACTCGACGTTGACGTCGTTGGCCGTGAAGACCTGGCTCGTCACAATACCCTTGTAGGCCGTCTCGTAGACAAGAGGCGAGCCGAGCGTATTGTCCAAGAACGGCGCGAGCAATTTCTCCAGCTTGGCGAGACAAGTGCTCAACAACGTCGTATCCTCGCCCACGACGGAGCTGTCGGCCGCCATCAAGCAGAGGGACGCGTACTTCTGATACGCCTTGCCGTTAAAGTACCAGCTGCCAGTGTTGAGGCTCCAGTCGCTATCGATGTCGCTCTGCAGCGTGGACAAGAGGTTGATCTGAGCAATTACGTCAGGCGAAGGCTTGTTGCCCGGGTAGAAGTCCACCTCGTCCGCCGCTTCGTCCTCCGCCAACGACCAGCTCGAAGACGTGGTCACTTGACCAACCATCTGACCGCGCGTTGCCGAGTGCAGCACAATGGCTCCGGTCGACTGGGAAGTGATGGCGTCGCTCAGGACTTCCACTTGATGGGGCAGAGCAAAGTGCAGAAGCCCCGTGCTGTCGCATCCCTTGCCCTCGGTTTCCCACTCGAACGAGTAAGCCGTGCGAGACTGCATGGCAAAGCTGCCGCCACGAACGATGCAGGACGCGTAGTCATCGTACACGCTGAGGTCGCCGCCCTGGGGGAGAACTGCTACTCGAAGTGTACCCGTGTACGCTGCACTCGCCACCAATGCCGAGCCAGTGCTATCAATCGAGAAGGAGGCACTCGTGTCGCTCGAGTAGACCACCCACGTCTGTTTGTTCGGGAGCTGGAGGATGTACTTGCCAGGCGTCGAGCTGTCCTTCAAGGTCATGGTGTATTCTGAGTGGATGCTCGCAGTGAGACCGGAGTACGTGGCCGACACGAACGCCATTCCATTGACGAGAGCCGAGTCCATGCAGCTGTCGCTGCCCGATGCGACGCAAGTGCGAACACTGACGCCTTCGTCACTGAAGGCGTAGATCTCGTAGTCGGGTTTGGTCGACGCGAATTCAGTCGCCGACAGCGTGAGGTCGTTGTGAAAGGCGTGCAGGTAGTACTTGACGACGCCATTGACCTCGTTCGCCATGTTGCGGTACGAGTACGAGTAGCAAGCTTGGAGGCCGAAAGGAGCTTTCTTGGGCAGCTTGAGTGCGTACGGGTTCGCCCACGCGGGTGTGGCCACTGTGTCAATGTCCTGAGCCGTGGTGTGGATGAGGTTCCCCCACCATTTGTTGGTAGGCAGCGGCCGCGTGAGCAAGTCGGCAGCCACGTTGACGATCGGGGCCAAGGCGGTCAGTGTGTCACGGCGCTGGAAGATGTCGGAAGGCGCTTCAGTGGAAAACGGAGCACGGTAGTTGCTGCCTGCAACTTGTTCCTGAAGTGCGTGCACGGTCCCCGCTTGGTCGGTGCTGTCAACTAGTGACACGTTGGTGTCTGCTGCTGCTGCTGCAGCGGTCATGGCCATTGCCACGACTGCTGGAAAGAAGTGCACGATCTTCATCCGTGCGACTGGTCGAGCGAAACGCGTGAGAGCGTGAGAGGAGGAGGAGGAGGTGATGGTTGTTGCTGTTGTTGGTGGCGGTGGCGGTGGTGGTGCCTGGTAGTGCTTGACTGGTAGGTGATGCGCAGTCACCAGTGAGAATGGAAATGCGTCCAAATGTCAAGGTCTCCGCGCGGTCATCGCACCAAGACCGACGACGTCCGCGTGAGAAAAGCTAGCGTTTCTCCGTCGGCACTGAACTCGTCGACATTTTGCGTGGCGAGCCACCAAGAAAACGCGCCACCAGCTTGTGCGCGCCCACCGTGAGGATACTACTACTGCATGGAGAAACGGTGGCCAGTACACTGTCAGCCTCTGCTGTCCCGTCCACTCGAGTCCGCCGCGACACGACGGGACTCGGATCGATCTTGTCAGTCGTGACTCGAGACTTTGACGTTTCGGTGCTGACCAGTGCGGCTGTAGCCAGTCACGTCCTGCAGTTGAAGCGCGCTAGGATGTTCAGAAAACCCAGGTCAAGTGGTTCCACGGCCAGTAAATTGACGGCGCTGCTTTCTGATTTCAGTCTCAGCTGGATGCGCGGAGGCGTTTTTCATCGCGATCAATTTCTCAGGTCCATCTGGAAGCTCGGCGTGGTACACAGCGTGTCGCGCGTGACCACGGTGGTCAGACAAGTTGGTTTTTGTATGTGACGTTTGCAGTCAAGTAGTGGCTCCAGGAGAGTGAGTGAGTACAGTACCTGCTTCAGCGCTGAAGTGGAGGGTGTAGAGAAGAGCCGAGTCGAGTCGAGCGGACGTCGATGTGTGCAGAAGTGGGGCGTGAGCAATCTTGAGGTTCATATCAGAGCAGAACAAAGAAAAGACACATGCACACGGACTGGTGAATTGAGTGGCTTCAACACGAGTGGTTATAACACTTCTGTACAACGCATGATGGATATGGAAAGCTCTATACATATTTCCCAACCTACTTACCACGAGTCAATGGACAACCTCAACGCTTCATGACTCAGTTCAGAGCCGAGCTGAGAGCAGTCTGAGCGTCCGGGCTCATCTGCGCGACGATCTCCTTCATCTGGGCTTCGTAAGTTTGAAGTAGACCACGCACACACGCCTTGACTTCCGTCTGTGTCTCCTCCTCGACAATGGACGTGGGAGCAAGGGCCTTGCTGTACACGTCAAGTACCTGCGGCATCAAGTTGAGCACGACTGGGTTCTGTGAGCTCACGAGACCGTTCAGACACTGGAAACAAACGGCACTCTCATCCATGTCAGCTTTCAGCGGCAGAGCGCCCAAGAACACAGGAAGCACAACCTCTAGAGGCATGTTGGCACCGCCAGCAATGATCATGCGAGCCACAGCAGCGCACGCGTTGTCAATCACCACCTCGTCGTTGTCAGCAGTCTCAAACAGCGGTCGCAGAGCCTGGAGCATCTGCTCGTACGCGCTTGCCAGCTTGTCGCCGCTGATCTCCGCAAGGATGCCCATGCAGAACGCGCTATTAGCCTTCAGAACGTAGTTGTCCGAAGCAAGGCCTTGCAGGACCACCGGGAATACACTCTCGACGAATCCTAGACCGGCGGGACCGAGCTCACGGAGTACCTCAGCGAAGCAGCCCACAGCAGCGGCACGGTCACGCGCAGCGCGGAGACCAGTGGCAAACGACATCAGAGCAGGAAATAGCTCCTGGAAGGTAGCCAGGAAGTGCTCGCCGTAGCACTTGGCAAGCACACCAATCAACTCTGACGCGCTCTCCAGTACGGAGCCACCCTCTTCTTCCTCATCGTCCTCGTCTTCCTCGTGGCTTGTCTGGCAAACGTGCTCGTGGGAAAGCACAGTCTTTGTGATACGCATAAGCTCGCTCATGTGATCCATTGTCACGACAGGGCCTACCCGGGCGCTCATAGCCTTCACGGCGTTAAACGCTTTCACAACCACAACTTCTTCAGGATCCTCGAGGAGCTCCTCTACGAGACTCTTCATCACAGCAGACGCAATCACAGCGTTGTTAGACGTCAAGATGTTCTTGTTGAAATCACCCTTCGTCCAGACCTGCACGTCGCCGCTCGAGACATGCGACGCCTCGAAAGAGCAGATGACAAGCGCAGCCAGAGCTTCGGCCACTGCGCCACGAACGTCTTCGTGGATGTACTCCGTAAGAGGAGCAAGCGCCTCGAGGAACTTCGGGATGTATGGCTCGAACACAGGACCACCGCAGTTGAGCGCAAGCTCCTCCACAGCCGCCACAGCGCGAACCTTGGAGTTCAAGGCGTCCGTACGGATGCTGATGTGGCGCAGCACGTTATCGTCGGTGTCCGCCTCGTCGTCCGAGTTTAGTCCCTCCAAGACATCATCATCATCGTCCATGACGCGCAGACCTTCATCGCTCACAATGGCCTGCAATACGTGAGTAGCTGCCTGATCGAGGAACGGTGCAAACTCTTCTTTGAAGATGCTGGACACGTTGATAAAGTACACGAACGCTTGCTCTTTCAGCTCCGAGTCATCCAGCTCGATTGACGCGAACACAAACGGCATCGATGGTGCAAAGTACGGACGGAACGGCTCCTTGCCCAGAGCAGTGGCGAGGTAGCCAAGGCACTCGATGGCAGCACCACGCAGGAAGAAAAACTTCGGATCCGTAATAGCTGAAAAGGGCTGGATCAGCTCAGCCACCGAAGCAAAATAGGGCAAGAACGCATCCTTGGCCCCAATAGCAATGGATCCAACAGCATCGAGCGCCATTTTCTGCAACTGGGGTGAGCCCGTGCGCAGTACATCCACCAGCTTTGTCATCAGAGTTTCCAGATACGGCAAGACCTGGTCGCTCTCCATACTCTGTGTGATCTCATCAAGCACATACAGAGCCGTAGCTTTGATCACCTTGGACGCATTGTCGAGCAACGTCAGACCAATGGGTAGGATGTCTGCAAAGTGGTCGGTAATCGTCGGCTGCAGAAACTCAGCAAACTGACCAAGGGCAAAACAGGAGGCCTCACGGACGTGCTGGTCAGCATCTTGTGCGACGCGATACACAGCAGGCAGCAGTTCGTTCAAATTCTGGCACATGAATTCGCAGCATCCCTCAGACATGATGCCAAGGGCCAGCACACCAGCCTTCCGCTTACGAGCGTCTTGCGACGTGATACACTCGTTGCAAATACCAAACACTACAGGATTCAGGTACTTGGCAGGCACACTCAGAGCCAGCGAGTCCAAAGTCTGCTGAGCCAAGTGCCCCGGGGACTCGTCGTCCTCGTCGTCATCCTCGCCGTCGACCTTGTTTTCACGCGCCAGCAGGTTGGAAATCAGACCACAGGACACAGCCTCGTCGGCGGCCACAATGTCCAGCATCGTGGTGAAGATCTTGGATACCAGATTCTTCTTACCGATGGTCTTTGGCTTTTTCTTGATGAACTCACCGATCGCATAACTAGCTGACGCACGAGTGCTCACCTCGAGCTGCTCGGCCAAGATGATCTGCAGCAATAGCTCAATAAACTGCGGGAAAGCCTGGTCCAGAATCGGAAACGGGTGCGACGCAATCTCGGAAAACACGTCCATGAACTCAACGGCTTCTGCCTCAGCACCACTTGACACACACTGCTGCAAGACCGTGATCATGAGCGGTACGAGGTCACGGAATTCACGGAGATCAGCCTCCTCAAGGAAGTCCACGAGGCTACAGGCAGCGCGCATCGCACCCACACGAACCTGGAGATTCTCGGGGTCTTGCAGAGCCTTTGTGTACAGCTGCTTGAGATCGTGAAAGTGTGGCTGGAGCGACGTGCCCATACCTTCTCCCAGCAACTGCAACAGCTTCATGCTCATCTCGCGCTGGTCCACGCTCGAGCTGTTGGCGCACGAATTGATAAACATCATAAGCTCGGGCCAGTTGCCAGCTGGAACCTCGTGCAACGCCAGCGCAGCAATGAGGTTGGCTACAGTGGAGCGCACGACGTGCACAGGGTCCTCGGCAGCGCGGCTGAGCAGCACCTGCTTTGCCTGAGCCTGAGCTGCAGTGTCCAGCTTGGGCCAGTGCTTGAAGATTTTCTTGCGCAGCATAAGCGCCGCCAGTTGCCGCACCTCGGGCTTGGTCGAGAGCTGCAGCTGGGTGAGCAGGCCGCCTACGGACGCAATCTGCTTGGTATACGTCTTGAGCACGGCTTCTGCTTGCTTGATCTGCTCGGTATCCGGATGCGTGAGCTGTAGCAAACACGCCTCCAGCTGTTCCGGTGTGAAGTCCACCATGGTCCGCACTTGCTGAGTCGAGGTAAGGCGCGCAAGAAACGGAAGAGTGAGAGATCGCGAATGCCGGCGAGGACAAGTGTCTTGTCAATGAAAAATGACTGGTCGACGCTCAAGCCTCTCGAACCTTATATCACCCGGGGGTTTTTCTGGGTGAAAAGAAGACATGGCTTCACACTCCGTCGTCCGCAAGTGCATGTCTCTTTTGCGCATCACTTGGGAAAGAAACACATGACGACTTTCACTTCGTTGCCCGATTGGAGCATAAACCCGACAGGATTTGAGTGCAGAAACAGTGGCATCGACGGCATGCGTGCAGCGTGGGTGGAATAGGAGCGCTCTGGTTGTAGAAGTTGAGTACGAGCGGATTAGTTGCGAGTTGTAGGATCGGAAGGAGACAGCGTCAATGACTGGTTGGAAGTTCCAGCGGGACCGCATCCGCTGTTGTCGTACGTGGTGGAAGAGCAGGATCGCGATGCGGCGAGGCCAAGCTGTGTACTTGTCACCTCGGTAGTCTCACGTGTCGTCTTCATTAGTTACTGCTGTTGTAAATTCTTGGCGTCCCAGCCACATTGACATCCGCTCGAGTGCTGCAAGAACTATCACAAGCAAATTCAGGCAGCAAGACTCTGCTCCCTTGTGTTTGACGAATGCCTCAACACTTTGAGACGACGCAATCGATTTGGTAGATGTCCTCGTTACAAAAATTGACATGCCATTGGCTTCACGCTGGCGGCACTAGAACTGTCTGCACCACCTGGCGTCAACACGAACCTGGTGGTCTTGTGCTCAATCGATAATGCCTATGCACCACGAAGTGTGGTACCCACCACCTCAAAGACCAGGTCGTACGATTAACGCAACTGACACTTGCAAGGTTTCAATCTTTGTTCTTGGTATGGAGAACACATCATTAGCCTTTTCGTTCTTGCTCTTTTACCATGTCCTTTCGACAAGACCACCAGCCTCATTTCCAACCTGACTTGGTATACTGCAACACTTGCTCCTGCCTCAGCACAACAGCCGGTCCCCTTACAGCCGTGCAGACGTTACTCGTAAACAACCACGAAAATAGCTACAGCTTCAACAATTTACAGATGAATAATAGCCACAATCAGCTCAAATGCCGACGTCTACGTCGTCCATCCCATTAAATCAGGTAAATCGAACTGGACACAGCGACACATCAAGCGGGAGAGATGAAGTGTCCAACATCATTTTGCTTACCAGCTCCTCAAAGCTATAGGTTGCTGCAATGGCTACATCCAAAGCGACACGACAACAACATCTATAGCTTACCGATGACCCCAGCAAGTTTTATAGCTTCTGAGTTCTGCCGTCCTTCGCGTTTAACGACGTTATAAATTACCGAAACGCTCAGCATTTGTCACAACCTTTTGAACCGTAAAAACTAGACTAACTAGCCTGACACCATGTCGGACGCCTTTAGCGCCAGTTTCCGTGAGTTCTGCGTGGGTGTGCAGCACGCCGTCTCGCTGCACCGCATCCTCCTTTTCTACCTCAAGTCGCGTCTCATCTGTGTCTCAAGCGCCAAGGTTTAAGACGCACTGCTCCGTTTCGAATCCGTCCGATATCGTTGGCTATATTGTGGTTATATTTTACGGACTCTTTGTTTTTATATTGTATTTTACGGTTTAGTGCGTTGTGCTAAATGGTCTCATCTTCCTCGGAAGTATCTACTTTTTCGACCAAGTCGTGATCCCAGTCATTCATTTGTTCGGGGAATTGCTCCATCGTTCATTTACATACGGGTAAGAAAAAAAGGGTTTCTTTAAATTGATAATCACTCGCTCGTGGCTCGACCGATAATGTATTGGAAAAGCATCAGATCCTCATATATTGTGTACCCAGGACAACTGCTCAAGTGGACGACGTCCGTGATCGCGTCGATGGCTTTGTCTTTCTGTTGTACCAGGTACAATAGAAACGACACAGTGCTGCTTTTTTGTACAGCTGAACACTTGGTATTTAAGCTCTCTTCGTTTCGTGGCAGGTGCTCTGGATGTACCCGATTTACAGCATCAGCTTCATCCTGAATACGATTTGGTACCAGGAAATTGCGGACGATGGTACGACTGGTTCATAACTCTCGTAACCTGACCATCAATTGATCTGCGACATGTGTGACAATGGTGCTTTTGTACCAGCATACCTGCAGCTCCATGGCAAGCCGTCACCCACTGCAGTGACAGATATGATCCGGTGCGCTGAGTCGTCATTCTTTGTGCGCTTGTTGAGCGAACTGTTTGTATTGATTGATGTCACCTGGTAAATGGCGGTGGGGGACGCTGAAGAGATGAGATGTATCGTGCCATCCTTGTGGCGTTCTTCCTGTTGCAGACAGTGCTGTCGTATCTCATTCCAGTCGTTGGTCCGGCCACGAGCTTCGTCCATCTCAGCTGGTTGTATTCGCTTTACTGCTTTGAGTACAAGTGGTCCTTGGCTGGTTGGAGTCTGGAGCGAAGGCTGGCCCACTTGGAGCAGAATTGGGCCTATTTCGCTGGCTTTGGCAGTCCATTTACGCTGGCCACATTTTTCGTCCCGAACTTTGTGAGCAAAGGAATCTTTGCCCTACTTTTTCCAGTGGTACGACATGACCGGTTGGATAGTGATGAGTAAGAAGTAGCTGACTGATTTCTCATGCTTTCATCTGCGGTTGTTGTGTTCCTGTCAGTTCTTGCTTCAGGCGATTGCGTGCGATCCCGAAACGGAAGGCAATGAAGCATTGCAGAAGTTGCCGATGTTCCGGTGCGTTTGTTGCCGTTTGTCACTCGTCCCCGTTCCGCAGGCTTACGCTCGACATGTGTCAGATTCTCGCGGTGGTGGAGTTTGCAGTTGCTGCGGCGGATTGGACATGCTACAGGCTTGAAGACAAAAGCGCAAAGGGCAATGGAAAAGCAGAATCGGGGCAAACGGAGCTGAAGGTTACAAAGTTGAACAACGACAGCAAGGCATGCATGCTGATGCCTTGCTTGTAGACGGTATTGACAATGAAACCAAATTGACGACTTTTGACCCTCGACGCGCAACAGAAGACGGTTTATTGTGTCTGTTCATGCTGAATGTAGCTGTTTGTTCACGAGCTGAAAGAACGGACGGCGCACTTGTTGCAAGATGTTCACCATAAGCAAGCAACATGCCAGAAGCGCACGATACAAACTTGGCGTTTGATGCTAAGTGGTTCGGTCTCGACTGGGTGTGCAAGTCTGAGACGCTGCAGTGAAAATACAGCGTCTTGCGAAATACTTCGTGAAGGTGTCGTGTCAGGCACCGATGCAAGGGCGTTGAAGCTGGATGAAAACATCCAGTTTCAGACGTCGCTCAGTCCAGTATACTGGATAACAGCTCAGCGGCTTGCTGATGCGGTAAGATTCTTGCCGAGAGCGTCGTACATGATGAAGAAGTGGGGTCACATATGGTTGCAGTGCTGGATTTTAGTGTTACAGGGCAGTAGACGTTACAATGAAGGCGATACTGGGAAGGAGATCAGAGTTTGCCTGCAACAACTGTACCGTTGTTTATTGCAAAAGCTGCAGATGCGACATAGCAGCTGCACGCTAGTGCAGCAGATTGTTCGGAGGTTCGACATGGGCGTTATTCATGACGAATATCTGACCCTGTGGTCGTACTTCAGCGCAACGAATCAAAGACAGACCCGCTCGCGTGCGATCGAGCATCAGCTTTCGTGTGTCACAGTTGTGTTGCTCGTAACGAGTGTGTCATGCTTAGCCGGACAGTGCTGAAATTTTGGCTGCAGAGCCCACGACTTCAACTGGTACTGGAAATATCCAAGCACACCTCGATAGAGTTCTCAACGCGTTGGCAGCATGTATCCGGTCAAGCGCACCGTTTGGTCAATTTCTTGGGAATGGCGCAAAGAGTGTGAGAAAACTTGCAACAACAAGCGTGTCGACTGTGCTCGATTCCGAGTATCGTCCCTCAGCAGCGAATCACCTCATTCGCTCGAAAACTGCTACATCGTTAAGTGACTGGAATGCTGCTATCGTGCGTGCGCTGTCTGTCGTCGATGTACTCATGGACGCGGTCTCTTGTTCCTTCGCGAGGCAAAGACGAGACCCCGTATGGCGCGCGTGGGCTACAAAAAGTGCCGTGATATCGTTGGCGCTGTAAACTTCGAATTGATCTGCTTTGCCGCCGTTATCATGCGCTCTGCGTCGTCTCCAGACATCCCGCGACGAGCTGTAAGATCTCGGTCTCTGCATGGTGCAATGAACGAAGCATGAGAGTCTTACCCGCTCTGCAAGTTCACCCCAACAAAGTACAACGTCCACTAACCTGTTCCATCCACCGCTGCTCCGACCAGACTGACTCCCGTATTGTGCCTGCTCTGCTTGTTTGCGCTGGTGCTTTTCCAACAGTGAAGGGCCTCGCGATTGTCGCAGGTTCTCCATTCGCAACCGCATTTCTTCATCCGCCTCGGGATTTGCAGTAGGAACGATGGATTCGTTCACCACCGCTTTGTTTGACGTGGATGCTACACTGCGCACAGCTTCAGCACTAGGCGCGTTTTCTTCACGAATGTAACCCAACAACTCCCTGCAGACAGCAAACGATGGAGTCAACACAAATACACAAAAGCACTGTGTATCCTGCGCAAACTGCCTGTAGCGTACATGTCAAGCTTCGCACGTTTTGCACGTTCCCGTTCTTGTGGTGAGTCAAACCACGTTTTGTCCACGGCTGCAGGCTCCTTTCTACATCAAACCAAAAAAAATGCCAGAGGGAATAGTCCAACATGTCCATACAATTAGCGACCGGAAATACACCCACGTCAATCAACTGTCGCTAGCCTCACCTTCGAAAAGCGGCAGGTTTACCGGGTGGTCTGCTCTGTGGTCCCAGAGAATCCTTCAAAATCGAGCTCTCAGGCATCACCGTCATCCACGCTTCTCGCACCAGTGGATTCTTCTCATCTGCTCCAGCACTGTGGCTCGTCGAGCCATCACGTACACGCTCCCACTGCTCTTTTTCCAACTGTTCAGCCTGGCGCGCCATTTCAGCTTCCGTACGTTCATCGGCTAAACGGAAGCCCTTCATACCAGGCAGTGCTGGACCCACAACTTCATCGTCGTCAACGTCGTGGATATCACCAATACTGCCCAATCTCGTTGACGCAGGAGGGAGTGATGGCCCAATTGGCAACTTGCGCCAACTAGGCGCTTGCACTGCAGGCTCCATAACTTCCGCGGTCGACATCGTTTCAGAGTAAACATCAGTTCCAGTAGTTGCATCTGGCCGCGGCGACACCTACCCGACACACACAAACTCGCTCGCCGTCAGCTATCCCCCAACCGCACGCACGATAAGCTCAATCAACACACAAAAACGTACCTCTTTTGCACTGCCGGACTGCAGCATTTGTCGAAAAATCTCCATCACACTTGTCTCGGTCGTGCCGTCCTGTGCTTGACGTGGTTTAGCAAAAGCGTCCTTAGGTCCGCGTACCTAATTGCAACGAAACAAGCAACAACAGTCACAAACACACAATCACTTGCAGCAGTACTTTGCACCAGCACCAACGAACCTTCACGAGCCCCAATAACGGACACAACTCCTTGAGCTTGGAGCGAATGTGTCGGTTCTCAATACCGCCAATCACAGCTACTTCGCCATCATCCACCATCTGAAGTAGCGCCAAGAGATCCTTCGTAATCTCGGGCGTCTGTGTCAGCAGCTCGTGGACCACGTGCAGAGCTTTCGCATAGTCAGGCTCTGTCACAGCGTCCCCATCGTCGCGGCTTCTCTCGTGACTCCGACCGCTCTTCCGGTCCTTCTTGTGCTGCTTCTTTCCCTTCTTTTTCTTCGGCTCTGGCTCGTCCTCCCGCCGTCTCTTCTGCCGCTTCTGCCGCTCGCGTGGCCGGTCACGCTCTCGGTCGGGCTCGTGTTTGGCCATACAAAAACCGTCTGTTGGTTTCTGTCGATGGTGTGTAGCCATGATGTGGCAGCAACAAGCGCAAAAAAGGACGAGCTGCATGAGCGTCATCCGTCTTTTTCTGGGCAGTTTGTTTATGCCCACAACGAGTCGCCGAGTCGCGCGGGTCACCATCATCCAAGTCTCCATTGCACATCTCAGCTCTCGAGTCTCAATAACACGCAGCGGATCTTGGACTACAGCTGAGACGTGCGTTCTTCTTGGCTGCAACTGCGAGTCGGGCGAGCGTTCTTCTATCATGAAGCTGAGATGTAGAACCGATGGCACGCGCGTGCGCAGGTTCTTGTTAACAGGGTCCAGTGGCGAACTTTGACGGTTGGGTGGCACCTTGTTTTTGTTCTGCTGGATACGTCGCGCGAGATGCGGCGCTGTGTCTTGGCTCTCGTTTTTGGTCAAAGAGACGGACGATAACGTCGATGGTGTCATGACCTGCATCCGTTTTGCCAGATTAGGCGGACTTGCTCGAGTCTGCTGCGAGTGGAGCTTGAATGCCAGGATCGATGCAAGCTGACAAAAGAGGAGAGGAGTGAACGCCTCCATGACGTGTGACAACCGTCGTTCGCTCTAGAGCAATTGAACAAGCAGCGTGTTCCGGGTCAATCAATCACGACCTTGTCGAGCGCACAATGAAGTGGTGACAGCTTACGTGAAGAAGGTGCGAGACGTCACATGGCTTGCTAAACGAAGCTTGTGTCAACGGCAGTAGCGTTGACGTGGCCTCTTTCCAGCGGCTTTGGCAGCCTTAACGGAAAAGATCTGAAACTCGTCAAGTCTGCTAGGCTGCATGAACTATCGCCTGTGATATTCAAACCGATGTGGAGCTTCAGTGCTGAAGCTTGGGTGTAGCACCATAACGAACTAGGTCAGCTGAATGGACAGTGGCTGGCCCGGACTTGTCAATGACCATACCTTACCAACGTTTTGAGTTTAGCTTGTCAGCTAGTGTCGAACTGTCGGAGTTGATCATAGATCTGTCGGAGCGGCTGGGTCGCTTCTTGGTTTTCCGGGAAGAAGCTCAGGAAGTGTCCGAGCTGCCGCACCCACGGTAGTAGCAGACCGGGGAAAGACACGACATCCGCAGAATCGATATCGCTTTTGGCATCGGCGAGATACGACCGGAAGATGTCGTGGTCGAACACGACACCATACGCCAAGTCGGCAAGAGCTAGGCTGTGTCGCACCGCATTTCCGCGCACGCCGTACCACACCAGTTCGTCCGTAATGTAGTAGAAGTCGAAGTACAGTGCCTGATACAATTGCACTAACTGGTCGAAACCGTCTGCACGAGACGAAGCTCGAGTCCCCGTCACTTCCTCAAAGCTCAGCAAAGCCATATGCGTGAGATCGCGAGGGCTAAAGGGTGACGCCAGATCCAACGCGTCTTCGAGGTCATTCAAAACTTCAGACAGCTTTGGTGTTGTTGATGCCGGTGATTGACCGGACGAGTTCTTAGGCGAAACGTGTGATTCCGACAACTTTTCGCGGAACGAAATTAAACGCTTCCAAGTGTACTCAAAGTTCTGCACAACGACCACAACAGAACAATGAGATGATGCTTGACATGTGAAGATGTGAACACAAGAGACTAAATATCGTCGTACCTGCAAAAACTTTGCGACGATATCTTCAAGCGCCGAGATAGGGTAGCTTTCGCTGATATTTGGTGGGATGTAGAAGCTCGCAACATTACTGAGCATACAAGAAAACAAGGGCTTGGATCAGAGAGGAAAACGTACGAAGTACAGGGGCCCAACATCGTACCTGCTTGTGAAACAAAGTGTAACCTGGTAATGCTCCGCGAACTGGTTGATGTTGTACAGGGTGACGTGCTCTTTCACGCTATGGTCCCACAGCTGATGATGCTTCCACAAAGCTGCGACGTCAGGTTTCACCCGAAGAACCACAACGCACTGAGGTTGTATGGTCAACAACAGCGTTGGCTTGCGGCCCGCACAGACGCCGCGATCCAGTACATCTACTGTGGCGGAACCAGGTTGAGTCAGGCTTTCATCAATTGCCAAGCCAAAAAACATACTATCGTTCCGCAACGCTAGCCGGGCATTCGCGTCCTTCTTCGTATTGCGTACAACCAAAAATTTCTGCATTTCATCGGCGGCTTTTGCAGACAGATCCGGACTGGACAGGATAGGTTCCAGCATTGGAAAGACCAACCCAAGGAAAGTTGGCTGTGCTGAGAAATAGGCTTCTCTATGTAAGGGAGACTCATTCGTTTCACCATTCGCCACATTCACCATCAGCTGAGGCTGGCTGCAAATGGCGCGCAAAATGACGGTTTCTCTGAAATCTTTCACAAGTCGGCAGCTCACATATACCTCGATTTCACGCACCCAGGGATCGATCAGCTCATCCCCGACCACATCGGTAGCTCCAGGCAAAACCAGTTGTTTTGGTTGGGGACGAAAATGCAGGAATACTTGCATACTTGTATGAGCTCCGAGAGTAACTGTAGTCACCTCGTTCAATGACATCGGTGAGATGGAAAAGCTTACTTCTTGTGGTCTAGCATTCGTTGACAACATGAAGTCAAGGCTCAGACCCGACGAGTTTTCGATTACTATCGAGTGGTTCTGATAGAGCTTGTAGTAGTAAATCTCACGGAAGTCGATCATCAATCGTCGCGCACCGCCCGGAGTGCTCGACTTTTCGGAAGGCATGTCAATGTTGGACCGATGAGGCCGTTTAGGACTGCCATGGTTCGACACGAGCACACGAAACAGATTTCTCGTTGGGTCTAACTCGGACGACATTCCTCGCAGAGAATTCAGATCTGCAATAACTTCCAGTCTCACGTGAATCACTTTTAGATCAGACGGGTTCGCCAGATTCTGGAGTACGAGGAAGGTCGAATACACTCCCACAACACCCCTAAGAAAATAAAGCACGATGCTCTGGTAGCTATGTGCTCTATCCAATGTACCGCGCTCACGACTGAGCTGCAACCACGATCGGGCAGCCTTATCGACGAGCATGAGATGGTATTCCACGGCGTCAAGACCATCATCTGCTACACTGCCGAAAAGACTTTCAATTGTGATCTCCCACTCAACTTCTCCACCGTTGCGGACCGTATGCTGGCCCACATCAATTAAGTATCGCGTATTTTCTAGCGATGAATACTCGGCTGGCGTACAGCCTCGGATCACCAATACTGGTAAATAATCATTTTGCTCCACCACCCCTGAACGACTTGAAGAAACATTAAACTTGCAAGCATTATCCGAACCATGCGATTTTGATTGCCCATCAAACTCATTTTCAACGTGAGTCTTCAAGGAGGGTCTTGGACGCAGTTTTCGCGGCTGTGCAAGACGGTTATTGCGAGCTGATAGTGCAGTAGTAATAAGGTTTGTGTCTAAAATGACATTACCTTGATTGCCGTTGTCACTCGACGAGCTCTGCTGCTGTAATACTAACAGCACATCGATTTCTGTGGATACTGCAGTATCCAAATTTAAACCAATGTTACGCACAAGCAAGGACATGTGGTATGATCCACCCTCGTCTGGTAATGTTTCCAGAGCATCTGCATCCCATGAGTTACTCCGCCAGGTTGGATTACGGCGCACTGTATGCCGCGACGCTATCTTTCCGGGCGTACTGTCATCGTTTCCATCATGAAACGGATCTACGCTGGTAGGAGTTGCTTCTTCGAGACGAACTGTGATTTTTAGCGATTCATTAGGCGCAATAGTGCCCGATGAGGGAACTGCTATGGCTTGAATCCATCCACTCATGGCACACATGTCTGCTTCCGCTGAACCCTTGACCAGACACAGTCCTGGCTGATACATCGAGACCGGGCTGATGGCGAAGTCCAGCACATCCACCGTTGACGGATTGCGCACCCAAAAACTTTCAGCGGAGTTGCGTAGCTGGTGAACGACACAAGTTGTCGTCTGTTGCGACGTTTCAGTCGATAAAGTTTGCGATAAATCTCTGCGACCCCCAGCGTTTAATACTAGATTCGGCGGCAGTTGGCTGGCAGAAATTTGTGCCGGCAAATCTGTTGCGGTGGCAAAAAAGTGTAGGCTAGATGTAGACAGCAAAAAAGTCTTGCCTGGCAACAACTTCCCCTTCACCCGAATCTCTTTTTGTTGTGCAGCTTCTTCGGCATTCCGAATATTGATGTGAAGCAATACGCGTCCCAGATCCAAAATGTCGGACGTAGCGCCGCTGATTCCTGATGGCCACGTGTCAGGCAGTAGACGAGCGGCCGGGAAGACATGACATACTACGCGGATATCGACCGACTCCCCGGGCGAAATAACGATCGAACTCAACGGCGTATGTGCAGAGCGAAGCATTAGGAGCAGCTCAATAGTTCTATCAAGAGCAACCAACGTGCAGTCAGTGCAGTACCATTGCAGCAAAAGCAAACACAGAAAAGGAACGTACCGATCGAACGGACTATGTGTTTGAGAGGAAAGCCTCACACTCAACTCTTCGTCGTACACATTTCGCAACGAAAACCAGAAGCTGGCACGATGAAGGGGCGCTTCCAGTGATGCAGGCACCGTGACCGGAGGAAGAAAAGCGACATGATCTTCCTTGGAGTCTACCGTCTCCATCCCTTTGTCCGCACTCGCCGGGTCGATCACCAATTTTGCGTAACTGGAAATAATCTGCGCCCGAACCAAGACATTCTCTCGATTGCTGGGATTGCATAGGTTAAAAAAGCGGAGTAGAAACTCGTGGTTTCCGGCAACTAGGAACTAGTCAATAAATAAAGCAAGGTTAGTCGTTGGAAGACCCAACGTCAAGTACACTGATGAGGAAGATTGCGTACCTCCTTCGTTCTTACTAGTTCCATCTCGAGCACGCACGTCGTTCTAGGCTGCAGTCCCCATGCATTCCAGCTTACACCGTGTTCATTCTCATGCAGCTGCTCGGCATGCTGCGCAAGTATTCGAAGTGAAGGGAAGTGCTGGATCGACTTGGAATCTATCTCGTCATTAGATTCGATACGGCGAGCGTCACAGACGTTGCACACACGAATGCATGCTGGTAAGTTGGCCAGTATAAACGATACCGCCACATCAGATACATTCTCTACAGAGATCGTGAACGTCGAAGACTTCCACCCAATAGCATAACCGATTTTCCCAGTGCAATGTGCTTTCGTGCAACATGAAAGCGCGGTTCACCATACAAACCTGAAACATTCACCACTTTAAGTGTACACGCTTCCTCACCGTCCTCACTCTCGCCGGTTTCGAAACTTTGGATTCCAATCATCCCCCGAAATGGACACAGCTGCCCACTTTCTATTGTTTCGATAGGCAGTGGCGCAGTCACAGCGATCGGTGCAAAGCGAAAGGATAGCTGGACAGTGCTGTTCGCATCTAAGGCCGATGAATCGCCATAAGACACGCTTGATTGCTGAGTCTTTTGTGACGCAGTGTCACTCCCCAGCCGTGGTACACATAGCCTGCGTACATCCTCCATCGAGGCAAATCGAGTATTTACTTTTTCTGAGGCGCTGGAATTATCATCGCCTTTTTGTTTCCATCGAAACGTCATCGGAAGCGTACTAAACGGGCGCACTACTATTCTCCGATCAGTTGTGTTTGTCAACACAAGAGTTTTATCACCAGATAGGCACAACAGACTGTTTGCAGTAGAACGCGCTTTGATGAATGGTACATCATCAGATTTTCCATAGATACGGTACTTGCAACTTGAAGGATCACTATCGCCGGAAACACGTGTAGTGTCGGACAACTCTTCCTCCAATCGGATCACGTTGATAAGTCCCAGATCAACACTTTGCACCAGTACTGGCTCGTTCAGCGCATTACGAGAAGCCGACGCGTTCTTCTCCTGTCGTATCTGACCATCAGATTCTGATACTGCAACCTCGCAACTCAGTGCGCCACTATCCACGAAGAGTAAGACGTCGACAGAATGTGCGTTGCCAGGATAGTTAATATTATCCACCATTATACGACGACGAAACAGCCCATTTGTATACGCCATCATTCGGAACTCAATCTTCCCGGTCTCGCCCGCCGGAATCTCTCCTTTTTCGTGTTTTAATGATAAATGGAGAGAATCGTCGTCGTCCGAGTAGCCCTCTGTTGCATTCGTGACGTACAAGCGATATTTCAACGGTAGCGCCTTACTCATGTTGACCAATTCAAAATGACCCTCATGCGTTTGGCACGTTTGCATTCGCCCGCTGTTGTATTCAACACCGAAGTCGATCAGCGTTGGTGCGATTTGTGCAATACTTGCGCCAGCCACACCAACAAACTTCACAGTGAACTCGGTCAGCATGTCGCTCTTTTCATCTCCCAGCGTGTCATCTTGTGCCAGCAGTCCAAAAAGCTGGACGCGAATTCCACCCACCAACTCTCGAGTAGACCCCGTTTTAATAGCATCCAAGGACAGCCTTGGGCGGATCGCCACGTAAAGATCAATGACATGCATTCCTTTCATTACAACATGTGTTGCCTCACGCTGCAGGCGCGCATCTTCATAGACGTAGCACTGAGTCTTTAAATTTGATGAAGCACAAACAACCAGCGTGTGCTCGACTTGGCTATGCAGCGTAAGCTTGTGAACCTTACTGAAACGAAAAGATCCATTTGGACTATCCACGGCTGTGTCTTGCATTTCAGGAGTAACATAGCACGGGCCCAAGTCCAGAACTTCTAATTGTCCAGTCACTTGTGGATCCAACTCGGGAATCCGGACATACACTGGTCGAACTATACGGACTGATAATGTCAATATGGACGTGTCGAGACGATCCCCACTTAGATTTCGCAATACAATCTGTTCCTTGTGCTGCCCTGGCACACTGCCCTTGTAAACAAATGTTGCTCTCACAAACGACTCCGCTTGCACAGTTCCTGTAGCATTCTCGAACGTCAACTCACCCCCAACAAGCAAAGGAGAGACCAACGATGGTTTGCTGCTGCTACTCGGATCTCGAGACCCAGCCAACAAAAGGTACTGGAGGGGCTGTTGTAATCGGTTGTGAATAACAACTTCGCCTCGAATGTCTTCTCCTTGCTGGCGCTCGCCCAGATCAATTGCTTCGTCTTCGAAGCACAGGGACCGCTGCGCGGTCTTCAATACAACGACATTGAGAGACGATATCCGGGTGCGCGTCGTTGTACCCTGATGACACTCTTGTGGCGAAGCGTTGCACGAGCAATAGAAAAAATCAATCGTACCTGCGTTTAATTCCGCAGCTTCGGACACGCTCTCCAGAACTGACCGACTCACACAAGACGCCAACGGAGTTGACGGTGCGTAACCCGCGTCACTAGTAAAACACCATTTTAGGTCCATGCTCACCGTGCGGTCAACAGGAATATTCAATTTAACAGGAAGCAGATGTCGGCCACGAGTCTCCGCCTCATCAGAAATTGCTGTCTTATCATCTTGAGTCAAGAAATTAAGCAGAACTGTATTGCACGTAAGTGTCATCACGTTTTTGAACGTGCTTGCTGGATTCCATACAATCTCGATCACTGCTGAACCTTGAAACGAAGGAGAACCCAATGTCAATGTCAACGGCCAGCCACGAGTGACTGAGGGTGACTCATCCGCTAGTACCAGCAAGCTTGAGCTAGAAGGAAATGGACAACACTGACTGGAATCAATGTCAACATTCAGCTTTTGTACCATCTTGCCCGAATCAGGTATCTTGATCGTTAGATTCTGGCGACGCTTTGATACAGCGGATTTCGCCTCGACCGATGCAGCCATCGATGACGAAACGTCATCGACTTGCGACACAGACCCACCATTAGCATCACGCGGTTTTCCTGTGCGGCTCTTTAAAATGTTTTCGTCCATGATAGATACCCCCGTTCCGTTGTGGGGATGCGGAGGAAGGGTAGAAGGAGGTTTACGGCCAACAGCACGGCAGAACGCATTTTCACCTGCAGGTGTTCGTAAGAAAATTTCAGCAGTGTACTGCAGCTCCTTCACCACATCCTTATTTTGTTGTTCGAAAAGCAAAAACTTTCCCATTCCCACAATGGTAGTCGCATCACGACGAAGCTGGCGCTTCTTCACTTCTGTACGTTGGCATGCTTCACGCTTGTTGCCGTTTTCTCCGGAAGCTAAGGAGTTATTACCAGATTTAACGGGATTAAAAATTGCATATGCTACAACTTTTCCGGTGGCCTCAGCTTCCAATGAAAAATGCAACGTGTTGGTGCGAGACGATACTCCGGTTTTCACATCCACAAAGTGTTTGTCAGAGTGTCTCGAACGGCGACGCTGCGAACGTGAACTCGATTCGGACTCAGAAAGTTCTGACTCACTGTTGGCACTATCGTACGGATCACACGCTCCCACCTCGCTACTCTCCGCCGATATTTGTCCGCCCGATAATAAAGCCTTGACTTGCGAAATCTTAACGTTCAATTTGACGATCTTATCCACCTTCTTTTTCGTTTCCGCAATGCGCAGCTTGTGCTCCAGTTTTTCTAGCTCCTCATCCAACTTTTTTTCCTGCGCCTGCGTTACGACTGTCGCCGGCGTCTCGTCAATTGAGAAGTAAAATGTCGGCCGCAAGTTTGGGACCGTGAAGCTTTGATCTACCTGAATCACATACTCCCTTTTCTTCCGACTGGTGTTTCGTAGAGGTATCTTCACTTTTTCAGTTTTCTCACCTACAATGCACTTTCCGAACGAAATCGTTTGGCCTGCACACATGCACAAATTACACAAGATCAACGAATGTCAAGTTATAATAGCTCTTCAGCCATGACGGCACTGTCGTACCTGATTGTAAAAGCTTAAACGTTTCACACTTGACAACCCTGGCCTTGATGGTGACTGAAACGGAGTTCTCTGCATCTTGTGCATTAACAATTTTCAATTTCTCTTCAAAAGGGCCAGCCAGCGTCGGCTGGAATTGAAAGCAAATTTCTTTCGTGCCAAAAGCTTTGACCACTCCCACCTCTCCCTCCTTAATCTGTAAAAATCCTGACGAAATCGAGCCTGTCTTTTCCACGCTGTATACGAGAGGAGTAGCGGACATGTTTTGCACAACCAGCCTTTTCGAATTTTTCGAGGACGTCGAAATTCGGCCAAAATTGATGTTCTTTTGGTTCACGTTCATCACAGAGCGGCATACTCGGCTCTTTAGGAGCAACTCCCTCACAGATGGTCGTGAATTGAACGAGTGCTTCATTGTTGTCCACTCCGATATTTCACTGTGATCGAATGTCGGTCGTTCTGCAACTGCTCTATTACCACCAGGCGGTAGTGTAATCAAAATCTTGTGTCTCTCGACTCGAGTCTTCGCAACGTCCTTCGTATCTACTGTTTCAGAAGCCACGGGACTAAATACGGACACAATCCTTAGGCGCGATTTTGCTGGAACTCGCACGTTTCGCTCCTTGTTAGAATTCAGCAACACCAACTTCTTCTCAGCTAAGAGGGTCTGGAGACGCTTGGTGCGCTCCCGAACCATAGCTACAATCTCCTTCTCTTTCTCTTTAGAGGGCAGAGAGCTGCAGCAGTATGCATCACAATCAGCACGCGATTTTGCAAAAAGTTCCAAAAGATCTGCCACCTCCTCTGAAGAAGTTTCGTCCTCGTGCGAATCTACAAGTGCAGATGATGACATATCTGACGACCCATCCAGCGTTTTTTCCTCGACAGCCGCCCCTTGTGGCGTTTTCGCTCGCCTATCAACTCCACTGACATGCTGAACTTGCCGTCCTTTACCACCATCGAAAATAGTGGATGTCGATCTGGAGATGCTGCACTTAGCAGGCATGGCCACTGGTGCGTGATGACTTTGCGATGCGGAAGAAGCGGTCAGTTTTTTTGCACGTAAGTCCCGAAGTGCTGTAAATTTACCTCTTCTCCAGCTCGTTTTTTCATCGACCAGTTCCGACATGCTACAAAACGATCTACGTCGATAGAATGTCCGTCCTACCGATGACTGGCTCCTTTGCGCTAAAACGTTGACAGGGGATCCGGCGCCACTAGTTTGCGAGTTTGTAGACGTGGACGAAAGACACACCTTGCCTCCGGCATCACGCGCACCGTCGTCTTCCACAAACTCTACTGGGTTTATCCTGTCAGCAAATGTATGCTTTATGCAATACAATCGAATTTTAGAGGGGGCGGAGCTGCTAACGTGTAAGTGCAGCGGGGCGTTCGTGATGTTCTCTAAATCAAACACTTGAATTCCAACCGAGTTGATCGCCACGTGTTCAAAATTCAGGAACGCGAATCTAGAGTGGGTCAAAAGTTTGTAGAACAGCGAGTGGTAGATCACATGATGCGCATCCATATTGCTCGAGCGCACGCAAATTTGCGGAATGTTGTTTTGGTTTCTCGTGTTGAGAATGGAAATCAAACGCGAGTAATTCGAGTTAGTCTTCCGCGGAACAATTTCGATTTTGACTTCGACTGACTGCTTCGGGCCCAGCACCATGTCATCGTTTGGCACAGTCGAGATCACTTTGGACGTCACCAACGGTTTTACAACCGTTGGCAACTCGGAATGATTTGTCAGTATACAAGAGCTGCTCTTCAGTTCTCCGATATAGCAATCTCCCAGATGCAGTACTGAAGGCGTCACGGTTACCAGTGAAGTGCAAGTTCGTGCGCGGACATGAACCGATTTGCCAAGTGCCCGGTCGTACACACGAGACTGAGCTTGTTGCCACGCGCCTTCCATGAGAAAACACCGGAATGAAACGCGGAACGTTTGCTTCGTCAAACGCGCAGCTTTGAGGTCCACTGCGTCTGCTTTATCGTCATTCAATCCGTCCAAATAGCTGACTGAAGCAGGTGAGTACCATATCAAAATGGTTCGCTCGACACCAGGCGGCAAATCAATCGTTTCGACAAGAAAATTGGACGCATTCTTCTCATCAATCGAAACCGATTGGTGCTTTCGGGACTTGCTTCGTTCAGGGGATGAGTGCCGGCTGGTGCATAGAGCAAATGTTATACATCAATCATGAGCTCGGTCACGTCATTCCTCATTGTTACGCTTACCTGTCCCTACCGCTGTCATAAGCACCACTTTTATCGCCAGGTGTGTTGTTTGTGGACATTTCTCCTTTCATTCGAAATCCCTCCTCACGCCGGACTGCATCGGCTCTTGTTGCGCGCATCTCTGGGCTTCCACGAGGACTTTGTAGCAGTGCGCGAGGCTCCCGATCAAACTCAAAATCGTCATCTAAGTCCTCTACATCATTCATAGGGTTTCCGTCGAAGGCGCTTTGCTTCGTATGCAAGTTTTCGTCGTAAAAGTCTCCCTGTGACGACACAACATGCAAAAAGTGGTTAGAGTAAGAAGCAGCACAAGCGAAACGACAAACATGGTAACCTCATTGTCATCGATCTCTTCGTCGCTGTCGGGCCCATACGCGTCTACGTCTAATAATGGTGGCAACGCTTTGGCATCACCAGGCAATATCGATTCTTCCAGACTCAATCCGTCATCTAAAATAGTGGGTGAAGCGACATCGTCAGCGCGTGGAGCTCTCGACACGCGCGAGCCATTTTGCTGCAGCTTGAGCTCAAAAGTAACTTCTCTCGGTCGATCGCTCGTCAGCTCAACATGTAAAGCTACCTCTGTCATGTTCCGCATCAAGATGGTTTTAGAACTGGCTATGCCAGTATAACAGTCACCGAAGTCCAAGCGACTACCGCTCATTAGAAATGAACCACTCGACTCTTTGATCGACAGTCCTTCCCTAGTAGATGACACTTGAAGTGTCAGCACATACAACTAACTATTGCGTTCACGTATATGTTCATACAAGCACGAACTTATCAAGCATAGACAAGACCAACCTGTGGTGTTCTTGGTTTGTGATGGCGTGGATCCTCAGAGTCTTTACATTTCTCGAGTCGTGCAAGTTTTGGGCCTGAATTTCGAAAAATCGCTCTCCGATCTATACGCCACGCGAGCACACAGCCACAAAGTACGGTGAATACAAAGGAAAGATAGCGACCGCAGTCGCTTTTGTCAAAACACGCTTACTTCAGTAGGACGATAAGTGACGCGAATCCGAACATGCCCATAAGCAGCAGCTTGCAACGTTTTGTCTCCGATAACGTAACCAGAGTTGTAGTCCGTACACACGAGCAGCCCCTTGTTTTCGCTCCACGGAGTCATCGGCGACGACAGGTGGAACAACAACGGGATCTCGGAGCGATTCCATACAGTAAAATCCTTGACGAAGGATCCACCCGGCACGCAGTCGTCAAAATGAAGTTCTTTTACATCCAATCGCAGTAACAAGCGACACACTTGTCCTTGCAACGGCACCAGCATTTCTGCAGGCAATGATCGAAGGCTGCTCATTGCACTGTCCACAAACGATGGCTGCAAGACCAATCTTCCAGACAGCACGAAGCACGATGTCTCACTGAGATGCGCACGTTCTTCGTCCGACGAATCCGTGGCCGCCACATAAGCAGAAGTTCCTGCCGCTTGATTTTGCGGTGCTGTGAGGTTGGTACATATCGAAAGAATGATCGATGTCGTCTCTTTCGGCGCCAACGTAACCTCTTTCACCGTCCCAATATGATTAAACAGCTCGTTGTAGCCTTCACACAAGTACACATTCTCGGCACAAATAGCAGCTCGCGAAGACGAGCGCAGTACCGAGAATGGCACGTGCTCAAACTCGTCTGTAGCCACGGTCCGCTCTTTTTCCTGCTCGAGCTCGCGCCGCATGATGCTGATGTTCTCGTTCTCGAGCTGGAAGCTCCACTGACTGCTTTGGAAAGGCTTGCGAAGCTCCATGCGCATCTGGATCGTGATCGGTTGTGCCTCCTGATTCGTCACTTTGAACACATAAAGGTCCGACAGGTCGTTCAGGCACAGCTCGCCTAGACTTAGCACCTCGCCCTTCTCGCCGCGATATTCGACCCGATTCTTCCCCGTTTTGCTCAGCATGGAAACGGTAACCAAAGGACCTGGTAGCGCATTTCCACTAGCGACATCGTCGGTGCTCAGACCGTCCACTGCGTCGCTTGGTGTCGACGCCACTGCGGTTCCCTCAGCTCGCTCCGTCATCATCTTTGCCAACGTCCAAATGCAATGCTGATCACTGACTGGCTAAAATCTAAATCGGGATTACAAACCAATCATACGACGCCATTTCGAAAACGGCGACAACTCGCACTCGATGAGCGAAGGTGCTAGTGCTGCTGCTGGTGTTGCTGCGACGTCCATGTCTGACGCCGCGTACGCGTTCGATGAGGACGTGCTGAAGGACGTGCGCAACAACAAAGTGTGGATACAGGACCCCAAGTACTTTAAAAAGGTGATTGTGTCGCCTGCTGCCACTATGAAGATGCTCAACCACGCGAATTCCGGTGTCGAGAAAGGGATCAAAGCTGGCGGAAAACCCGTGGAGATCATGGGACTGATCATGGGTCGGCCGTCCACTGGTACGGACAAAGACGCTGGCGACGCGCACACGCTCGTAGTCACAGACTGCTTCCCACTGCCGATTGAAGGAGCCGAGACGCGTGTGCTCGCGGATGATGCCGAGGTTATCAACTATATGATCTCGCTGGGTGAAGCAGTCGAGCAGACACGCAAAGAAAGGTTCATGGGGTGGTACCACAGCCACCCCTTTGACGTCGAGGTACATAGCCACTGCTTTCTCTCGGCAACGGATGTCAGCACGCAGCTCCAGTGGCAGCGCTCGGAAGACCCGCATGGCAATCCGTGGCTTGCTATTGTGCTCGACCCACTGCGCTCGCTGGCCAAGAAACGTCCAGAGATGGGTGCGTTTCGTGTTTATCCGCCAGAGTTTGCCGCACCTGTGAACGAGACGCCGGACGGCACGATCGTTACGGATGAGAGCGCGAGACTCGAACGCTGGGGCAACTGCTGGAACCGCTACTACACGCTGGAGATCGACTACTTTATGAGCGCACTTGGCTCGCAGGTTGTGAGTGTACTCTCTGAGGAGTTCCTGTGGATGCGTACTCTGAGCTCGAACACGATGCAAGAGCGTGAGAATCGTGATCGTTTTTCGGAGCGTATTCAGCTGCTGGCAAACAAGCTAGATGGTTGCGAGGCTCACCTGTTGCCGCGAACGGGACGCAGCGCATCGCGAATTGGCGAGTATTACGTGCCGGAGAAGCAGCAGTCACACAAGGAGACCGAGGAGTCCGCACTCGACAAGATCACTCAGGCAGCGAACGAGCTCGCCATCGAGAATTCACTTGGTCATGAGCTACAGGTTATTAAGAAAGCTCTTTTCAACGACCAGTAAATACCACAACGTGTGTGACATATCCTAAGCGGTAAAATTAGTGTCATCAATTGCCAATCATGAGGACTAGCAACGCATTAGCTGGCCTGAAATAGCTTGGTTTTGGCTCGTCCTTCCCCCACGGCAAACAACTCCTCTGCGATTCGTTCTTGTTCTTCCATTATATCCAGGTTGCCCTGGAGGGCTACACGGTCAGCGTTGTTGACAACGCTCACGACTGTCTGCTGAGGGAACAGAGAAGCTCGTGATCCGCAACCTTCTTGCTTCTTAAACCGCTTGTAATTCACCAATCCATTCCCTCCCTCCATGCTTTGCTGGAAGGACTCTCGCTTCTTCACAACCAACTCACAACTCATCACGACTGGCTCGCCAGAATTGTCGTGTTGTTTGGGTTTCATGTCGTGTTGACGTAACAAGCGCAAGGATTTCCATGCTGATAGGTCTACAGCTCTCGACTTGCTGGGCGTCATCTCACGCATGCGCTTACTTGGCGACAAAGTCCCTTCATTAGTCACGTAGCAAATAAGTACCAGCACCAAGAAAACAGTAGTCAGCATCAATTCCTGCTCGTCGTTCAAGCCTCGGAGAACAATACCTTGTCCTCGTAGCTCTCTCTTTAAAAGCTGCATAACGTTGATGTTTGAATCTGTCGATACGTTACGGCCTTTGATCTGTCAAGAGCTCACGAAAATTTGTGAGAGGACTAGAAGATAGTGGACATTCAAAGACGACCACATTACCTCGGCACCCTCGTAGTGAGGGCTGGACAGTTGCTTATAATTCTCCTCCATCGTTGCATCATGGTCAAATTCCTTGTCCTTCTCTTCTTGCTTGGTTTCATCCTTTTTATTCTTGTGATCCACAGTTGATGTCGACTGCACACTCAAACGTTCTGGAGAGCTCCTACGCTGGATGGATGTTTTCGAGTAGCTGGCAAGGTTGTGATTGAAAGCCGTGCCATTCAATGACGTGGGCGATTTCACAAATATCACACACGCAGCTAGTTCTTGCACGCTCGTAAACACCGCTCCCATTGCCGCAAACAGCTTTACCCGTCGCTCCACTACATCGATCGAACATGGTGGGTTGTCAAACGCTGAAGCTTGCTGTTCACTCTGCCCTGCCGTACAGGAAGATCCTGCAACTTGCAAAGGTTCTATAAGCAGTATCTGCTTACTCGAAGTTAGTGAATCCATCTCACGCAGCATACGGTCGTCCCCGTCAACTTCTTTGTACGCAGTGACTACAACGCCATCCATTGCGGGAATAAGCTCTTGCATCGACTGTGGTGTTAAGAAGACCACTGCATACCCTCGGAACAGCGTCTTCCGCAGCGGATCCGGCAAGTAATTGCGTTCAACCGACGGCAAGGATGGATTCGCAGGAAGGTAGTCTTCACACCGTGGCAACGGGTCCGATAGCCTCGATCGATTCAAAATAGCATATAGCCATTGGGTGCACACCACCGGCTGGTTGTACACGAGGGCCCACAGCACCTTGACAGTGGCTACAATGTGGCCTTGATCCATGATGCAATGTGTCGCGTCTTTACTTGGTGCTGCAATCACGTGCATTCCCGTGCACTGACACGCGTCGTTCACCTGCACGCGACTCGATCGCTGGATACGCGACGCGACGAGCACAATCACTTGGTAACGCACCCGCAGCACAGTCTTCTTCGCCCCGAACGAGATCTCGTCACCAGGCTGCAATCTCCTTGTGCCAATGCACTTTTCCTCGTTCACAAACGAGCCAAAGCGCGAGGTCGTGTCCACGAGCTCCAGTGCCGGTCGAGTCGACGGATCTCCCAATTGGTCGGACGTTAACGCGCCAACGCGGATCAGCGCGTGCGTGCGAGAGATGGACGAGTCACCGAGGAAGCTCAAGTGGCAGCGCTTGCGACCGACGGTCCACTCGCCCGCCACGAGATAGAACGCCATGTCAGCGCCGTCGCTTGTGCCTGCGATGACGTCCAGGACCCACATCTTTGACCCTTGACAGCCGAAATAGACGATAAAAGCGTACCCTACCCTCGCCTTTTGGGGTCGAGCAAGTGCTGGGTATACTTTACCACCGTGGACGGCGGTAATTTACCAGGTCAATTGCGTCCTTCATGTCAAGGACTTCCGCATTGACAGGAGGTTTTTGACAGCGACCACCGTGTAGTGGGCTACTGCTCCGGAAGCAGGAATAACAACATGAGCTAACGAAGCGGTTGACGAAATACTGATGGAAGCGTCAGCGCTCGCAATGGCAGGCGTGTTTTCACAGAAGGAAGGCTTCCACCTGGAGATAAGGTGTACATGAACTACAATCGAAAGACGATCCGATACGACCCGTGCTAGTTTCAAGGGATGCACATAGGATCCCATTAAGCGCACGAGCTGGTCGTAGCAGACGAAGGCGCTTGTTTCCTCGCGGATGGATATGGTTACCCCAGCCTTCTGCAGTGATTTGTGCAGCCAGCACAAGTGATCGCACCCTTACTATATACTTGGCCTGCAAGACACCTTTATCCTACTAGTACGACTGCAAATTACGTAACCACGTCGATGGGATGAACGTTGCGGAGCTTGCCTACCCAACCAGCTTGAAATTTCAACAGTGAGCTATCTCGCGCACTTCAACTTGTACCACGGACCGCTACTGTAATAAATCGACTTGGCTGATCCAATATTCGCGTTAAATTACCAACTCAAACTTTTCGTCATCAAGGAGGACCATGGCCGGGCTCAAGCGACGACGCGAGGAAGCCACGCAGCGCAACACGAGAGCTCGCCAACGTATGTGGTTTTGGGCCAGTGTATCCATTTATTTGTTAGGCTGGTCCTGAATTGATTGTCGACGGCAGGTGGTTCCAAAGACAGCGAAGACGCGAGTGAGACCGATGATGAGGTACCTCCTACGAATGTCGCGGTGGCTGGTAGTCCTAGCGACAGCGAAGAGAAGAAAGAAGAAAGTGGAGATGAGGAAGAGGAAGAAGAAGACGAGCTGCTGGATTTCACGCAGACGGACTATGCAGCTCAAATGAGTCAGGCTGACCCTGTGGAGGAAGACGAAGACGGAGGTGGCAAGAAGTCCGATAATGAGCCGACCAAGCCCAAGGCTTTGCATCGACTCTCTGACAAGGTGGGTCATTTGGGACGGCTATAATTACGTGCATGCTTGGTGCATGAAGGTCAGCTGATCAGGGCGTGTAAGCGCAGGCGCTGGAAGAGCTTTTGGCGAAGCTCGTGCGCTATATGCTGTACAAAGGCGGTTTGAAGCTGCCTATCAAGTTTACTGACATTAGCAAGGATGTGTTCCCGCAGTATAAGAATGTGTCAAGGTAGAGTTGAATGCGCACGTATAAGTTAGACGTCAGTGTGCGTGGCTGAGTGACTGACACGTTCGTTCGTGCTGACGTATGTGTAGATACCTTTTCTTCTTTGCGAAACAGAAGATTGAGAGTGTCTTTGGATACCGCGTGGTGCATGCGAACGACAACACGGGCAGAGAGATGTACTTCGTGCTCAACAATGTTTCGTCGCAGGAACACTTGCTGCTCATGAACAAAAACGGAAAGGCTGCCTCGCGAGGCTTCCTCATGATGGTGTTAGGTCTCTTGTGGTGCGCTCCTGCGCGGCGACTGTCAGAAGGTCTGTTGCCATGCTGTGTCATTGCAAATCGGAAGTACTGATGATCAAGCTAACACTCAACTGCAGATGACTTGTGGAAGCAGCTCATTCGTCTGGACCCGAAAGTGAAGCTGAAAGTGAACCATCCGCAACTCGGCGACATTCCTCTTCTTTTCAAGACGTTCGAAAACCAACTGTACGAATTCAAAGCCATGCATCACTGACTCGAACGGTCGCTAATCGTAATCATGATCGCTTGCAACCTTGCCCTCCAGCTACCTCAACGCCACGTTTGAGCTTGACGCGGACCTGAAGAAGATCAAATACTACCAGTATGGCCCACGGACGTTCCTGGAAGTGAGCAAAGTGCAGATCCTCAACTTTGTGTGCAAGGTACGCACTGCTTGCATCAACTTGTCCACCCGGTCTTCATTCTGCATGCTTGACCGAACGACTGATATCCATTGTCATCGTCAATGTCGTAGCTGATTACGGGTCATCCGCCATCTGACATTCAGGTTAACGAGGTCTTAGCAGAAGATAGCTAAATGGAGACAACTGCTCGTTGTTAGCAATAGACGTCTTCATTTCGGCCCCGTCTATGTTAACTGTCATCCAGCGAACCTGCCAATTCGAACAACATGGAGTCCATCGTCGCAATCTACGGATCGTCGTCCGAGTCATCTGATGCTGGTCAGGTCTCATCCGACAGTGAAGCCGAGTGCGATGCAGGAGAGGAGTCGAGTGCTCATGAGGATACACAGACCGGCTCGAAGCGGAAGCGCTCCAGCGAACTGCAATGGAAGCGAGCGTTTCCACACGTGGATGGCAATTGGCCAAGCCATGTACGAATTGACATCGTAGTCGACCACGAGCTACGCAAACTAGCCATGAACGCAATTGAACGTGCTCAGGACATCGTCGGTGACACGATTGCACTGGTGCCTTTTGACGAGCTCCAGCTGAGCGAGAGTTCAGCGACTGACAACGAAAACAGGGCTCTACATTTGAGTCTCTCGCGACCGTTCGTCCTCACTTATGACCAGATCAATGCTTTCGTCGACTCGCTTCGTGCCGCGCTCAAGTGGCGACAACGGTGCGTGTATTCTCGTAACGATGTGTCGTCACAAGATTTACGGATGCTTCTTTTTGCAGGTTCAGCATCACTCTGCGCCGCAGTCATGTGCTGCTGAACGATGATAGGACACGCTCGTTCCTAGCCCTCCGTGTTGTTGAAGGAGAAAGCGGTATCGTAAACCTGCTGCAACGCGTGGATCAGTGCGTCGCGCGCTTTGGACAGCCTGTTTACTACCAGGTACGTCTCTTTGCAATGAGACGCGGACGCAGGAAAACCGGAGCAACCATATTCATTTGTTATCGTTGTGTTTGCTGCTGATGGCTTGATCGTGCAACGTGCTCGCACGCTTTCGTCCGGTATTTTGCTTGATGTCACAGGACCCCATTCCACATATTAGCATCGCGTCTTCGATGGGCGAAAAGCTTGCGCAACTAACATCGGATCAATGTGAAAGCCTCCTCACCTTCCCGACGGAAAAGAGGCAGGCGACAACATTACACTCCTTCACGACAAGCGTAGCTGCAGTCCACGTCGCTGCAGGCAACAAGCACTACGACATCCCACTCCGCTAACCTACGATCGATCTGGCTATGCCTCAGCGCCTCAAGTTGTTGGACTATCAATCGACATCCTCGAAAGCTCCTGATGTGTCTTACTCACTTTCCGAATCGAGAGCAAGATCAATGACTTCATCCAGCACAGAATCACGGTCTTGCGCTGCAAACGGTGCCTTTGTCATGGATTCCAGTGGCACAGCTGATGGAAACGCCTCGCCGACATCCTCGTCCGAACTAAAGTCCGAGAGTGTGATAACTGGTAAACCATCTACTCGTTTGTCCCCACATGCTTCTTGTCTTGACCGCTTTTGCCCATTCTTGTCTGTGCCTTCAATCGCAACGCAAAGTAAACATACATCAGTGTACGCACTCCTGGACACAAGTTTCAACCACATGACTTTACCATTTCTTTTTCGCCTTTTCCCATCAGCCCCACGTCTTCCTGCAGACGACGACACTTTCTCTCTTTTTGCCGTTCCCGACTGAGATCCTGTTGTTGCGGCATCATTTCTAGCAGTGACTGCATTGTTGCTTTGTTCGCCGCGAGGCCGCTCCTTCGATCGAGAACGGCTGCGTCGCCAACCGTGTTTGCTCCGACCTCTCCCGCTCGAGCGCCAATCACGACCACGACCTCTCCTGCGTGTCCATTGGTTCGAGCGAGGTGCAATAACTACATGGCGGCCACTACCCGCGTCTTTTCCTTCATCGAACGACGAAGATGAGGCGTCACTGTGATGGAAATCTTCACCTTGGTGATCCTCAAACCACGGCACTTCATCCCTCCGCCCTCTGTCTTTTCTTCCTTCATCTCTACGTCCTTGATCGTAAGAACTGGTGTCGTGTTGACTGCTCTTCACTTTGGACCACAAGCTGTCCATCCAAATCACGCGCGAGGCTAGCTGTTGGAGGTCTCCGGATACAGTACCCCTATAACCTGACAACACGAGCGGGTCAGAGGTACGCTATGCTCCTACGTAAACACTATCTCTCGACGCGACAGCACGTACCCATTACCCAGATATCCTTCCGCAGTACATTTCGGACGTGGCTCAGTGAGCTATAAAAATCGCCATCACCTGTCCGCGTATTCAGCATCCGAGCTTGTTACATACTGTCATTGCCGAAGGAAGTCAGATGGACTAAGCGCATACCCGCAAACAAAATAAAGCGGTCGCAAATCTGATTCATATGCAGAATGAGCAGGGTGACATGTGCAGCGTAAATTGACAAGCTGAACGAGTGCATAATGTAAGCGCACATCTTCGTAGGCGAGAGACAAAATCTTGGTTGCAATTCTAAAAAGCAGCACATCGTTACAAAGCAATACACATGATGCACGCGACGAACACACAGCAACACACACCCGTTGTCAACACCCTTCTGCACATTCTGCGTAAACAGGTTGCCGCATCTCCTGCAATGGCAGCCGTACTTTTTCATCGGAAACAAGCTGACCTGGAACTGCCAGCACAAAAACGAAAACACATGCAACCGACTCACAACTTCTGTCGGAAAATACCCTTTTCACACATCGCACATTGCACTACGATACCTGTGGTCCATCTGGTGGTGCAAATTTCAGCATGTGGTACTCCGCAGTCAAAGCTGGATTAACCCTCTGCGCAGACGGATTCTGGTCGAAGAACCAACAATCTGGCAGAAGACAGAAAAGCGTCAGCAAGCATATGCAACGTGCTATCTTCTTCATAGGCCAGCAGCACAGAACAAGCCACCAAATCACGACTACAAGACTACACCCACACGCAAACAGCTATACAACGCATGAACCGCGACCAATAAATGAAGTACCTACCTCCAAACTGCGTCAACGCCTGCTCTTCCAATGCCGAACGGAGCTTAACATAGTCGATCTTGCCTCCCTACAAGTCACAGTCGACCCACCGTCACAGCAAGACACTGAGCTGCATATCCACTGTTTGCACTACAAGCTCATCAAACCAAGCTCCGCACCAAGCTGCGAGCTCCAATCATCGCGTACGATCCGTCTGGATTCATCCAGCAAGTCAGTCAACGGCTCTTCCAACCACCCTCATGAACCAGGACGAAAGGCCAGCACCACAACAATGACGCAGGATGCACCGACCAGTCACGCACCAATGATCAGTGCTGTTCGGGACGAGCTGGTCGTCTCCATTGCCGATGGCGGCGACGCGCTCGGCGGCGTCGAGCCCGAGCCGGTCAGCGGCGTCTCCATCACGTTTGACTTGACAGCTCCTCGTTTTCATTGGTGGAGATCTCTTCCTTTCAACCAATCGCTGCACTCGATCAGCCCGTCGGCCACGTCAGCTGATGTCGTCCCTCCCCGCGCTCGCCTTTCGCTGGATTTCGAGTCCCCCGCACTCGGTCAGTGGGCCACACAATCGAAATCTCCGCCACTCGCTCACCCACTGAAGTCCCGTCCCGTTCGCGTCCCAACTTATCGCCACAATGCCTGGCGAAGAGACCCACAAAGAGTTTGACGACGATCTGGTCGACTACGAAGAAGAGGACGAGACGACGACAGACGCGTCGAAGGCAGCTGAGGGAAAAGACGCCAAGAAGTAAGCTACTGATCGGTCTCGCTGTTTAAAAGAAGAGGAGGAGACGAAGGGGGAGGAGGAGGAGGAGGAGGAGGAGGGGGCAAAAAGAAAGTCACTTGTGTGTGTGTGGACCTGAGAGACGAGGGAGCAGAGCGAGTCAACGAGCAGTGCCAAGGAGGGATGGCAAGCCACGGCTGGACGCACTGCCTACGGGCGGATGACCTCTTGTCGTGGCAGAGCTGGCCATCTTGATAACGCCATGGATGCGCTCGACTGTCTGTCTCTCTGTCTGCTCACTCGGGATCTCGAAGAGAGAGAGAGAGAGAGACTGAGCGAGAGAGAAAAGAGCCCAGTTTTGTTAACCACTTCTTCTGCTGTATCTGTTCCCCATGGTGTCGTCGGCTGTGTTGGCTGGACTTGTTATCACTTGGGCATCTTTCCAATAGGGGCCACTACGTCGGCATCCACAGCTCTGGGTTCCGTGACTTTATCCTGAAGCCCGAGTGTCTGCGCGCTGTCGTGGACTGCGGGTTCGAGCACCCTTCGGAAGGTGAGAGCTGTGTACAAGGTGTTGTAGGAGAAGAGAGATCCATTATATGACGCTGACTCGATTGTGTATCGTCTTTTTTTCTCTTTCTTTATGTACAGTCCAGCACGAGTGCATTCCTCAGGCGGTGCTGGGCATGGACATTATTTGCCAGGCCAAGTCGGGCATGGGAAAGACTGCCGTGTTCGTGCTTGCCACGTTGCACCAGGTACGAAGCTGGCGTTTGTGTGTCGACTGCTGTGCAGAACAGCTACTCATGTTGTTGTTCTGACGTGTTGGCGTCTTAGATCGAGCCAGTGGACGGTCAGATCAGTGTTGTCGTGATGTGCCATACGCGCGAACTGGCTTTCCAGATTGCTCACGAGTACGAGCGTTTCAGCAAATACCTGGTTGACGTCAAGACGGGGGTGTTTTACGGTGGTACGTCTCGCATAGTGCAAGGGACTGGTTGTGAAAGAGCTGGTAATGATGTGTATGCGAAACGGCAGGTGTGCCGATTTCGCAGAACCGCGAGGCGCTGAAGAACAATCCGCCGCACATCCTTGTAGGCACTCCAGGTCGTATCCTAGGACTTCTTCGTGAAAAGACGCTGAAGCTGGACAAAGTCAAGCACTTTGTCATGGACGAGTGTGACAAGGTGTTAGAGGCTGTCGGTATGTGTTGCAGTCAGTCAAGCTGTGCAGTCAAGAGAGATCATGTCAAGTACTAACTAGTGCGTCTGGAGTAGATATGCGTCGCGACATCCAGGAGATCTTCAAAGCAACTCCACATGACAAGCAAGTGATGATGTTCTCGGCCACGTTGAGCAAGGAGATTCGTCCGGTGTGCCGCAAATTTTGTCAGGACGTACGTGAAGTTTGCCGGACGAACAACTGCGACTATCGTTATGCCGTATCTTACTCAATGTTGTGCGAATTGCTTTCGCTGCGCAGCCGATGGAGATCTACGTCGACGACGAGACGAAGCTGACTCTGCACGGTCTGCAGCAGTACTACATCAAGCTAGAAGAATCTGAAAAGAACCGCAAGCTGAACGACCTGCTAGATGCGCTCGAGTTCAACCAGGTGGTAATTTTCGTGTCGAAGAAGAACCGTGGACGGGAGCTGAACCGTCTGCTGAACGAGTGCAACTTTCCGTCGATTTGCATCACGGCCGACCTCTCCCAGGACGAGCGTATCAAGCGGTACAAAAGCTTCAAGGATTTCCAGAAGCGCATTCTAGTGACCACGGATCTGTTCGGTCGTGGTATGGATATCGAGCGTGTGAACATTGTCGTCAACTACGACTTCCCGAACGACAGTGACCAGTACCTTCACCGTGTGGGCCGTGCCGGTCGTTTCGGTACCAAGGGTCTGTCAATTAGTTTCATCTCGTCTGAAGAGGACACCGAGATGCTTGCTAAGGTGCAGTCGCGTTTTGAGGTGAACATTCCGGAGCTTCCAGACCAGATCGACATCTCGACGTACATGACCACTTAGTCGACCAGTCGGAGTACAAGGAGAGCGATGTTAGAGGACGAAGGGTCAAAACAAGCAAGCGCTCTGTGCTAAACCATGCAACCCCCATTATTCAACGTGCGCGAGCTCCAGTTCCGGAAAAAGCTCATATCGCTGCTTCGTGGCCGAATGAATATATTCAAAGTGAGACTGTGGATGACGCTTTACGGCTCGGCTCGCTGCTGACGTCGTCTCAAGCCGCCGGTTCCGAGCATTACTCTTTTCTCCGTCGCTTCATCGATCTATCGATATCCTTCATGCCGCCAAGGCGGCTCTTGTACTTTTCGCGGATGCCGTCGTCGCGAGCCCACAGCGAGTCCCGACTTGACGTGTCTTGGTCCACCAGATGCGTGTACTTGGTACTGCGACAAAACCAACCGAACAAAGAGGCACACAATCGGACGCTTGTGTTGACGGACGGATGCCACACCGCAAGATGAAAACACAACAAAACAGTGCGTACCGACCAGCGCGGCCAAAGTTTTTGACCTGCATCACCGCCGGGAGCATCTCCTTGTTAAACTTGTCCTCCAGCGTGGCGTCCGTGGCATCCCGCTTGCGCACATCGTCCTTCGCGCGAATGCTGTCGTCGTCCACGTAAAAGGCACCTTTGTGGTAGTACTTTTGCATGAACTTGAGCTTTTTCTTCTCCTTTGGCTCGTTCTTTTTCAATTTACTGCAGCAGCCGAAACAACGGGAATAAAATGTACATCAGTAGCTCGGCAACAAAAATCGAATCGTACAGCCACGTACGCGTCCTCCGCCGCACGCTCTTCCTCAGACATGTTGCGCCTCCTCAGCGTTTCTTTCGCCTCCTCTCTGCGCTGCTGCTTCCGGTCTCGATCACTACAGTCGTTTCGAACATGGTCACACAGGTCAGCCAGTCACTTGCAACTCTTGCGACTGCAAGTTACATACCGTTTGATTCGCCGCATTTCACGCAGCTCCCAGTCGCGGTACTCTTGTGCCGGGTCCAGGCCATCCGTATCATCCGGCATCTCGACATCTGTATCGTCACCCTTACTAGCACCCTCCTGCTCGCGGCGAATTTCTTCAGCGACCGTACGACGCGACTCCATCTTGCGTGCTTCCAGCTTCTCCAACTCCCGCTTCTCTCGTCGTTCCTCTTCTGCTGCCAGTTCTTCTTGGCTCTTCAGAGAATTACGAGCTTTCTTGGGCACGAAAATAGGCTTCATGAGCTCTTCACCCGTCTCCGAATCGTCCGTGTCGGTCTCGTACTCCGAGCTGGAACTGCCACTCGACTCCGAGCTTCCATTATTGGCCGCAACAACAGAGGCTGCTACTGCACTCCGTTTCACGACCTGCGCTTCCACGGGCTGCCGTTTACCCTTTTCGTCCAGCTCTGCAAGCCCATCCTTTCTACTGCTCTCGTCAATACGCGAGGCTGCCTTGCTGCGCAGTAAGCGGCGACGTCGATCAATGTCGGACTCATCTTCCTCGTCCGAGCTCGAGTCTTGCAGTGCCTTCGCCACATCGTCCTCGCTAGATCCCTCTTCATCATTTGAAGGTACCGTCTCTTTCGCTCCTCGATCCCGATTTGTCTTTGTATCCACCAAGGAACATCGCACCACCTGCGCTTGCACTCGTTTGCGTCCGCTCTTGATCACAGGACCCGTCTTGTGCTGCGCTGTAGCCTTCGGGAACACCCGCACTTGACTATTGGCCGTCACAAAGCCACGCTCGTCCTCATAACCATGTGCAAACTTTGGCACTTGGCCTGCCCTGTACCGCGCTACCTTCACCGACGGATCCACTTTAGGCTTCAGTGGCTTGAACACTTCTGTCTCCTCTCTGAAGCATTACATTGAACATATGAGAGCGCACGCGTTTAGAGTGAGTACGCACAAGCACAGGATACGCCAAGCAGAGAGATACGCGAACGAGTTTACTTGGTTTTCGTGTAGCGGAGAGACACCGGATCGCCCGGGACGTCGTCGGGCAGCAGCAGTCCCAAGTCTTTCTTCGTGAAGAGCGACATGCTCGTCAATTATACAAAACAATTATGCGTCCAGTATTGCGTTTTCCAATATCGTGTCAATTAATTGTCTCTGCTGAAATGGCTTCAGGAAAAATACCGCTTAAAAGCGCGTGCGCGCGGAGTAAACGCAAATAAGTTTAGTCGTTTCAAGTCCGTTCTAACAGTTTAAACGAGTCTGCTGGACCTATCGATATGCCCGCGCAACAAGTTCGACATGACCTCGCCACGCCTCAAGCGTGCTCGTCATTCCATCGATACCGAGTCCGACCATGCCACCGACTCTCTCTCTCCAGCTGCTTCGAGTGCTGTAAAGAAGCTTCGGCGGGCGTGTCAAGAGCTCCAGCTGTCGAGTCTTCCGCGTGTAATGACAGGACGCGAAGACGAGCGCGACGAGATCTACACGGCGCTGCGCTCCTCGATCAAGCACCAAAGCGCCGGTGGGCCAATCTACATCAGCGGCCTTCCAGGTGCAGGCAAGACGTCCATAGTGAAGGAGGTTATCCACACACTGGAGTCACAGCGGGACGCCGGCCATCTCTGCAGCTTTGCGTGGGTCGAGGTCAATGGGCTGCAGATGCCGCGGCCTGACGTCGCTTACAGCATATTATGGAAGGCTTTGCAGCCACCAGAGGAAGAGAGAGACGAGCACAAGTCGCACGCGGTGCCCAGAAGTATCAGCGCCGCGCGTCTGTGTGAGATTCTGCAGCACGAGTTCCACACTGCGAGTCCTGCGCGTCCCATGCTGCTTGTTCTGCTGGACGAGATGGACTTCATGCTGGCTGGCAAGAACCAGGTGTTGTATAACCTCCTGGAGTGGCAAACGTCCGCCACGGCCAAGCTCGTGATCGTTGGCATTGCCAACACGATGGACTTGCCGGAACGACTACCGAGCAAGATCCGCAGTCGCCTTGGTGGGCATCGTATCACCTTTCCGGCGTACACGCGAGCGCAGCTGGAGAAAATCATTTACCAGCGTCTACTGCAGCTGGACATTTTCAGCGACGAAGCGATCCAGCTCTGTGCCAAGTCGCTGGCGCATCAATCGGGGGATGTCCGCCAAGCGCTATCGCTGTGCCGCAAGGCGGCTGAAGTGTGTTTGCATCGACTGACTACTACGGTGGAGTGCACGTCGACGGCAGGGGAAGGTAGTCGAAGCGAGCTCTTTGTGACGGGCGAAGACTTGCATGAAGCTCAGGAGGCCGTGGCACTGTCGGCTCCAATGAGTCGCTTACGCGCGTGCAGCAAGTTTGAGTGCACGTTTCTGGTCGCGCTTCGCATGGAAGTTCGGTCGACTGCTGCGCGTGGAAGCGCTCCCACCAGAACAGGCGTCGAGCTGGAAGCTGTGATCGAGCGCTTTGCGATTCTGTGCAAGACGCACTCGTTCGTGCCGATACCGCGACTGCGTGGGCTGCTTTTCATCTGCGACGAACTAGAGCGGTCGGGGGTGATCAAGCAGCTTTCAACACGCACGTCGCGCTACCCACTGCTCGAGCTGCAGTGCTCACATCAGGAACTGCAAGACGTGTTCCTCACTCACCCTGTCGGCATGCAGCTGATAACATAAATGGAGTTGACTACTATCCTGTGAGATAAAGACACATCCAAATGATGAAAAGAGACCAATAAAGCAGACGGAAGCGGGCGTCCCGCTGCCTTCGGGTGGATCCAAAGATCGAGGGTCACCCTGGTCCCAGACACACAGTTTGGTACTCGACTGGAATGACCCTTTTCATGAAAGGGAACAAACGACGTGACCAAGTTTTCGACAAGATGTCTCTCTTTTCAGTACAAACTGGTGGACAAGGTCCTCTATTTCATTACTCTCGTGTCCGAATCACGTCACGCTAGCCATAGACAGACGATAGAAATTCATTAGAAACGGGTGGTGTTGAAAAACACCAGTAGAAGAGTGAAAGGCTTCTGCCCTTCGTTGGAGATCGGACACGCGACACCGCGAGCGGCCACGATGGCCATCACAGTGCTAGAGGACGACACAAGTCGCCACACCAGCCACGTCGACCACATCACGTGCTTATCCGCCAAAGCCGTACAGCGTGCGTCCCTGGCGCTTAAGCGCGTACACGACGTCCATCGCCGTCACGGTTTTACGGCGCGCGTGTTCCGTGTACGTGACCGAGTCGCGGATGACGTTCTCGAGGAACACCTTGAGCACCCCGCGCGTCTCCTCGTAGATGAGACCCGAGATACGCTTCACACCGCCACGACGAGCGAGACGACGGATCGCAGGCTTCGTGATACCCTGGATGTTGTCGCGGAGGACCTTGCGATGACGCTTGGCGCCGCCCTTGCCCAGTCCTTTGCCGCCTTTGCCACGTCCAGACATGTTGATTCAATGCGTGCGGGTGTTCTTCGGTCGAGGCGAGACGAGAGGAGGTGGGATCCAATCGGAGAATTGAGGAATGAGAGAGAGAGCCAACCGACGACTTCATTGAGCTGCCCCGTGACCCAGTAGTGAGTCAGCCGCGCGGAGTTTAAGGATGTGTCAACCTACCCCGCCAAGAACCTAATTTAACTGGGCGGGCATACTCCTCAGCCGTTGATTGGCCGGTACCCTATCATCGCTTGTCGGTGGATTTTCATTGGCGGAACGTTTGTAAAAGGGCGCGCAACCCCTCCCACTTGCATCCAGTAGCTCATTCTCCAATTCTCTCGACCGTCCTCAATAAGGAAGACAAGCAACAGACAATGGCTCGCACGAAACAGACCGCCCGCAAGTCCACCGGTGGCAAGGCCCCGCGCAAACAGCTCGCTACCAAAGCTGCCCGCAAGTCGGCACCTGCAACTGGCGGTGTCAAGAAGCCGCACCGTTACCGCCCAGGTACGGTCGCGCTGCGTGAGATCCGTCGCTACCAGAAGTCGACGGAGCTGCTCATCCGCAAGCTGCCGTTCCAGCGTCTGGTGCGTGAAATCGCCCAGGACTTCAAGACGGACTTGCGTTTCCAAGGCTCGGCTGTGCTTGCGTTGCAGGAGGCTGCAGAGGCGTACCTGGTGGGTTTGTTCGAGGACACGAACTTGTGCGCCATCCACGCCAAGCGCGTGACGATCATGCCCAAGGACATTCAGCTGGCCCGCCGTATTCGTGGCGAGCGCTCGTAAGATGCTTGCAGCAGTCGAGTAGGTATTGCTTCGATTAGCTGACTCGGTGCACGTTCTGCACGCAGAGAGTGTTTGTGCCATTCTGGTCGATCTCTGGTCGACACTATCCATCTGGTGTTTTTTAACACCACCCATTTTGAAAGAAAACTTGCTGTTTGAGGAAGTAATGTCGTAGCGGCCTCGAAGTGTGGTCGTGTTGTACTGTGTGAATCAGTTGGTGCAGCAATGCCGTGCCGTTGATTAGCCATAGATGTAGCTGCGGAGCCTGTTTGCGTGCAAGTCCAGGCACTTGTCGAAAGAAATACACGTGACCATCGTAGTGTCGCATCAGATAGCGTGTGACCACACGTCGAGCAAGCTCTAATCAGCAGCAATTGCACCTTCTTGTGGAAGCAACTTGCAAGTTGTGGAATTGTCTTTGCTTTGAAAGCGGGTGTGGTGGCACGCTGCCTTTAGCCTTTTCACAGATTGCGGAACTGCATTACAGGGAAGACACGTCGTGCTGAAGCTGAATCAGCTTTAAATGGCGGGGAGTCCATAAGGTCAACAGCTTTTTGTTGAGGCGGTTGAAGTGAGGACCTCAGATCCTCTGCAAGCAATTTGTCTACACAGACGAGCTTGGCAGCGCAACAAGCATTGAGGTACAGACAACGGTGTGGTATGTTGCCACTACTGCCCCACACCGGAGACAACTCAACGATAACAAAGTATGACTGCTGTACGATGTAGCTTGGATTCGCGATATGCTCCTTTCGAGTCCAACACGTTTACTGCTATTCCTTTGCTCACCGTATGCTCTCCTAACGGGTCCGCCCATTTGCCAGCGATGTCTATTGAGCAGCATCATCCACACCACCGACTCCCTCACAGAAGACAATCAAACGTCGTGAACCAGAGCGAATAGCGACCCAGTTCTATCTTCAAACACCTCTCCAGGCGTTCACTCACTTTGCCCCTTGCTCCACCCCTGGATATCACACCATACACTCGCATACACCCTTATCCACCCACCAACCTCCTACTCATCCATCCATTTCTTGCAAAAAGGGTGGTGTTGAAAAACACCAGTAAAAGAAAAGAGTGTCAACTGCTTGGATGGCGGCAGTGCGGCACGCACAAGCGCAGACCGACAATCGTCAAAAGACCGACACCGTCTACGCGGACGTGAACTTAGTCACGGCCTTCGTGCCTTCCGACACGGCGTGCTTGGCGAGCTCCCCCGGAAGCATCAGACGCACGGCCGTCTGGATCTCACGGCTCGACAGCGTCGACTTCTTGTTGTAGCGCGAGAGCTTGCCGGCCTCCGAAGCAATGCGCTCGAAAATGTCATTGATGAACGAGTTCATGATCGACATACCGCGCTTGCTGATGCCCGTCTCCGGGTGCACTTGACGCAGCACCTTGTAGATGTACGTCGAGTACGACTCCACACGCTTCTTGCCGCGGCCCTTGCCGGACTTGGCCACAACCTTCGCGGCCTTCTTTGACGGAGTCTTTGCCATTGCAGTAGCAGTAGAAGAACTGGAGTTACTTGAATGCCGTGGAAAGCTTGAACGGCACGAGTAAAATCGGGGAATGGACACGACCATGGACCGCGACGGCCGCTGCTTTTCCCGCGCGTCACTCGGAAGATCAGCGAGAAGAACCGCAGATAGATGCAGAATGGCACTGACTTGTCGCTCCGGTGCGGTTCGCGTGCCGTGATTGGTGGAATCAAACGTCCGTACGGTCCATTGGTGGAGGATCATCTCGTGTCTGCTACACACAAGATAGCCGCGTTCGTGCGTGGGTCGATGTCAGGAACCGTAAAATCCTAAACTAGGACCTTTCCAATACCGGTATCCACCGACGCCACGCGGCTAGTATTTGGGCTCGAAAATCCAAGCAAGCGACGGCAATGGCGACTCAAGACACGTACGGAGGAGGCAGCGGCGGCGACTCGGGGCGTAGCAGATCCGCCATGACGATCTCGTCCGTCATGGCAGATATCAAGGAGAAGTTCAAGAACGACGAGGAGGACCAGGGTACGACGCTAGGCTGACTGAGTGCCGCTCGTGGGGCGTCGATACCGACGGATCGAGCTCTTTTTGAGAGTCCCTTTTCTCGATTTGATTGGATAAAATTCGAGTAGACTGACACTTTGTACATGGTGTGCGTGCGTGCTTTTCAATTTGTGTGCTCTGGTACGTTCCAGTGTCACCGTTCCAAGGCTTGGACAAGGCCACGGTGTTGCAAGAGACCAAGATCTTCTCGGACGCTACGACAGTGACGCGTCACCCTAAGAAATGCTGTCAGCTGATTACCAAGCTGCTGCACATTTTGACGCAGGGAGAACCATTTACCAGTGCGGAGACGACGGCCGTGTTCTTTGGCGTCACGAAGCTTTTCCAGTCCAAAGATGCCAATCTACGTCGTATGATGTATTTGTTTATCAAGGAAGTGGCAGAGGCTACTGCTGCCGACGAGGTAGAGATTGCTTGGACCAGTAGTTTTGCTGTAGAGATTGATCGGGACAACGATGATACGCTGACAGTCATTCTGTTGCTGACATTGATGGTGAGTATCAGGTGATCATTGTGACCCAGAGTCTGACGAAAGATATGAGCTCTGACGTGGATCTGTACCGCGCGAACGCAATTCGAGTGCTTTGCCGGATCATTGACGTACGTGCCAGATACGTGTGGTCATGCGTTTTGGCTGCAGCTACTGACCATAATGAGAAATGATGTGGGATGGCGTGAAACAATATGATGATGAAATTATACAGGGATCCATGTTAAACGCAATCGAACGTTACATCAAGCAGGCTATCGTGGACCGTAATGCACTCGTTGCGAGCTCGGCGCTGGTTTCTGGTATCCATCTGATCAAAAACAATCCGGAGATCGTGCGCCGCTGGGTAAACGAGGTGCAGGAAGCTGTGAACTCGACGAACGATATGGTTCAATACCACGGCGTTTCACTCTTATACCAGATCCGCCAGCACGATAAGCTTGCTGTGTCGAAGTTTCTCGTGCAGCTGCAGAAGACGAACCTGCGTTCGAGCCTCGCAACGTGCTTGTTGATTCGTTACACAGCAGCCCTACTGCGTGAAAGCGCAAACGGACAAGATACCACGCCGCTGTATGGGTTTTTGCAAAAGATGCTTCGACAAAAGAATGAGGTACGGATTTGAAAGTGCAGTAGGGCTTCAACCGCAATTGATCCACTAGTATGACTTTTCATGCTCACAATGTCGCTGTTGATGCGACATAGATGATCATTTATGAGGCTGCCAAGGCACTTTGCGCTCTGCCTGTAGATGCGCGTGACTTGACGCAAGCAATCGTCGTGCTGCAGTTGTTCTTGGGATCTTCAAAGCCCACTCTTCGTTTTGCTGCTGTGCGGACACTCAGCCAAGTGGCGCTGGCGCAGCCTATGCTTATAACACGCTGCAATGAGGACATGGAGACACTTATTACGGACTCGAATCGATCTATTGCGACCCTGGCGATTACTACCCTCTTGAAGACTGGTACGTAGTCGGACATGTGGGTGCAATGAAAGTAGGCGTATACGTTGCTCAATGGACGACGCTAACATCTGCTGTGACCTAGGTGCCGAATCGAGCGTGGATCGATTGATGAAGCAAATCTCGACGTTTATGGGCGACATTGCTGACGAGTTTAAGATTGTCGTAGTGGAGGCTATCAAGAATCTGTGCTTGAAGTACCCTCAGAAGCACCGCGTTTTGCTGAACTTCCTGGCCAATTTCCTCCGCGAGGAAGGTGGGTATGAGTTCAAGAAGACGATTACAGACGCTATCCTGTTCTTGATTGATCGCATTCAAGAGTGCAAAGAGACGGCATTGCTTCACTTGTGCGAGTTCATCGAAGACTGTGAGTTTGCGCAGCTATCGACGAAGATCTTGCGCGTACTAGGACAGAAGGGTCCAACGACATCAGCACCGGCGCGGTACATTCGTTTTATTCGTAACCGTGTCATTCTCGAAAATGCTCCTGTGCGCGCTTCGGCCGTCTCAGCGTTAGCCCAGTTTGCGATTCGGGTGGGGTCGCTCCGTTCGAGTGTGTCATCTCTGCTGCAGTGCTGCAAACTTGATGATGACGACGAAGTTCGCGATCGTGCCACCATGTACCTTGCCGTCCTCGAGGGCGATGAGGCGACCAGTCGCAATCTTCTTGTTGACGACTTTCCGATGAGCGTGGTGGCGCTTCAGAAATCGATCGATCAGTACGAGCTGCGTCCTGCTGCTGGTCCGCTTACATTTGAGACCCTGCCTCATGTCGAAGTCGTTGAAGATGTTGCTGAGACGAATACAGACAGCACAGAGACTGACGATGGCTCTGTCCAGACTGATGCTGCTCCTGAACCTCAGGACCTTGCGAAGGAACTGTACACGGTACGTTTACTTGTTTCCTTCACACTGTTCCTAGGCTTGTGCTAATACCTCTTCCTGCGCTCGACTGCAACAGATCCCCGAGTTTGCTGAGTTGGGTGTGCTCTTCCGCTCATCCAAGCGGCTCGAGTTGACGGAAGCCGAGACGGAATACGTTGTCAGTTGCACGAAGCACGTGTTTGCCCAGCATATTGTACTCCAGGTGCGGAGCTCTGTGTCTAACGTTATGATATCGAGACTAGCTTAGTTCTGACGCAATCTTGCCTATCATAACAGTACACGGTGCTAAACACAGTGAGCGATCAGCTGCTCACAGACGTGACTGTTGGCTTTGTCATGGAGCCTGAAGACGTGTGGCAGGTCCACTCGGTTGTCTCTCTGGCCAAACTGGCCTACGGCAAGACAGGCTCGTGCTATGTCTGCTTAGAGTATATTGGTGACGGTGTGTACCCCATCGTGCAACTCGCCAACGTCGAGGTATGCTGGAAGACGAGTTCAATTTTGCGTTTCTGTTGTTCTGCTAGTGTTTACTTTACTCTTGTCTGCGTTATGTAGTTGAAGTTCAAGGTACACGAAGTAAACCCATCGTCAGGCGAGGTTGAAGACGATGGCTTTGATGAGGAGTATCCGATGGAAGATATCGAAATCAGTGCGTCGGACCTGATGGCCAAGATCTCCGTGAACGACTTTCGCTCGGCTTGGGAGCGTATCGGCGACGCTGCTGAGGTGAAGGGCAGTTATGGTCTGAAGTACAAGAGCCTCGTGGAGGGCGTGGCAGCAGTTATCGAAAACCTTGGTATGCAGCCATGTGAGAACACGGCCGTGCCACAACCAAAAACGAAGGCACACATTCTTCTACTATCAGGCGTGTTTGTTGGTGGCGTGAAGGCGCTAGTGAAATCGAGAATATCGCTGGATGAGCAGAGCGACAGCATGATTCTGCAGGTGTGTTTCGCATTGCACGGATGTTAGTCGTCCCTTTTGTCGCTGGTTCCTCACTGTGTTTGATTTGTATAGATGGCCGTGCGTTCGGAGTCGGAGGAAATCAGTCAAACCATCATGGACTGCATTAGATAAAAGGCTGCACGATCGTTAGCGGCATCCGGCGGTCGGTCCCATCAGGCAAGTGAAATCGTGGTATGGCTAATGAGGGGGACATGTGCGAGTGCTGTGACAAGTGAAGCGTGGAGAGAGAAGTAGCAGCACGATCAGTGAAGATACTTGCGATCGCACACTATATCAACAAGGAGGACATTGTGGTTTATCTCCGCTTAGTTGTCGATTGCGATTGCATGAGAACGTCCACGAGGCCCTCGGACCACAGACGGAGGAGCATTCCGCGTACTGCTGTCTCATCGCTGATTGCTTCCACCAACTCGTCAATCAGCGCACCATGCCTATTGGATGCGGACGACGAGTACAACTTCATGAGCGCAGGTGCAAGCTCTCCCGGAAATACGACGCTTTTCGGCTGAGCAGACATTTGCCCCAAACCTGCGCTCGGGTCGTCTTCCTCTTCGCTATCGCCATGCTCATCCTGATCTGCGTCGGCATTGCTACTCTCTGCATCACCTTCCTCAGCATCACAATTCTCCTCGTCTTCTTCCCCGCTGTCGCATGTGCAAAAGCCCATGTGGTGCCGCCTGCAATTGTGCTGCGAGTAGTAGACTGCAACAAATGCCTCCTTCATCTCATCCTCACCCATCGACAAACGAATGTGCGAGCGGTTTTTAAAGCGAATGCTGACATTCTCGTCTAGCGGACTAAGGCCTGCCGCGTCATTCGTCTTCGTCCCTGGTGGCGGAAGTCGGTTGGCCAGAACGTCCAATGCAGCCTCATCAGCAGCCTTCTGCAAGTCCTTTTCGTCTACATGCGCAGCAAGCTGGACAACTAGTTTTTTGCATGTTGCTGTAAACTCCTTCGCTTTCGCCACATCAGGTGAAAATTGTGTTCCGATGTAGCTGAGGTACCTCATCGGCAGTCCCTTACGGAATTCAACGTCCGAGTCAAAAGCTTGGCGAATGACGCGGGGTAGCGCGACCTCCAAGAAATTAGCCCATGTGTTGTGTTGGTACACAGAGATGGTCACATGCGTAGAGAACTCTTCCTCATCGGTACACGCCTGGTGTATAACGCCACGCGGAAAGTAGAGCACGTCACCTTCCTCGACAGTCAGCTGCATCCACGGCTCACCAATCTTATCGACCGCAAGGTCCGAGCTATGTTCGCCTGCAAGTTCAACGAGCGGACGGTAAAGCTGCCACTTCTTTCGACCCTGTGTTTGCAGCACAAATACTTCCACATCATCGTAATGCGGCGCCAGCGCCTGTGAGTTAGCCGGCGTCAAGTACGCGCTGGCACCCGCCAGGCAACCAAACACCTCCTCAAAGGCTGCGTTGATCTCGTACAGTCCATCGACATACCGTTGCGGCTGGTAAAACTGGCAGCTAAAGCCTCTGTCAAGTAGACGATCCACCTCTTGACTTGTCGCGTTTCCATTACTGTCCTCCCCGTCAAAATTCTCGCGCTCGCAATTGACGTATCGACAGACCGTCAGATCGTTCCCAAACTTCATGTTCGGCAGCTCCTTCGCCATGACCTCAAGCGTCTGGTTGCGTGAAAAAAGGCTGTCCGCAAACAGCTCGCCCTTGTCTTTCCGGCGGACATGTAGCGGTTTCTTCTCAAAGTACTCGGACTGAAAAGTATCCAATGACATGCCTCCCAGGAGCTTCGTCAGCGCATTTTCCGCCCACTGCAAGCTTCCCTGCTCCACAGTAACGTCCCCATCTGGCCTCTGCTTTGTAGCTTCTTTCTTCCTCTGTTTCTTCTCAGGTCCAGCGAGAGCGCTGTCCGCGCTGCGCTTGGCATGACGCGCGCTCTTCTTCGTCCGGCTCATTCGCTTCCAGTCAATTGACCAGCTGTAAGTAGCTGGTCAAAGTGGTTGCGTGAATTTAGTGTGGAAGACACCGATTGTCCGAATCTTGTGTACACACGATGTGGCAGAACCAAGATTGTGAGATAAAACGAGCAAGCGTAATCATGACGAACGCCCACCACCCGGCAAACGTCATCCACTCGCCGGCAGTCGCTCTACAGACGGAAGGCAGCGTCTCTCGGTCTGTACATGAGGTAGACTGGTGCTTCTATACGTATACTGATTGTGTGCTACTTTTCCTCGCAGGGACATGACGAGCGAAGACACGAGGATGCAGACAGAAGAGGCGTATAGTGATGCCGAGCTGCAGATTGTGCGCGTAAAGCTGGACATTATCCGCGGCAGGATGGGCACGGCCATTGAGCTTATTCCAGCTGAACGTGAGTATGACACGCCACCCGACGCATCGGACAGCCCTGTGCAGCAAACTGTGCTGGAGAATACATTGGGTGAGGCGTCGTTGGTCTCTCCAGCGACAGAGATGAGGGCTTTACACGCGACAGGGTCTTTCGAAAGGGAAGGGGATGCGATGAGGTAATGCTGATTGTTGGCTCGATTTTTGGCTGGCGCTTTGCTGTCGATGCAACGGTTTCTTACAAGGAGTGGATGATCATTTGTTGCTTGTTGCTTTTGTTACAACAAAGCAGTGTAAGAGGCAGCGAACAGACGGTAGACAATCTACCGCCAATGGAGGTGAGTTGGCCAAAGGTTTGTTGGTGGCGTAAGAAGGAGCTGTCGTGTTGAAATCTGATGTTTACGTTTTGATAGAGCGACTACAAGGAGGAGCATGCTGGGTGAGTTGGGTTTCGTAATCAAGACGAAAAGCATGTTGTGTAAGTGTAGAGGGGCACGCTCGTTGCTGACTACGATTGCATACTGTTGGTCACAGACGAGTCGAGACGTCGGAGAACATGAGACTTTCGTCCATGATGCAGCGATCTGTTACCAATGATCAGCAAGAGGCGAAGGATATGCGCTTGGAAAGTCGCGTCTTCATGAATAATGACGGCCAAATGGCAAGTCGACACGTCGCGAGTACGGCCGCCATGGCCGTGGGTTTGTGCTCGGAAGAGGAACGATCGATTAGCAGTGATGGGAACCAGGGTATGGCATCTGTACAATCCGTGACGAGTGCAACCCCATCCCATTCACCAGTATCAGTGCGTAATCGAACCTCGAGCGAGGATGGCTTTGTTTCGACCCCTGAGGCTAGAAGAAAACCACGCGAATACATGATGAAGCCTGAGCTCGTTGAGGAAACCAGGACAGAACGAGCTGTCCATCTCTCTCTCAATTACTTTCTCATATCCGAACTCGATGTGTATTTATCTCATCTGCTGAGAATGAAGTGCCCCAAAAAAGAATCGTCCAATCTCGGTAACCTCGCTCGGGTCACTGGTGTGCAGCTCTATCTGGACCACCAACGAGGTCTCATGGACTTTGACGATGAGTGGAAGAGGTAACGCCGCGAGCAGCATTCGGTGTTGTGCGAGTTTTCTGACGATATGCTTGCCTGTAGATCTCACACTAACAGTTATCGAGGTTATTTGCGAACAAATTCTGCCGAAGAGCTCGTAGTAGCACCAGCAAATATCCGCACCAACCCATTTCAGCTTGACACAGCAAATGTCGTTGGTCCGGGTGGTTGGGCGGCGCTATTGAATCAAGTGAGAGCTTCCAGTACGAAGTCAACACCAGTGGGGACTTCACATGCACCATATGTGAGCGTCCAAGCAGGTCCTGAAGATCTATCTGCAGCATTCGCTCGAGGATCAAATGGAATAATTGTTGGTAGCGACGATTGCCACCAGGAACGACTTCAGGTTCGTTGGCACTATATGCGCAAGAGATGGTTCGTCACGCATCTAAGGCTCTTGCCGTGTTGTTTGGGTATCAGATCAGTGCATTCATGGCCCAGATCGTATCAAGTCAAACCACTTCGGCATTGTACGTCGTGGTTGCTGCAGCTTCTGATCTCGCACGGTGGGAAAAGGCGTTGTCGTCCGAGCAGCTTATTCGTTTGTACCCATACTGGGGAGGCAAGCGCGACCGACTAAACTTGCTTCAGTTGCTGAGCAACGAGTACTTCTCGAGTCGTAATTTGTGGGCGCACGTACTTCTTACCAGCTACGAAGTCTTTATGGAGGACATTTCGATCGTGACGTCACTACACTGTCAGCTCAGCATTATTGACATCCCACGGCATGCTACTGATCAGATCGCGGCGATCTGGCCACAATTGCTTTCGCTTCGGTGTCGTCAGCGCCTGCTGCTATGTCAACCCGAGTTTGAAGTTGATGCACGCAGGTTATTACACTTTCTGATGCCTGAGTTGTTTAGCTCACGGCGGAAGCTGTTGGTAGGCTACCGTGAATTTACCACGATGATTGCTGGATTCACTGACAACGTTTGTTCATGCTTGTGATAGGCGTGGAACAGTGCAGCCTTTCACATCGGTCAAGTTTATGCTTTATGTGGCGCGGTGGAGGCCCTCACGCTTATTTCAAATGAGGCCCCTCGTACCGCATTTATGCAGAAAGTCGCAGCATGTACGGCGCGAAACTGCGAGCGGGAAGCGGCTGCTTTGGGTACGCTCAATAAGCAAGGGATTGTGAGGGCGACACAACCATCAATTATTATGCCTGTGAAGCACATGCCGAGCAAAAAGACCCGAAGTCGTGCCAGCGGGCACGTCCCGGCGGAGGTGGGAAGTCGTTTTTTTTTGAGTCGGTAGAAGTGCTTGATGTTAATACGGAGCGCTTGTTGCTTATGCTAGGGAAAACTCGAACCATCAAAGGTTGCTTTCGATCCAGTGGATTCGCAGCTTACCATCAATGCTCCAAGTATGCATCCAAAACCCCGTACTGGAGGCGATGGGACGCCTGGTTCCCGGCAGCGAATTGGTCGATGTGGGAGCTGTGCTGGTTGCTTGGCTGAGGACTGTATGAAATGTGGACACTGTCAGGATATGAAGAAGTACGGCGGGCCAGGTCTCCGCAAGCAGTCTTGCAAACATCGTAAGTGCCTCAATCCAAAAATATGGGGGTTGGCTTCCAGAAAGAGAAAGCGCAAGCCAAAGCGCTCTGGTGTTACGAACAGTGCAGTGAAGGAAAGCTCAGAGCTTGATGACGACTTTTCTGTTGCATACTCTTCCGTGGAAAGTGACGGGGAGTCTTTGTCGATTGCGACACATGAGAACGGTGGTTCGGATGATGAGTCTCTTCGACATTCGGACGCCCCGACGGATTCACCCCGTGACTTGTTACTGCCGGCGAGCGATACCCTCGTGGACGACAATCTATCTCTGAGCGACTTGAGTGCTCGATCCGCGTCTGCGCGCTCGCGTATAATGCGTTGTGGTTTGTGTGAAGGATGTCAGGCGCCGGACTGTCTGAAATGCCCGCACTGTCTTGACATGAAGAAGTACGGAGGGCCTGGACTTCGAAAGCAGACGTGCAAAATCCGCAAATGCAAGGCTCCCAAGGTTGTCAAGTTGAATCAGGCAAGAGGTGGTCACGACCAGTACGTGGATGAGATGGGGAACGTGGTGTACAGCTGCCTGAATGGCAGCACTTTCCCGGGGTTCTATGAAGGTGGTGATTCGTCAGAAAGACCCGAATCGACAACTGTGTCGGTAGGATTGAAAAGCCAACCGAGAGTGCCATCCGTTATCCAGGAGTGCGCGCGATACGTGAAACCACGGCTCGTCTTTGCGTGTGCGGATTGTAGTGCACGCTTTAGCTCCAGTATGGTGCTTGATTTTCACGCGAAGGTTGAACATCCTCCCTCGACAGCTGGCCGTCACATTCACGTTGCGACGACGTTAGAGCGAGATGCGAGTCGGATGTTCACGTGGCCGAGATATCAGAGCGCAATGATCAATGCTCAACAGAAGCAGCACAATCACGATACACACAGTCCGCCCCTCGGATATGCAAAGCTGGAGGTACGATAGTGCTTGCCGCGTCGATATTGCACCATGAACTCACGGTGTGTCGTTGTTTTCCTTGCTGCAACACACAGGGCCGCAACTTCCAGTACTATTTCGTCGATCCATTTGTGATCCTCGGCCGCATGACGTCTGGATGGTGCAAGCTGTACAAGGATCTCGGCTTCTCGACCCTCGAAGGTCTCGTTGGTGCCGACGTCGATTGCCATATTGGAGACGACCGCCAGATCGCAACGAGACACGCTGTGATTTCATGGGATGCTGGTCGCCGCCGCTTTGTGATCGAGTGTTTGAGCCTTCGCACGTCGATTACCGTAAACGGCCACGTGATGACTTTCTCGTCACCTCGCGTCACGCTCAACAGTAGGAACCTGGTGAAAATTGGTGCAAGCGAGTTCTACTTCCTCTTGCCGAAACAAGCGGCGGCAGCAGCAGCAGCAGGAACGTCGAGCAACGTCCCCATTCAAGCAAGTTGAAAGGCAAGTGGTTGGGTGTAGCCAACTCACGTTGAAGTGGAAAATGTCCATCTGTCACTGGCCTCGAAACCACTGTTTGTCTTTTCTACCAATCACATTTCCGTGCCTAGACTAAGCCGGTGCAAATTCTGCGGGCCAATGGTTGGCTCCGTGGCTGCCGGCGTATCACCATCATGCTCTCTCTCCACACTCGATCTTCCTTCCCACTCGCTGTTTGCACCAAGGAGCACCAATGGTTGTCGCTGGGATTGACATTGGCACGACCCACGGCTGCGTGGGCGTGTGGCAGAATGGCAAGGTGAACATCATCGCCAATGACCAAGGCTTCCGCACGACGCCTGCTTACGTGTGTTTTGAGGGGGACGAGGTGATTGTGGGGGACACGGCGGTCAATAAGCTGGCGTCACATGCGGACAATACGATTTTCCACCTCAAACGTCTGTTAGGCAAGGCCCACGCTGACGTGAAAGACCGGGAGTTTGTCAAGGAGTGGCCATTTGGTGTCACGGAGGGGGCAGACGGCGTGGCACAAGCGGAGACTCAGCGCAACGGCGAGAAGCACGCGGTGGATCCCGTGGAGTTTATGACGTTGTTGTTGCAGAACCTCAAGGATCTGGCCGAAGACTTTACGGGTGAAAAGCTCGAGCACGTGGTCATTAATAGACCAGCGCACACGGACGAGAAGTACACGGAGCTGCTGGATGCAGCGGCCAAGAAAGTCGGTGTCAATGTGCTGACGTACCTGAGTGAACCCCTGGCAGCTGCGATTGCGTACGGACTCGACGAAGCCGCAAACAATGACAAGCCGGAGTTTGTCCTCGTGTTCGACATTGGTGGGGCTACGCACGATGTCACTCTACTGAACGCTGACAAAGGCCTGTTCGAGGTCGTGGCTAGCAAAGGTAACGACACTCTTGGTGGCGAGGACTTTACCGCTGCCATCTTTGAACACTGTGCCAAGTCATTCCTTCGCAAGACGAAGCTGGACGTGAAACCCAACCAGAAGGCGTCAAGTCGGCTTCGGCTTGCATGTGAGGCTGCCAAGCGTTCGCTTTCCACGCAGACACAGGCGAACATTGAGGTGGACTCGCTCATGGAGGGTGAGGACTTTGCGCTGAAGCTGTCGCGTCCTCGTTTCGAGGAGCTCATCAACGACGATGTGCTGAAGACCATCACGGAGATTGAAGCGATTCTGAAGGACAATGAGCTCGAAAAAGAAGACATCGACCACGTTGTACTGGTCGGTGGTTCTTCCCGTGTTCCGCTCGTGCAGACGCTCATCAAGAAGTTCTTTGAGGGCAAGACGCTGCACACGCAGCTCTCGCCTGATGAGGCAGTTGCCTTTGGTGCTACCATTGAAGCCTCCTGTTTGGCTGAGCTCCTTGGCTCCGAGGCACCCACGAAGCCATTGAACATGGTGAACGTGGTGCCATTGACCCTGTCGGTGGCTCTTGCCAATGGCAGTGTGTCGGAGCTTATCCAGCGCGACACTATCCTGCCTGCCTCGGCCACAGAGGTCTTTACTACCTCCTCGGACAACCAAGAAGCAGTGTTCTTGCAGATCTACGAGGGCCAGCGCCTCATGGCGAAAGACAATACGCTGGTAGCGCAGCTGAGCGTGGCGGGCATCACGCCGCTGCCCAAAGGCGATGCTGAGATCGACGTGACGTTTACAGTGAGTACCAAGGGCGTGTTAACAGTGACGGCTTCCGAGCGCAAGGCCGGCAGCAAGTCGTTGGAGGTGACGCATGACTCGACACGTTTGACACCTGCTGACGTTGCAGCGATTGTCAAGAAGGCAGAAGACGCTGCGGATGAAGACGGAGAGCTGCTGGGCGAGCTTGAGGACGCGGAGGAGGCCGAGGAAGCTGCCGAGCTCGAGGCAGCTACGGCCGAGGTCGAACCTGCTGGTGGTGTGCCGGTTGTGCCGACGCAGGACCTAGACTAAGTAAACCACACAAAATACACACTTGCACTCAATTAGTGTACGTGCGCCACATTATTTAGTGACCGACCTCACGACGATAAATGCCAGAAAGAGCGTATTCGTATTGGCTGAAAATCGACGACAACAATGGATACATAAAGAAATCGGTCTCTCTCTCGAGCTGTCGAGACGTGAGCTATGGACGACGACGTCAAGTCTGCAGCGAATGCCATGAACGTACGTAGACATCGCCCTGCCGTCTTTCCTATAGCGCTGCATGTACTGACCTCTGTCTGTTACTTCTTGTTTCCTGTGTCAGGACCGGGGCGCTGACCTGGACTTTGGTGTGTCTTTTGTGTCGAAATTGCGAGCAATATCGACGTTTGACCTGTTATACGGACTCAATTGACTGGAATATATGACAAATGACGTTATGTGATTTTTCTGCGGCCAGAGGTCTCCGTAGTTGAAGGCGATGAACTGGAAGATGGACTCTTGTCTGTCGAAGTGCGCGAGACCCTTATGGGCTCCAAGAGCGCAACATTTGGAGACGACAGTAAGCAGCCTGGACGCCCGGTCAGTCTCTGTGGCTGCTTCTCGTTATCTTTCTATCAGCCTGTAGGTGCACGTATTTTGGTGGCTTTTCTTGCTGGGTGCTAGCAGACATGACCTTTTTGTCTTTGTGTTGTACTTTAGTACTTTGATGTCGACACGTCGGATGTCCAACTATGACTGATGCAAGCTCTGCTGCCGTTCAAAAGAGAAACGGTGTTTGCTGAGCTAGCAGTGAAATCACCTGATGCTTATGGACCGCTGTGGCTCTCCACGACACTCATCTTCTGCCTGGCGTCGTGTAGCAATGTGGCGTCTTTCTTGGACTACGGCGGCAACAGAGACGAGTGGACGTACGATTTCAGCCGTCTCGCTTCGGCGTACACGCTGGTGGAGATCTTTCTTCTCGGCCTACCCATGCTTATCTGGCTCGTAGGGAAGTATTTCCAAGTGCCTATGTCTCTGCTCTTCCTCATATGTCTCTACGGGTACTCATCGATTATGTTCATCCCGGCTGCGGTAAGCTTTGATCTGCTGCGTACTGGAACACGATGCTGACACACCTGACTCGCTAATTCATGCAGATCTTGTGCGTCTCTCCTATTGACGCCGTGGACTGGGTAGTCATGTTGTTGGCTATGGCGTGGTCGCTCTTCTTCTTGCTGAACAATCTCTGGCGTGTCATTTCTGAGCACTTGACGAAGGAAAAGATGCTGCCGGTGTTGGCGGTCATCAGGTACGCATTTTACTGTGTTTCGTGGCAACGGTGTTCTGTTGCATGAATTCTAACCACAAAGCTGATGCCTTGCGCTGATATTGCAGCGGGGCGCACATGATATGGGCTGTGCTCATGAAGCTACTTTTCTTTTAGCTGGTGTGGACTGCGTACATAACTAAATGGCTTCAATGAATACCGCGGTATCACACTGAAAATGCATTCATTACATTCGAGATATATACCGACGCACGCATTCTGAGCGCACGCCGAGGCTAAACAATCCGAATTTCTTCATCCTCACCACTGCCTAAGACCGTCCCGCTTTCAGCGTCCAGCATCGTTTCTCGTTCATCGGCAACCATCAGTTCCTGTTCATCGTCTAGCATCAATTCCCGTTCGTCGTCCGGGTCTCCAGGCAGCTGTTCGAAATCAATATCTCTGCCAATTGTCGTTGGCTGATCTGACCGATTCCTGTACAAAGAAGAAAGCTGGGTTGTAAGACGATGGCACAACTCCTGACGCAAGTGATGCCAAAGCAACTCACTTCAGAAAAATCGCCAATCGCAAGTACTGCACGGCATTTCGCAGCGCTAATACCGAGTCCGCTGCAACTTCTTCCAGTTCGCCTAGCACACCTTCTTCGTTAAAGTACATGGCCACCGACACTAAGCTCATGACTGCAAACATCACAGCAACAAAACTCGAATCTTGTCACGCATTGCACCACCAAAAATCATACAGACACATCTGATTCACATACCCAAGGCAACAATGTCGAAGATGTTGCACCATTTGTGCCAGAACCGCTGCAGTAGTCAAGCCGTAACGACGCAGACAAGTGAGACAATTCTTCCCAGTCCGTCACTATTGTCATCAACATAACTCACCCTTTTGAATGCCATCATCCGAAGCAGCACTTCACACACGAGTAGCGTACTGACAATAATCTCCAGCGAGATGAACACCACCGACGACGGACTGTATACAGCAAGTACAATACGGTCATCCACTAAACAGCACTGCAATCCTCCTACCATTTTGTTGCTATTATTGTACGTACATTTTCCAACCATTCACTCCAGTCTATCGTAACACCAATTGCAACAAGAAGTTCGGTTAGCAACTGTGATTATTGATCGAAAAAGCGGGGCACGTACGTACCCAAACGACACACACGAGGCTCGAAGCGATCATGGAGAAGTACACAGCCCGATAGAAGCTGGAAAAGTAGAGACGACTAGCCACGGTCATGACGTACTCCTTGCATCCGATGTGCGGCGCCGTCGCGCCCGGCAGCTTCGCGTAGCTCTTGGCTCCTTGCATTATGGCAAGAAGGCGATTCTCTGGTCAGCTCTTGTCTGAATTGACGTGGCGTGGGATTGGTCAAAACAGAGTCGCTGACTCAATGTTGACGTATACAATCAGTTCTGCAGGCAGAGTCTTGTCGGAAGTTGATGTGTCGGAAGACTTTGTGCACACAAACGGGACATGCGACACCAATTGTCGACAAATGAATGATCCACGTTAGATGTAGTGAACGCACTTTGCCCGTGCAGTATCGGGTGACACAGTATATGGCACTCACTCTATCCTTATGCGGATCTTCTAATGTGGCACATTGTCCACGACGAAGACACTAGCGATATTTAAAAGGCAGTCGCTCGAAGGCCGACCGGCAATGGTTTTTTTCGACGAACGCATTAGTTCTAAGCACAGGCTGAGCACTTTCTCCATAAAAGGTCATTTGTGTAGATGTCCTGCACGATCTTCACCACCGCAGCTGCGACAAGACGGACGCAGTTGTCGATTTACTGCAGCTCTCAAGGCAGCTTACGTACGCAGCTATTTATTCTGCTAATGCTTGATCAAACCATGATCGACCTGACATCATTAGAATATGTTTATAAATATTTTACAATATTGCTGATCACGTGCGAAAGGGCTGATGTATCATTGTGACCCCACAGTGTCCTCATTGACACTATTCTCGCGGCTGCGATGAACTGAGCACCGAGCTTATACTTCATCGTCCGCGACTGACTGCGTGAGAACAAATGAATGGTAACATTGCTATCATCGACAGTCGATGGAAATCCAGAAGCAGACGACCTGATTATGGCGGCGATAGCGCCGATTCGCTTACACACAATCACGCCGTACCGAAATAGATGAGACGGGGGACACCATGCAACCGACGAGGCGGTGTTGTCCACGTTAGTCAGCTCTGACCTTGCTGTTCGAAAGGTCACAAGGTAGCAGTCTATTTTGTGTATTGATGTCACGACGCTCGCACCAGTGGCCTTGACTCATCGTAGAAGTGGGACGGTGGGGGAAACCGAAAGCGTGTCTAAGGCTGATTGGCTTTTCATCGACAGCGAGACGATAACTCGGGGCGCTGTTTCTATGCTTAGTGAATCTTACATCCTGGGTTGGCCCGACTTGCACTAACGTTTTTAGTAGAGTCCGTCTAATCCAACCATAACCTGAGCTTTGATCAAGTTTACAAGGTTGAGGGCATCAGGAATGTCTTGGTCGATGTAATGGGGTAGCCCGTCACATGATATTGACACCAAACGGTGGCAATAGGGAGTTCGTCTAGCATGACAATTCCCTACCAATATTATCCGAGATGGATAACATTGAAGGAATATTATCCCCTTGTAGGATATTATTCATGCGCAGCTCAAAGATTGGTTGATAAAGACATATCAACCAAGGTTACCACCAATCGCTACTAGACGCGCGTAATGCGTGGTGAGCAGGTTGTCATCACACGACAATGTAGATTAATATAGTTAGATAAAGACTGAAGTTACATTGATGGCTGAACTATATTAAATGCGGTTTTTTTTTACCTTCTACTCAAACTAGCTGTTTGAGTAGATAGCTTCCTCTGCACACATCAGTGTACGTGAAGTTTTGCAGCACCACAAGCAAAGGGTACCCCGTTACATCTGGTAGCACTTCGTAGTCCATACAACGACTACTTAGTGTCCGTTTAACATGAATATGTTGGACGTGGAAGACGACAGATTTCACGTCACACGTGAGGGTTACTACCATCTGAGTGACTCAGAATGGGAGATAGTCGGCCGCATGAGTGTGCTCATGGGCAAACCCGCCATCAGTGGCATGTTGGAGTATCTAAGCAGAAACTAGCAACATGCTGCTATCAACAAGTTCCTACAATGGGAACTTGCCGTCGAAAGACAGAAGATAGCCTTGCTACATCAGCAAGTCTCTCATCAGTCGATGAGCGGGCCGACGCACACGCGTCGACCCGAACCCTTGAAGATTGATGTTTCAACGTACATGGAAACCGATGGAGATTCCCTTTTGAGATGGTTCGTCGAGTTAGACGACGATAAGTGCCCGTCATATCGAGGGTGACGAGATGAAAGTCGCCTTTGACCTGTCACATTTGACAGGGCGAGCAAATACTTGGGCCATAAGGCTCAAGCTTCACGCCCCAAACGTGTTTGAGTCGTTGGAGATCTTGAAGGCTCGGCTCAAAGAGACGTTTGAGCCGCTAAGAGCCGATTCCAGAGCATGCTCTGCACTCTTGAGGCTAAAGCAAGGTAAGAGTGACGTGCACGCTTACGCAAAACACCTACCTTACCTTGCGAGTAGCGTTACGAAAAACCCTGTTGATGACACACGCTCATCAACGTGTTCATCTACGGCCTTGTAGAGGGACCGGTGAAGACCTACATGTTCCGAGAGGACTTCCATACGCTGGAAAAGGGCGATAGCGTATGCGGAGTATAGGGGCTTCAGCCTGATACAGTATCAGGCTAACTAGTCAAACTATCGTCCAACGAGGCGACAGGAAACAAGAGGTCCCGAGCCAAAGGACTTCTGCTACATCGAGAGCGAGAATTCTCGCTCTCTGAGTCACAAGCGAACGGCAAGATGCCATCGCTATCAGATTATTGGACACTACGCTCGTGAGTGTAGTGTCCCAATAACCGCAACATGTCCAAAGACAGGACGCGATGACCACCGTTGGCCAAGGAAGGGTCCGAGGCGTGGGTCCGACTATGTTGCTAAGCCGTGACAAGCCGGACCGCCAAAAAAACGGTCAGGGTCAGTAGGGGCGGATCACCCTGCTGATCCAGCAACGTCAAGAGAATTTGCAGGACTCTTGACGAAGATTGCTCCCAACACGCAGTCTCTGTGTGTTACTGCCCTTAGTGATGAGAAATCTCTCATCACTTTGAAGATCGAAGTGACAAGTGGAATGTCACTTCGCGTCCTAGTTGACTGTGGGGCGTCGAACATTTTTATTCGACTTCAGTAGCTAGAGGATGGTAGGCTTAACTATGTTGAGCGAGAGTTCCCTCCAACGAGGATGACGGTGTGCCTTGCTACAGGCGCACCGGAACAATGAACAAACGTGTAGCGGGAATCCACTACACGCTAGAAGGAAAGCAGTACGATGATGACTTCAACGTACTGGATTTGGATGACAAATTTGATGTTATCCTCGGTCTGCCATGGCTTAGAAAGTACCAGCCATGATCAGCTGGCAGCATCGATACGTGAAGATGCCTGCAGTTGGTTCATCAGATGGCCATCTGATGAAAGTCTTGGAGCGTCCACAAGCCTGTGGATGTATACCTGAGAGTGCGATGGCCTCACTTGTGGTACGGTAGTTAGTATGACTGCACAAGATCACAGTGTAGAAGGCCACTACACTGTGGAACCAGCTTCCGGCACCTTCGTAGAGACACAGGCTGCGCCGAAGGTTCACCACTCGAAGAGATCGAGTGGAAACGGATGCACACCAAGAAGGTTGCATTCAAGAAGAGAGATGGGTGTTGTTCAGGATGAACAACACGTTGAAGCAAGATCGATCAACAGAGAGTCGATCGTAGAGCAAGATCGATCTATTATAGAGATTCGATCGCAGAGCAAGATCGATCCACTATAGAGATTCGATCGAAGAGGACGTGACTGTGTTAGTGCACCCACAGTCAGTACACGTATTGGAAGAACGGTCCGGCGTTCCTGAGAGTGATAACTTTCGAGAGATTTTTGTTGAGGGTGTGTTTCCCCAACCACCTGCGGATGTGTTTTTCCAGGAAATCACCGAGACAGTGAATGTCCTGGTGAGTGACGGATCAAGTGTAGGCGCTTATACACTTATTTTGTTTATACCTCCGAAGTCAGCTTCGGAGGTAATCAAGTTGACAACGCTAGAATCTAAAAGATTCTTGCGATAGCTGCGTAGTGACAAGATCAAGCAGATCTGCGTACTCTTCACAGAAGAAGAGTACGTCGCCGATATTCGGTCGGCACAAGTAATTACTGAGCACGACCGGGTTCTCAGTAGCTCATCGATAGATGAGAGTGTCCTCGATGAGAAGACCCGGATTGATCGATACATGTCGTAATCTCGGTAGACTTTGAAGACAAATCCTTTGCATAAGAATATAATAAAATTTTAGATGTATTTTCCCTGAATCTATGCCATGCGAGCTGCCCAAGGACAAAGTCACTCTACATGAGATCAGGCTGAAACCGGTTCGAAGTACTGTGTTATGAAGCAGTGGCCACTGCCTCGCGAACAGGTCACAGCGATCGACAAATTCTTTGCCCATCACTAAGCGGCTGGTCACGTGAGGAAATTAACATCCCCACACAGCTCTCCGACCTTCTGTGTACGAAAGGTCAAAGGAGGGTAGAGGGTAGTGCACGCTTTCCACAAATTGAACGCTGCAACGGTACCGGCTCAAACGCCGATACCGAGGAAGGACGTCATCATTAATGGTACGGCAAAAAGTACCATCTTTTCGGCCATGGATCTGATTTGGTAAATTCTATAATATTCTCGTGCGTGAACGGGACATCATGTGCACAGCAGTGATCATCCCTAGCGGTACGCTCTGGGAGTAGCTAGTGATACCACAGGGTCTAAGTAACGCTCCTGCAACGTTCAACAGATGTGTTACAAATCTGTTGCGATCGGTGCGAGACTTCGCAACGAGTTACTTTGACGATGTCTTCATCCATAGCCGGTCTATGGATGGAAGACGGACGTGGATGTTCATAGAATTCACGTCCGGAAGGTTCTTACACTAATGCGAGAGCATCAATTGTATGCCAATCTCAAGAAGTGTATACTTGCAGCGAGCGAAATTCCACTTCTTGAGTGCATCGTTGGTAAAATCGGTGTACGCCCTGATCCGGAAAAGATCAATGCGATGAGCGACTGGCCTGTGCAAGTCGACGTCAAGAGACTTCGAAAGTGCCTTGGCTTGGCAGCGTATTTGCACAAATACTCGCGCAACTACGCCGAGATGACCGTACATCTGTCTCGTATGTTAAAGAAAAACGAGAAATGGTCATGGAGTGATTAGTTACAGCACTCCGTCGAAGGTATCATCAAAGAAAGATTAATGTAATCATTTGTTTTGGCAATTGTAGATCAGGATAGACCATTTCATGTGGTCTGTGACGCCAGCGATTTTGCAATCGGCTGCACGCTAATGCAGTACGACTCAGACGGCGTTGAGCGCGTCGTCTGTTATCAGTCGCGTCAGCTTGAAGCAGCTGAGCGTAATTATTCGGTGCATGACAAGGAACTCCTTGCCATTATATATGCACTGAATAAGATCCGGGAACATCTCTAAGAAGATAGGCCCTTTATCGTTAAAACCGACCTTGCGTCTTTACGCACGGCCGTAAACAGTCCACACCTCTCGCGACGAATGGCAGGGTGGCTGTCTTTTTTCGCGGAGTACCACTCTCCGTCGAGTGTAAACCAGGACGACCGAATGTCGTCGCTGTTGCTCTTTCGCGTCAGTCCGATTTCGAGCCGACTGCTCAAACCAACAGAAGGGGTGATCCCACTGTTGCAACACTATCAGTGAGTGTTCCGTCGTCGAATTTGCTTGGCAATGTGCGAAAAGCATACGCAGAAGATGAGCCTCTTCTGCGATTGATGGATTACGTGTCTAATCCATGCAGTCAAGCTTTGAAAAGCTTGACGTCTCAACAATGCTCTTCAACCGAACGGTACTCGATTCGTGATGAACTGCTGTACTTTACAGCAGTCAACGACGACACGCCTCGTGTCGTCGTTCCCGCTCATGATTGTGTGCAACTGCGCCTCATGTATGAGTGTCGCGATGCCACAACAAGTGGGCATCGCGGTAGAGAATATACTTACCTCACGGTGAGTCGTGACTTCTACTGGCCTAGCCAGTATGTGTTTGTGCGGAAATTCATTCGCGTTTGCGAAGTTTGTCAACAAGTGAAGCATAGTCCTTCATCCCGTGCACCCTTACAGCCTCTGTATATTCCGGCAGAGTGTTGGCAGTCCGTATCGATGGACTTCGTCTTTTGGTTTCCCAAATACGCTCACAAGAATACTGGTATTCTTGAGTTTGTTGACTGGCTCAGCAAGATGGTACATCTTGTTGCCGTACCGGAGTCAATCACAGCCCAGGGCTGTGCTCGTGTCTTCATCGATACTATCTTCCGACTTCACGGGTCAATTCGTAAACTTGTGTCCGATAGGGACCTCCGCTTCACAGCGGAGTTCGGGCAATACGTGCTCCATTCACTTGGAACACGGTTGAAGATGTCGACTTCTGACCATCCAGAAACATATGGTCAGACGGGACGCGTCAACCGCGTCCTCGAAGAGATACTTCGAGGGTATATCCAATCGTTTACGAGTTGTAGTGGGTTCTTGCCGACTGCGTAATTCGCAATCTAAAACTCGGTGCACGCGTCAACAACGCGTAAACCGTTCTTCGTGAATGGCCTACGCCATCCTCGCCTACCCGCCTTCTTTAAGTGTTAATCTAGCTTAAGGGGGGGCTCGCTCCAACAAAAACCGATCTTGTTCTTGCTCATCCCACATCGACAATGTTGTCGACGTGATGGATGCCGATGTCGATCACATCGATATCGATGACGATGATGGCGACGATGCTGGAAGATTTAGTATCGCAAACAACTGCCACAGAGAGGACGATGACGTCCTCACTGGTGAAGACAACGTTCTTTCATCGGTGCACACGAAGAACTGTTGTTAACAAGGATGAGTCAGCAGAGGAATTTCTGCTGACTCGCGAAGCGGTTGTCCGCTTCGTTCAAAATTCTATTGCAGATGCAACAGACAAGCAAAAAGAAACGCAGAGAAACACGGAAGAGAAAATGAAGGAGACTTAGTTTTACTGTCTACGGTTAATTTACTAAAACACACAGTGACAAACGTGGGCAGCAGCAAATTACTGCCCAAGCATATCGGTCCATTTCGTGTGTTGCGCCGTGTGGGCAACGCATACACTATTGAACTGCCCCGTAAGATGCGCACGCATCCTACGTTTTACGTTGGTCGTCTCCGTCCGTACTATCAGTACGAGCCCGTTTCGAGAGGCGAAGAACACCTCCGCGGCCAAGGGCCGAAAAAACCTTCGAGTGGTCCCGTTTCAACGAGCCAGTCTGGTCGACTAGCAAAGCTACCTGCTCACGCAGTTAAGCGATGTCCTGGCGAGATGCATTCAGCTCGTCCGAAGAGAACGAATCGAAAGTTCGTTCTTAAGTTGCGCAAACGCAAAAGCGGCACAATCGTTCGAATGATTGTGCGCTAAGGAATTGAAACTATCCTTTACAAGATCCTCAAGCCCATAACGCCGAGATCTTTCATAATCCAGGTCATCGTGTAACTGGTCCGTTACACGGTTCAATTCCTGAACATCAAACTGATCCAACCCTTGAGCCGGATCAGGTGCTTCCGCCACCACCACATCCTTTGTTGTATTCTGGCGGTGGTCAACGCTTTCTGGCGGAGCGTACTTTGAACCACCGCGACGTGAATGGCGTCCGGACGAGTTACTTCGTCCGCTGGCGTGGCTATCCACCAGCCTGGGACAGCTGGGAGCCTCGTGCCCAGCTGATTGTCGATGTTCTGATTCTCGTCGAGCAGTACGACGAGACCGACCCGCTGCGTTTAAAGAAGGGCCGTCGGAAAATGATCTCCCAAAACGCGAGTACAGGTATTGCAAAGTGTCAATCCCTTCGGACATCTCAGAAGAGATACGCGCCCTCCAGTAGGGATTATTGGGGAGGTAGGCCTACCTAGGGGCACGATCCGAGTTGTCCAGAAAACTGGACACGAATCACCCCACACGAGACGGAATAATCCTGCCTCTCCTTACAGTCGGTGCAACTTGTACCGTACACCGAATGAGTTACGCTTCTCAATCCTGATGCGAGCTGCATCAATTTTTTCGATCAAAGCCTCACGGCCAATGCACTCGATGTTATGGATGAAGGCATTACATCTTGCACCAAGGCCTTACCGTCTCGACCACGGTTGCCATTGTACCACTAATGTTTAATAAACACATCGTTAAAGAACTTTTCTTCAGCACGGATAGTTTCCGTGCTGGAATTAGGAGGACAGGTCCTCCTAAAATCGAAGAACGGAATTTGGTATCGTTCGGTGGTCGTACCGGCCACTCGGTCCAACTTCTTTGATGACAGCATCGAAGGAGACTCACTTGAGGTTCGTGGCGCTGGACGTTGCGGTCCCTAGCCTTTGAGTGGTGTAATAATGATCCCTGACACCAGTGGCAGCTAGATCCCTCGAGTTTTTTTCTCTCGTGGTAATGCATTGGGGTATCACCCCCATCTCAACGCGGCCTATCGTCGAGTGGACTTGCTTGAGACGAGAATTTGTCAAGATAATTGCTGGGTCCGAAGATCTCTGACATGATGCCGCCCCGTTCCCCAGAGCCAGTCAATCTGTCTCTTGCAGTGTCTGACCGGATGATCCGGAGGCGTGAGGTGTCGCCTTCGAGTCGGATGCATCATCCGACTCGCCAGAATAGATGAGCTCCATTTCAGGCTCATCTACATTGCGAGTCGCAGTACCCGCTGCAGACGCAGCGGATGTATCTGTCGCACGTGGTGACTCACCCCGTAAACTGTTCATAACAGGCACCACGTATTGCTGAATCGCAACAGCAGGAGAAGGATCACCCGCTGATGGAGCAAGAGAAGAATTCTCTTCGGATTCACGTATACGTGCAACCGCCTTTCTGGCTGCTTCGGTAGCACATCGCATGGACTTTGACACCATGCGATGAATTGGAAAATGAGTTGGAATCGACCAACACGTGCCCCCCTTCCCATAGTGATCCAACTATTGTCACCCTGTCTCAATCAGTCAAATTCAATAAACGGGTTATTGATGGTTAAGCGGGGGGGGGGGTGATGTATCGGGATAGCCCGTCACTTGATATTGACACCAAACGGTGGCAATAGGGAGTTCGTCTAGCATGATGATTCCCTACCAATATTATCCGAGATGGATAACATTGAAGGAATATTATCCCCTTGTAGGATATTATTCATGCGCAGCTCAAAGATTGGTTGATAAAGACATATCAACCAAGGTTACCACCAATCGCTACTAGACGCGCGTAATGCGTGGTGAGCAGGTTGTCATCACACGACAATGTAGATTAATATAGTTAGATAAAGACTGAAGTTACATTGATGGCTGAACTATATTAAATGCGGTTTTTTTTACCTTCTACTCAAACTAGCTGTTTGAGTAGATTGGCTTCCTCTGCACATACTAGTGTACGTGAAGTTTCGCAGCACACAAACAAAGGGTGCCCTGTTACATAAAAGCTCCCATTGACTGGATTTAGTGCTGAGCCTAATGTGTATCGGGTAAAAAAGGGGCTGCATTTAATATAGTTCAGCCATCAATGTAACTTCAGTCTTTATCTAACTATATTAAGCTACATTGTCGTGTGATGACAACCTGCTCACCACGCATTACGCGCGTCTAGTAGCGATTGGTGGTAACCTTGGTTGATATGTCTTTATCAACCAATCTTTGAGCTGCGCATGAATAATATCCTACAAGGGGATAATATTCCTTCAATGTTATCCATCACGGATAATATTGGTAGGGAATTTTCATGCTAGACGAACTCCCTATTGCCACCGTTTGGTGTCAATACCATGTGACGGGCTACCCCGTTATATTAGGATCGGGTTAAACATCTACAACTGGAAAATTACCAATGTCACATATATCTCTGGGTAAACAAGTATTGCTAACTCGTCTAGCGGAACCTGGTGCGACAACACCTGCACCCCGATTGTCTACCGTAGCTATTGTTCCAGCACAAGCGAGCTGCTACTTCCTGGATACAACTCTGATTGATCATGCAACGATTCCAGTTGATGAACCGGCGAACACCATCGTACAACTTGACTCGGTGATAAGCCGCGCTTATCCTCGACACCATCCTCGACTTCGTGCTCGTCAACGCCGACTACACAACGTATCAAGGGCTGAACTCAGCCATAGGTATTATTTTCATGACAACACGGTTTCGAGGATACGTGACTTAGGTTGCTTGTCTATCATCCACCCTGCAAAACGAGCCGTCTACTACCACGAGTGCGATGCGTAGACGTACAACACTTTCTGGTACTTCCTTGGCGTCACGTTCGTCGACATACCCTACACAGTTGGCATCAGTCTCCTCTTCATCATCGTTTTCTACCCTATCTTGGCATCTGGTCCTTCAGCACCGCTGTGCTATACTAATTCAACATCTCCCTCTTTGTGCTCATGCAGACGCTTCGAAACCAGCTGCTCGTCGTATTCATTTTTCAGTGGCAAATTCGTTGTCGTTGTGGGCGCCCTCATAAACTTCATACCCCTGCTCTTTGCTGGGTTCATTTCGCCTGCTGCTGCCATCCCGGGCCGTTACCGATAGCTAAATGAAGTCACTCGACAGCGCTAATCTTTCTCAATCCTCGTCTCGCTCGTATGAAACAACTGTCATGAAGATCCGGTGTATGATGAGGTTACGAAGGGGTACACCAACGTGCGGTCGGAACTCGCGTGTTAACCCCTAAGTAATGCACCGCCGTCAGTGTGTTACACGATGGTCAAGCACTGCCTGGACGACACCTTCAACTCAAACACAGCGACATGTTGTAGAGGGGCATCCTGAAGCTTGTACTGATGACAGTACAAGCTACTTATTCTGACGACAGAATAAGGCGGTGCCTTGGAACTTCACGTACACTGGGTGTTGCAGAGGAAGACGGTAAGGAGAAGCGAGTACTTGGTTAAAAGTAGAACTGTATTTATCATAGTTAATGTCTGTTAAAAAACCACTATTTATCCTCATCTAACTATGTCTAAATACAAATGTGCATATCAACTATCTGCTCACCACTCATTGCGTGCGTCTGTCGTGGCGTGTCTTCGTTGGTTGATATAATGGCCTATATCAACCAATTAGGAACTACTCGTAAGTGCTGCAGAATATTTGTCCTTATGACAATATTCTGAGAATATAACTCTTATAGTTATATTCTATAACAACTTCTTATAAATTGTTATGTAACGATACACCCCGTTACATCACCCCCCCTTAACCATCAGTCACTTTAGTGACCGATTGAATAAATGGATACTCGTCCCAAATCATTTGGGTCAGGGTTTGCACTTGTTGGTCCGAGTCCACTTTCCAACAGTTCGTCGCATAATTTACAAGACCATGCGATGCGCGAGCAAGGCCGCCGAGAGCGCGTCCGCACGTCTCTGTGCGGACGCCGAAGCAGAAACCGCAGCAACTGATGTCTCATCGTTTGCTGAAGCGACTCAGCCTGTATCACCTGGTGATGCAGGCGCTGGTCATGAAGACACTCGTGTCTTCACAGAGTACGAGCTCGGTGTCTCGTACTCTCCTGATACGGATGACGGATCCGTATCGACGGCGATTGAATCTAAGCCGCCTGCCAAGCGTGGCATGGATGATGCTATGCGTCGTAGCATCTTTGGTTCATCTGATGAATCAGATGAACCATCGCCGAAGCGAAGGCGCTTGAGGTCGCGAGACTCGGGCGCTAACAGTGGTGTCGGTTCTCCTATTGACACCACTTCACAGCGAGGTGCCAGTACTTCTGTCGGCACATCGTAGGAAGAGCGGAACCGCAATGTCGTGCGTCTCGCTCCTGAGAAGAAGGCATGGATGCCTCCCAAATCCGTCATGGATCGCTTGTCGGCGACGACGAGTGATCGTTATCGAACACGATTGTTCGATTCGTTAAGGATCCATCAACTTGACCCCAGTGCGAAAAACTATCGCACTGAACATGAGTTCTTCATCGATGCTTTCTTTAAGCATCGATGGTACAGTGGGAATCACAAACGTGATGGTCCCTCACTACTTCAAGCGTGGAACGCCTACATCCATAACCTTGAGGATGTAGGTCGTGACGTTTGGAACGACAAACTTATCAAGGCTCGTGATAAGTTTGAGAAAAGAACCCCGAGGTGCACGCTAAAGCTGCATCTTCTGTCTAGGGAGAGTGGGTTACCCTGCCTCTCTTGGGGAGACTCGTGCCCGTGTTGTGTGAACAACTCTGCACGAGCACCTAAGGAGGCTTACCTCCCTAATAGCCCGTGGTGGCGCGTACGTATCTCTATTGAGATGTACGAAGGACTTGACAACCTGAAATCTCTTTACGACCGATGCCGGAAAGACTTTCTTTAGCGGTCCTTCTGCGGCACAGGATGTGCCGCGTCGTACTGCTCAACCAGACCCAGTACGTCAACCATCAGTTGGGAGCGGGGCTCCCAAGTATCCCAGGACGGGGGATAACCGCGCCACCGGATGAGGTAACTCGTCCGACGTCCGTTCACATCGCGGTGGTTCAACAGCCGCTCCATCAGATAGTGCTGGCCACCGCGAGAGTCCTCCAAAGGAGGTGGAGGAGAAGGGAAGACGCTAATCACACAGTCGTGGGGAAGCGTGTGTTCCCGAGAGCTTCTTTGATCGCGTAACGCAAGCGTTACGCAACGACCTCGAGCATGAGCGGGACATGCATCTTCAACTGGCGGACGCTGTCTTGAAGTATCGAGCTGAGTTTGAATTTGCTCAGCTTGAGAACGAGAGAGCTTTGACATCTCTGCGTAACGAGCTAAGGGTAGCAGGTGTGGTTATTGACCGGTCTCGGGCTAAGATAACTGCTCTTCAGACCCTTGTCGAAATCCACTATCGGGAGCACAAGGCTCTTTGTGAGGTGCTTGAGCGCAAGGGCGTTCTTCATCGGAAGAAACAGCGTACTGATGGTAATTCTTAAGCCGACCAACGTAAAACGTGGGATGCGTTCGCATCTTACGTGGCAGTTCGATCGTGTATGCGTTTGCCTAGGCGATGCAATACACGAAATGGGCCGATGTACTTGGGCAGAAGTTTACTACAACCCACGTTAGTCACTACATGCTTTGGTAGGTTAACCGTAGACAGTAGGACTAAGTCACCTTTATTAAATAATATAGTGTTTGCCCTTCCATTCTTGTCAGCGTTTTGCTTTTGCTTATCCATCGCTTCGGCGATGGAGTCTTGCACCGTACGAAGTACCGTTTCACAAGCCAGTATGAACTCATCGGATGACTCGTTAGCTTCAGTACGCTGTGAGTGCACTGCAGCAACATCAATCTTTTCTTCAGTGAGGGCTTCCTCGCTCTCACTGGCATCATCTTTTTCGATATCGATGTTATCGATATCGGCATCAAACGCAACGACCTCTTAGTCAGAGCGTGATGAGCGTGAACCAAATCGTTTTTTGCTCGCGCGAGTCTTCTTTTGCTCGAGCGAGTCTTCTTTTGCTCGAGCGAGTCTTCTTTTGCTCGAGCGAGCCTTCTTTTGCTCGCGCGAGTCTCTCCCCCCCTTAAACCAAAGTTACACTCGAGTAAGGTGGGTACACGCGGATGGCGCGAGCCAATCACGTAAAACGGTGTATGTGTCGTGGACGCATGCACCGAGTTGTTAATGGCAAACTCTACCATTGGCAAGAACTCACTCCAACTCTTATAGGAGTGTACGTATCCTCGAAGTATCTCTTCGAGGACACGATTGGCTCGTTCCGTCTGACCATCTGACTCTGGGTGATCAGATGTCGACATCTTCAAGCGCGTTCCGAGTGATTTGAACACGGAACGCCAGAAATCAGCAGCGAAGCGTGGATCTCTGTCTGATACGAGTTCACGGGGCAACCCATGAAGTCGGAAGATGGTGTCAATAAAGACACAAGCACAGCCACTTGCTGTGATTGACTCAGGTACAGCCACTAGGTGTACCATTTTGCTGAATCTGTCAACAAATGCGAGAATACCAGTATTCACGCGTGCGTCTTTGGGTAACCCGAAGACAAAATCCATTGAGATGGATTCCTTAGCACTCTGCCGGAACCGGTAGAGGCTGTAAAGGTGCACGCAGTGAAGGACTTGACTTCACTCGTTGACAGACTTTGCATGCGCGAACATACTTGCGCACAAACTGATACTGGCGGGGCCAGTAAAAGTCCCGACTCACCGTGAGACATGTTTTCTCACGGCCACGATGTCCTCCTATAGGAGCATCGTGATACTCGAACATGATCCGCAAACGCAGATCAGTATCATCTGGAATGACAACACGTGGTGTGTCGCCAGAAACGGCTGTATAATATAGTAACCCGTTGCGAGTAGTGTATCGATATGATGCAGATCGATACGCAGACGATAATCGTTTAAACAATTCTCGAGATGGCTGTGATAGATGTGTCAACAACTTCACAATCTCACCATCTTGGGCATACGCCCGCCTCACATCATCATGCAACGTTGAAGATGGGAATGTGGACGTCATAACCGCAACAGTGACTGTCTCACTGTTGGGTTTCACGACTGGTTCAAAGTCGGGACGACGTGAGAGTGCATTAGCGACGACATTAAGTCGTCCTGGTTTGTACTCGACCGTAAAGTTGCATTCTGCAAAGAATGACAACCACGCGCCATTCGTTGTGAAACGTGCGGGCTCTTAACTGCTGTACGCAACGATGCATGGTCTGTGTGAACAATGAAGGGTCTGTCTCCTAATAGATAGACTCTGAACTTCGCGAGTGCACACTTTATGGCAAGCAGTTCCTTGTCATGCACTGGATAGTTCCGCTCAGCTGGTTGCAGCCGGCGCGACTGATAGCAGACGACGCGTTCAACGCCTTCAAGATCGTACTGCATTAATACACAGCCGATTGCGAAATCGCTGGCATCACAGACCACATGAAATGGCCTGTCCTGATTGGCAATTGCTAGGACTGGGGATTGTACCAAGCTCTGCTTGATTTCATCAAAGGAGCGCTGACATGCAGCATTCCATAACCACATCTCGTTCTTTTTCAACAAACAAAAGAGGTGTACAGTCATCTCGTCGTAATTGCGTGAGTATTTGTGCAAATACGCCGCTAGCCCAAAATTTTTTCGAAGACCTTTGACATCAAATGACACAGGCCAGTCGGTGATCGCCTCGATCTTTTCGGGGTCAGGACGTACACCGTTCTTACCAACGATGCACCCAAGAAGTGGTATTTCGCTTGCGGCAAATATACACTTCTTGAGGTTTGCATACAATTGATGCTTTCGCATGATTGTAAGAACCTGTCGGACGTGGTACCTGTGAACCTCAACATCCGAATTTCCATCCATAGCCCGACTATGGATGAACACCTCATTGAAATAACTCGGTGCGAATTCTCGTACTGGTCTCAACAGATGTGATACACATCTGTTAAACGTGGCAGGGGCATTACTAAGCCCTTGTGGCCATACTAGCCATTCCCAGAGCATGCCGCTAGGCGTGCTCACTGCGGTATAGGGTATGACCCGTTCTCGCATAAGGATTTGATAGAAGCCATCCATCAAATCCATGGACGAAAAGATGGTACTCTTTGACATACCATCAATGATTACGTCCTTCCTCGGTATCGGCATCTGAGCCGGTACCGATGCAGCATTCAACTTGTTAAATGCATGCACTATCCGCCACCCTCCTGTTGCTTTTCGCACACAGAAGTTCGGACAGCTATGCGGGGAGGTTGATTCCTTCACATGGCATGCGGCTAAACGATCGGCAAAGAACTTGTCGATCGCAAGTACTTGCTCACGAGGCAGTGGCCACTGCTTCATGACACAGGACTTCGAGCCTGGTTTAAGCTCGACCTCGTGTCGAATGCCTTTTTCCTTCGGTAATTCGCACGGAACAGTTTCAGGGAATACATCCTTGAATTCAACCAAATCTTCGTAGAGAGGATTTGTCTTGAGCGATTCCCACGATTGGGAGTCATATCGCTCAACTCGTGACTTTTCATCGAGAACACTCTCGTCCATCGATGAACTACTGAGATCTCTCTCGTTCTCAGTAAACACTGTTGCTGACCTTATGTCGGCTACACACTCGTCGTCAGCGACGAGTACGCAGATCTGCTTGACTTTGCCACTACGCAGATCACGCAAGAACCTTTTATGTTCGAGCGTTGGCAACTGAGTGATCTCCGAGGTCAACTTCGGAGGCGCAATCAGATCAAGTGTACAAGCGCCTACACTTGATCCATCATTGACTATGACATTCAATGTCTCTGTCATTTTCTGGGGACTTATTCCCTCAGGCCTCGAAAGACTTATTCCTTCGGCTTCCCGGGGACTTCTTCCCTCGGTTTTCGGGGAACTTGTTTCCGCCGTATTTGTAATCTTGGGACTTATTCCCTTAACTTCCTCTAGCTGGGGTTGCACAATCAAAGCGAGATCCCTTACGAAAGACTCTCCAGTCGATCTAGGATTATCGTTTAGCTTAACCTGAGCGATCGATTGTTTCTCTTCTAGATGTTCCCCTCTAGGGATACATCTTTGTCCCAGTCCACCCGACTTATTCGAGTGGTGGACCTTCGGCGCAGCCTGTGTTTCCTCACAGCCGCCGGAACTTTGCTCCGAAGTGTAACCGTTTGGTACACTAAGGTTTTGTGCAGTCGTACTAACGACCGTACCACAAGTGAGGCCATCGCACTCACTCGTAGTACATCCACACGCTTGTGGACTCTCCAAAAACGTTCATCAGATGGCCATCTGATGAACAAGCGGCAGGCATCGTTACTGTCCGATGTTGCCAGTTTACCCGTGGTTCGTACCTTCTGAGCCACGGTATTCCAAGGATGACATCAAATTTGTCATCCAAATCCAATACGATAAAGTCATCGTCGTATTGGGTATCTTCTAGCGTATAGTGAATCTTCACTATACGCTTCATGACGGTTACGGATGCGCCTGTCGCAAGACGTACCGTCATCCTCGTAGGAGGTGTGTCACATTCACTGAATTTAAAGTGACCATCTTCTAGCGATTGGCGTCGCACAAAATTGTTGGACGCCCCACAATCGACTAGAGCTCGAAGGGACAACTTATTCGTCACTTCGATTTTCAAGGTAATGAGTGAGATCTCATTACCTAGAGCAGCAACGCACAATGTCTGTGTGTTGGGAGCAACCTTCATCAAGAGGCCTACAAATTCTCTTGACGTTGCTGGATCAGTAGGGTGCTCCGCACCTACTGATCCTGTCCGTCTTTTGACGGTCCATCCCGTTGTTGCGTCTTTGCACCAACTGCGGACCCTCGTCCCTGCCCCTTTCTCATGGGTGGACGGTCACTACGCCCAGTGTCGCGAGACACTGGACGAGGGGCACTACACTCGTAAGCGTAGTGTCCTGTCTTTTGACATCTGTTGCATCTCTGCAACTTCTTGTAGCCTGTAGAGCGAGCCTTCTCGCTCTCTACATAACAGAGTTCCATCGGCTCTGGACCTCCGTTGTCATATCGTCTCGGTTGACGATATGATGTCGAGCTGGCGCGAGCCTGTCTCAGACTGAAGTCTTCCTGCTCCGCAATGGAAATGGCTTGTTCTAGTGAATCTAGTTCAAGCCGGAACAGGTGAGTCTTGACGGGACCATCCGCAAGACCCTGCATGAACACCGAAACCAACGTGTGTTCATCCACCGGATTGGAACTTATACAACTCGTGAGATGTCGTATATGTTGAGCGTAAGCGTGCACATCACGCTTACCCTGCTTGAGCTTCAAGAGTTCGGTTCGAGCTCTGAACTCAGCTCTAGGCGGTTCAAACGTTTGTCTGAGCCGCGACTTGAAGACTTCCAGCGACCCAAACGCGTATGGGTCGTGCAGCTTGAGCCCCAGTGCCCAAGTCTTGGCACGTCCTGCCAGATTTGACTGGGCAAATGCAACTTGCATATCCCCGTCGTCGATGCGACGCGCCCTTATGGCGTCATCCAATTCGACGAACCATCTTAAGAGGGAGTCCTCTTCGACCCCCTATACTTTGAGATGTCAATCTTCAAAGTCTCGGGCCGACGCGAGTGCATCGACCCGCCAGCAGCAGCCTGCTGCTGTCTCAACAGTTCAAACTGTTGAGCACCTTGTTCTCTCAACAACTCTGCTTGTTGAGAACCTTGTTGGTGAAGCAAGGCTACTTTCTCGCGTTCTGCGTCAAGTTCATTTTGAATGAACTTGGCGATAGTAGCATGTTGGGCATCTCTATTGAGAGCCTCTAGCATGACGCTAACAGCATGGATGCCCATGGTCGAACCCATTCGTTCAACCGCATCCCATTCGACATCGCTCAAATGGGAGTAGCCGTCACGCGTAGCGTGAAAGCTTTGGTCATCTTTCATCATCCAACATATTCATGTTGGATGTGAACGCGGTCCTTGGACGGACTACGAAGTGCTACCAGGTGTAACGGGGCACCCTGAAGCTTGTACTGGTGACAGTACAAGCTACTTATTCTGATAACAGAATAAGGCGGTGCCTCGTAACTTCACGTACACTCGTACGTGCAGAGGAAGACGGTAAGAAGAAGCGAGTACTCGGTTAGAGTAAAAGTAGAACTGTATTTATCATAGTTAATGTCTGCAATAAATCACTATTTATCTTCATCTAACTATGTCTAAATACAAATGTGTAAATCAGTTATCTGCTCACCACTCATTGCGTGCGTCTGTCGTGGCGCGTCTTCGTTGGTTGATATAATGGCCTATATCAACCAATTAGGAACTACTTGGAAGTGCTACAGAATATTGTCCTTATGACAATATTCTGAGAATATAACTCTTATAGTTATATTCTATAACAATTTCTTATAAATTGTTATGTAACGATTCACCCCGTTACAGAACTGTTTTAATGATCGTTAATGTATGTTAATAAACCACTGTTTGTCCTCCTCTTACTATGTCTGAATAAAATGTGTATATCAACTATCTGCTCACCACTCGTTGCGTGCGTCTGTCGTGGCGCGTCTTCGTTGGTTGATATAATGGCCTATATCAACCAATTAGGAACTACTCGTAAGTGCTGCAGAATATTTGTCCTTATGACAATATTTTGCGAATATAACTCTTTTAGTTATATTCTATAACAACTTCTTTTAAATTGTTATGTAACGATACACCCCGTTACAACAGCGGCTCCGTACTAAAAAAGCATTATGCGTGGGATAAAAAAAGCGTCGGCACTCAGAAGACCGAGCCAAACAGCATTAAAGAAATCGTGTTCGTTTGGTCAAACCACGTGCAAAATCATCCGCATCCAATAAAGTCCGTGCAAGTGGAACGCACTCACACAATAGGCCATCGGTGTGTGGGGCAAATTCCTAAGCCGCCGTTGTACGAACGAGAGGAAGGTTGAGTAATTGCCTTCGTACATATGCAGCACCATGCACGAGGGGACCAGAAGTTAGGACTTACTCACTTGCCGATTCATTAGAGAAGCACATGTTTGAGCAAAACCAATGTAAGCATTGGTCTACTGCAAACGCGAGAAGTCGGAGACCGAGTTCGCACGCACGAAATGCTAAGCTGGTATAGACAATCATGCATGGACAGAATATGAACATTGTAAGCCTGAAGCCTAATTGTTTCGTTCACATGTAACTACAATCCCGTCTGCATCGTGTTGTCGCGATGGTGCATGCATACGAGTTTTGACACGAATTTGTGTTGACTCCAGACATGATATTTGTGCGTGGGTTCCCAGCTCACTTGATATGAGTTTGTGTCGACTCTATGCTAAAATGGAGTCGATTGTTTGAAGCGTCATTTAAGTATATCAGTATATCAATATATCTCGACTACTCTGTGCAATGCGGGCGTGCATGCATAACCTTTATAATGTCATACGTAAAATTGTATCGTGCCCTCGTGATGTATGTCGCATCTGACGTCGCAGTTTACGCGGCAGACGGGCGGTCAGCGGCTCTTCTTCGAGAGGGATTGCTGCCCAGTCGTGAATCGCGAGATACATACATCCGTACGAATGTGCAGAAATCGTGACCGGACGAACGAAGTGCTCCACCATGTTCCTAGCCTTCATTGTCAATCTCAATCAGATTGAAACCTGCGACCTCATACGATCTAGTCTCAAGCGCCGAACCATGTTCGGGCTCACGTTTTCGCGCTGGTACCTGTTCGTCGCAGCCTTCGTAGTGCAGTTCTGCATCGGCTGCATCTACTCCTGGTCGGTTCTCAACCATCCGATCGACTTAGCTGTCTACGATGATGCTCGAAAAGGTCGCGCTGTCAACACTTTCTATATTGCCATTGGTGTTTTCGGTGCCGCGACGGCCACGCTGAGCCCCACGATCGAACGCAAAGGACCGCGATGGAGAGTCCTCGTAGGCACGACGTTGTTCATGATTGGCCACATCGTAACGGCCATCGGCTGCTACTACGCGTCCATCACGTCGATCTACATCGGTTACGGCGTCATCACCGCGATTGGTATGGGGATGTGCTACATCTCACCCGTCGCGACATTGCAGAAGTGGTTCCCTGACTACCGTGGTACTGCCGCTGGTTTTGCTGTTGCTGGTTACGGTGCTGGCTCCGTTGTGTGGAGCAAGGTCTATCTGCCGACCATCGATGCTGTTGGTCTACCGTGGATGTTTGTCTTGCTCGGCTCGATAATGAGCGCTGCCATGTTTGCATCAGCTTTTGTGCTCCGCGTACCGCCGCCCGATTTCACTGTTGGCGGACTTGACATGCACGGGGATCATGTCGACGAGCACAGTTTCCTGGATGGCAAGCTTGGTGACGCCTACGTGCCCATAGATACACCCAAAGCTGGTGGTGGTGCACACCACGATATGGAACCATTTGAGGCGCCGGTCAAGCAGCTGCCACTCAAGCAGGCGCTCTTGACCCCTGACTTTATTTTTATGTATCTCATGTTCTTTGCCAACCAGCTTTTCGGCGTGATCGTCTTGTCCCGACTCTCGAGCATGTGCATTGACATCTTTGGCAAAAGCGCCAACAGTGCTTCCAACATTGTGTCCATCAATAGCGCGTTCAATTGCTGTGGACGTCTTGTTTTCCCTGGCCTGTCGGATTGTCTCGTTCGCTTCTTCAAGATGGAAAAGACTTTTGCCCGCAAGGTTCTGTACTACTTCACGCTTGGTGCGCAGATTGTCGTGCTGGGTTCGCTTCCTGCTGTCATTCGTCACGACAACTACACGATCTTTGTGATTGAAGTCTTCTTGCTGACATGTAGCTACGGGGGCGGCTTTGGCACCATCCCGGCTTTTGTCACGGAGATGTTCGGTGCCAACAACATTGGCCCAATGCACGGTGTGATTTTAACCGCCATGGCTGTTGGCGGCGTCGCTGGTGGACTCACCTTCAACTACACGTACAACAACAAGATCGGTGATGGCATGAGCGTGGGCGAGGCGTACATCGACAACATCGAGGTTATCTTTGTTATTATCTGTATTGGATTTGCAATACTGCTCTTGGTACGCACGAATGCGACGGACCGCCATGAGCCAGGCTATCACTACTCGCTGTGCGGCAAGCGTGTGATTAACATCTTGCCAAAGAAGAAGAATGCGATGGAGCAGAAAGAGGCTGAGACAGAGGCTGCTGCGGAGGGACAATCGGGAACTGCTGTCTAAGAGCTTCGAACGGTCGACTTTAGTTTAAGGTCGTGCATGATGTTTGTCATTGTTTGAAATACCAGCACACCCAATGGTCTATTTTTTGTAGTACTAATCCGCTTCGAAGTGATCAGCGTGATGGGTACTTGCCCTTGTTGAAGTCCTCACAGCAGATCAAAAAGTCATTGTGATTGCTATAATTCGACATATTGTGCCTAACATGTGTCCGCACGCGGCGCATCTGCTTACGTTGACATTGTGTTCGGTCGGTATATTCCACACCGATCCACGTTGTCGGCCACCTGTTCGAATCGTGGCGAACGAAAGGTAGACGAGAAAGAAGATGGCACAATAACACGCTGAACAGTTGCACATCGATACTGAAGTCTTAACTACTTGTAAAGCCTCGACAAATATTTTTTGAATACATTGAGGGACGTATTACACAAGTCGCGACGCCAGCTTCAGTGTGCTGTATTTACTGCGTACTGAGCAAATTGAGTGTCTCCTGATGCAACACATTTGTCTACTTTTTTATCTGCTAGCAAGCTGCTTTCGAGTGCAAAAGTCCAGACATCTGTCGTAGCAATCACTCGCAAGAAAGCCTCATTGAATGTCATGCGGCACATACATGAAACTGGCAAGCCTGGTACCTCGCTTAGGAATATATAAGGATCGGGTACCACAAGTTTGCAGCTTGAGTACTCTTATCACGTCGGGTGTCGCTGTACTGACCCTTACGTCATATAAATGTGCATTGCATACAAAGACCCGTTCATGTGGCATCGTGAAGCGGCTCAACGAAAAGTATTGCCAGCTGTGAATCTGTGATCAAAAAATGCTTTGATGCAGCTTGTTGTCAGCACGCGCGGTCTCGACGCTCTCGGCACAGCCGCGTACATGACAACGAAGTGCGTCTGGCGAAGGTAGCGGTAAGTGCGGGCATCCCTGCTCAAGGTACTCACACTATATTATATACCGCGGCGACCGTACACATGCACCAACCACATAGCCGAGACAACATCTGCTATGGCGATAATACGTTGCTAGTTGCTGGTATGTTCTTGCATCAACACGTCGCTTGAAGAAACGAAAAGCTGCACGGATCAACCGATCTTATGACCTCTCCTGTCGTACAAAAATACACGTTCCCTATCACGCGATTCCCGCAACGATGATGCCGTCGTCGTCGGCACGAAGTGGAGATTCAAGCCCATTGTGCAAACTTTGGGCAGAAGCGTCGTTCGGACGAAGACGGTGCAGACCAGTCCTAGAGGACGTAGACTGGTCGATGCTGTGTACAAAGCTATTGTTGCCTGCGTAGGTCGTCTTCGTATGCACATGAATACAAGATACACCAATTTCCACAAGAACATCTGCCTTAGCTTGCGTGGCAAGATATCGCAGGATAGATTCTGTTTCTTACGAAGCGTGTTCCGTTGTCAGTTATGTCCTCTAGTCGAAATAGTCTAGATAAAAATGGCGATAGAAATAGGGGCGAGGCTATTTCGTACTTTGAATTTTGCTATTCCGTACTGCAAACGGCGTCAAACGTTTTACGAGCAGCTAATTAGCTTAATAGTTAAATTTAGCTGTATTATGTTATACGTAAAAGGTCAGAGGTGCGGAGATTAAAGAGCTTCCACTGACTGGATTTACTTCCCTGTATGTCACCCTTTTCACCAGCGTTATATGAATCGTATAGTGTAGCTGACAACACCAGGATGAACAGTACACGCAGTAGAGCTCTGTTTCCTTCGTAGATCAACCCAGGTCCGTCCATGTTTATGTCCAGCAAATAATTCGTCCCATTTCAGGCGGTCCTAATCTAAACACGACTGTACCTCGAAGGGCATATCCTGCTCTTTATCAACATCCCAGCACAACGATCAGATCGAAGACCTCAGTATGTAAATATTTTCTGTCTTGTGTCGTTCATTGTTACTATTAACTATATTGTTCGATTAGACTGAATAAGATGAGACCTAGTAGCTACATCTACCCTTCCATTCGTATATTAACGCCACGACCTTCATCACCATTTCATAAATAATTGTATACATGGTCCAGCGCCTCTGGTAGCTCACGTAGCATACCGCCAGCAGCGTCAGTACCCAAAATACCGCGAGGAAGACCAAAACGTAGCAAAAGTTAGTCTACATGTGTATCGGGGTGAATCGTTACATAACAATTTAAAAGAAGTTGTTATAGAATATAACTATAAGAGTTATATTCTCAGAATATTGTCATAAGGACAAATATTCTGCAGCACTTACGAGTAGTTCCTAATTGGTTGATATAGGCCATTATATCAACCGACGAAGACGCGCCACGACAGACGCACGCAATGAGTGGTGAGCAGATAGTTGATGCACACATTTGTATTTAGACATAGTTAGATGAGGATAAAATAGTGGTTTATTAACAGACATTAACTATACTAAATACAGTTCTACTTTTTACTTTAACCAAGTACTCGCTTCTTCTTACCGTCTTCCTCTGCACGTGCGAGTGTACGTGAAGTTCCGAGGCACCGCCTTATTCCGTCATCAGAATAAGTAGCTTGTACTGTTACCAGTACAAGCTTCAGGGTGCCCCGTTACACAAGGTAGCACTTCGTAGTCCGTCCAAGGACCACGTTCACATCTAACATGAATATGTTGGATGATGAAGATGATGACCAAAGCTTTCACGCTACGCGTGACGGCTACTCCCATTTGAGCGACGTCGAATGGGATGCTGTTGAACGGATGGGTTCAACCATGGGCATCCATGCTTTTAGCGTCATGCTAGAGGCTCTCAATAGAGATGCCCAACATGCTACTATCGACAAGTTCATTCGAAATGAACTTGACGCTGAACGCGAGAAAGTAGCCTTGCTTCACCAACAAGGTTCTCAACAAGCAGAGTTGTTGAGAGAACAAGGTGCTCAACAGTTTGAACTGTTGAGACAGCAGCAGGCTGCTGCTGGCGGGTCGATGCACTCGCGTCGGCCCGAGACTTTGAAGATTGACATCTCAAAGTATAGGGGGGTCGAAGAGGACTCCCTCTTAAGATGGTTCGTCGAATTGGATGACGCCATAAGGGCGCGTCGCATCGACGACGGGGATATGCAAGTTGCATTTGCCCAGTCAAATCTGGCAGGACGTGCCAAGACTTGGGCACTGGGGCTCAAGCTGCACGACCCATACGCGTTTGGGTCGCTGGAAGTCTTCAAGTCGCGGCTCAGACAAACGTTTGAACCGCCTAGAGCTGAGTTCAGAGCTCGAACCGAACTCTTGAAGCTCAAGCAGGGTAAGCGTGATGTGCACGCTTACGCTCAACATATACGACATCTCACGAGTTGTATAAGTTCCAATCCGGTGGATGAACACACGTTGGTTTCGGTGTTCATGCAGGGTCTTGCGGATGGTCCCGTCAAGACTCACCTGTTCCGGCTTGAACTAGATTCACTAGAACAAGCCATTTCCATTGCGGAGCAGGAAGACTTCAGTCTGAGACAGGCTCGCGCCAGCTCGACATCATATCGTCAACCGAGACGATATGACAACGGAGGTCCAGAGCCGATGGAACTCTGTTATGTAGAGAGCGAGAAGGCTCGCTGTACAGACTACAAGAAGTTGCAGAAATGCAATAGATGTCAAAAGACAGGACACTACGCTTACGAGTGTAGTGCCCCTCGTCCAGTGTCTCGCAACACTGGGCGTAGTGACCGTCCACCCATGAGAAAGGGGCAGGGACGCGGGTCCGCTGTTGGTGTAAAGACGCAGCAACGGGATGGACCGTCAAAAGACGGACAGGATCAGTAGGTGCGGAGCACCCTACTGGTCCAGCAACGTCAAGAGAATTTGTGGGCCTCTTGATGAAGGTTGCTCCCAACACACAAACGTTGTGCGTTGCTGCTCTAGGTAATGAGATCTCAATCATTACCTTGAAACTCGAAGTGACGAATAAGTTGTCCCTTCGAGATCTAGTCGATTGTGGGGCGTCCAACAATTTTGTGCGACGCCAATCGCTAGAAGATGGTCACTTTAAATTCAGTGAATGTGACACACCTCCTACGAGGATGACAGTACGTCTTGCGACAGGCGCATCCGTAACCGTCATGAAGCGAATAGTGCAGATCCACTATACGCTAGAAGATACCCAATATGACGATGACTTTATCGTATTGGATTTGGATGACAAATTTGATGTCATCCTTGGAATACCGTGGCTCAGAAGGTACGAACCACGGGTAAACTGGCAACATCGAACAGTAAAGATGCCTGCAGCTTGTTCATCAGATGGCCATCTGATGAACGTTTTGGAGCGTCCACAAGCATGTGGATGTACTACGAGTGAGTGCGATGGCCTCACTTGTGGTACGGTCGTTAGTATGACTGCACGAAACCTTAGTGTAACAAACAGTTACACTTCGGAGCAAAGTTCCGGCGGCTGTGAGGAAATACAGGCTGCGCCGAAGGTCCACCACTCGAATAGGTCGAGTGGACCGGGACAAAGATGTATCCCTAGCGGGGAACATCTAGAAGAGAAACCATCGATCGCTCAGGTTAAGCTAAACGATATTCCTAGATCGAATGGAGATTCTTTCGTAGAGGATCTTGCTGTTGTTGCGCAATCACAGCTAGAGGAAGTTAAGGGAACAAGTCCCAAGATTACAAATACGGCGGAAATAAGTTCCCCGAAAACCGAGGGAAGAAGTCCCCGGGAAGCCGAAGGAATAAGTCCTTCGAGGCCTGAGGGGATAAGTCCCCAGAAAATGACAGAGACATTGAATGTCATAGTCAATGATGGATCAAGTGTAGGCTCTTATAAACTTGACCTGATTGCGCCTCCGAAGTTGACCTCGGAGATCACTCAGTTGCCAACGCTCGAACATAAAAGGTTCTTGCGTGATCTGCGTAGTGGCAAAGTCAAGCAGATCTGCGTACTCGTCGCTGACGACGAGTGTGTAGCCGACATAAGGTCAGCAACAGTGTTTACTGAGAACGAGAGAGATCTCAGTAGTTCATCGATGGACGAGAGTGTTCTCGATGAAAAGTCACGAGTTGAGCGATATGACTCCCAATCGTGGGAATCGCTCAAGACAAATCCTCTCTACGAAGATTTGGTTGAATTCAAGGATGTATTCCCTGAAACTGTTCCGTGCGAATTACCGAAGGAAAAAGGTATTCGACACGAGGTCGAGCTTAAACCAGGCTCGAAGTCCTGTGTCATGAAGCAGTGGCCACTGCCTCGTGAGCAAGTACTTGCGATCGACAAGTTCTTTGCCGATCGTTTAGCCGCATGCCATGTGAAGGAATCAACCTCCCCGCATAGCTGTCCGAACTTCTGTGTGCGAAAAGCAACAGGAGGGTGGCGGATAGTGCATGCATTTAACAAGTTGAATGCTGCATCGGTACCGGCTCAGATGCCGATACCGAGGAAGGACGTAATCATTGATGGTATGTCAAAGAGTACCATCTTTTCGTCCATGGATTTGATGGATGGCTTCTATCAAATCCTTATGCGAGAACGGGTCATACCCTATACCGCAGTGAGCACGCCTAGCGGCATGCTCTGGGAATGGCTAGTATGGCCACAAGGGCTTAGTAATGCCCCTGCCACGTTTAACAGATGTGTATCACATCTGTTGAGACCAGTACGAGAATTCGCACCGAGTTATTTCAATGAGGTGTTCATCCATAGTCGGGCTATGGATGGAAATTCGGATGTTGAGGTTCACAGGTACCACGTCCGACAGGTTCTTACAATCATGCGAAAGCATCAATTGTATGCAAACCTCAAGAAGTGTATATTTGCCGCAAGCGAAATACCACTTCTTGGGTGCATCGTTGGTAAGAACGGTGTACGTCCTGACCCCGAAAAGATCGAGGCGATCACCGACTGGCCTGTGTCATTTGATGTCAAAGGTCTTCGAAAAAAATTTTGGGCTAGCGGCGTATTTGCACAAATACTCACGCAATTACGACGAGATGACTGTACACCTCTTTTGTTTGTTGAAAAAGAACGAGATGTGGTTATGGAATGCTGCATGTCAGCGCTCCTTTGATGAAATCAAGCAGAGCTTGGTACAATCCCCAGTCCTAGCAATTGCCAATCAGGACAGGCCATTTCATGTGGTCTGTGATGCCAGCGATTTCGCAATCGGCTGTGTATTAATGCAGTACGATCTTGAAGGCGTTGAACGCGTCGTCTGCTATCAGTCGCGCCGGCTGCAACCAGCTGAGCGGAACTATCCAGTGCATGACAAGGAACTGCTTGCCATAAAGTGTGCACTCGCGAAGTTCAGAGTCTATCTATTAGGAGACAGACCCTTCATTGTTCACACAGACCATGCATCGTTGCGTACAGCAGTTAAGAGCCCGCACGTTTCACAACGAATGGCGCGTGGTTGTCATTCTTTGCAGAATGCAACTTTACGGTCGAGTACAAACCAGGACGACTTAATGTCGTCGCTAATGCACTCTCAGGTCGTCCCGACTTTGAACCAGTCGTGAAACCCAACAGTGAGACAGTCACTGTTGCGGTTATGACGTCCACATTCCCATCTTCAACGTTGCATGATGATGTGAGGCGGGCGTATGCCCAAGATGGTGAGATTGTGAAGTTGTTGACACATCTATCACAGCCATCTCGAGAATTGTTTAAACGATTATCGTCTGCGTATCGATCTGCATCATATCGATACACTACTCGCAACGGGTTACTATATTATACAGCCGTTTCTGGCGACACACCACGTGTTGTCATTCCAGATGATACTGATCTGCGTTTGCGGATCATGTTCGAGTATCACGATGCTCCTATAGGAGGACATCGTGGCCGTGAGAAAACATGTCTCACGGTGAGTCGGGACTTTTGCTGGCCCCGCCAGTATCAGTTTGTGCGCAAGTATGTTCGCGCATGCAAAGTCTGTCAACGAGTGAAGTCAAGTCCTTCACTGCGTGCACCTTTACAGCCTCTACCGGTCCCGGCAGAGTGCTGGGAATCCATCTCAATGGATTTTGTCTTCGGGTTACCCAAAGACGCACGCAGAAATACGGGTGCTCTCGTATTTTTCGACAGATTCAGCAAAATGGTACACCTAGTGGATGTACCAGAGTCAATCACGGCAAGTGGCTGTGCTTGTGTCTTTATCGACACCATCTTCCGACTTCATGGGTTGCCCTGTGAACTCGTATCAGACAGAGATCCACGCTTCACTACTGATTTCTGGCGTTCCGTGTTCAAATCACTCGGAACGCGCTTCAAGATGTCGACATCTGATCATCCAGAGTCAGATGGTCGGACGGAACGAGCATGTCCTCGAAGAGATACTTCGAGGATACTTCCACTCCTTTAAGAGTTGGAGTGAGTTTTTGCCAATGGTAGAGTTTGCCATTAACAACTCGGTGCATGCGTCCACGACACATACACCGTTTTACGTGAATGGCTTACGCCATCCGCGTGTACCCACCTTACTCGAGTGTAACTTTGGTTTAAGGGGGGGGAGACTCGCGCGAGCAAAAGAAGGCTCGCTCGAGCAAAAGAAGACTCGCTCGAGCAAAAGAAGACTTGCTCGAGCAAAAGAAGACTCGCGCGAGCAAAAAACGATTTGGTTCACGCTCATCACGCTCTGACTAAGAGGTCGTTGCGTTTGATGCCGATATCGATAACATCGATATCGAAAAAGATGATGCCAGTGAGAGCGAGGAAGCTCTCACTGAAGAAAAGATTGATGTTGCTGCAGTGCACTCACAGCGTACTGAAGCTAACGAGTCATCCGATGAGTTCATACTGGCTTGTGAAACGGTACTTCGTACGGTGCAAGACTCCATCGCCGAAGCGATGGATAAGCAAAAGCAAAACGCTGACAAGAATGGAAGGGCAAACACTATATTATTTAATAAAGGTGACTTAGTCCTACTGTCTACGGTTAACCTACCAAAGCATGTAGTGACTAACGTGGGTTGTAGTAAACTTCTGCCCAAGTACATCGGCCCATTTCGTGTATTGCATCGCCTAGGCAAACGCATACACGATCGAACTGCCACGTAAGATGCGAACGCATCCCACGTTTTACGTTGGTCGGCTTAAGAATTACCATCAGTACGCTGTTTCTTCCGATGAAGAACGCCCTTGCGCTCAAGCACCTCACAAAGAGCCTTGTGCTCCCGATAGTGGATTTCGACAAGGCTCTGAAGAGCAGTTATCTCAGCCCGAGACCGGTCAATATCCACCACGAGCTACCCTTAGCTCGTCACGCAGAGATGTCAGAGATCTCTCGTTCTCAAGCTAAGCAAAGGCAAACTCAGCTCGATACTTCAAGACAGCGTCCGCCAGTTGAAGATGCATGTCCCGCTCATGTTCGAGATCGTCGCGTAACCCTTGCGTTACGCGATCAAAGAAGCTCTCGGGAACACACGGATCCCCATGATAGCTTAAAGAGCGTCTTCCCTCCTCCTCCACCTCCTTTGGAAGACTCTCGCGGTGGCTAGCGCTATCTGATTGAGCGGCTGTTGAACCACCGCGATGTGAACGGACGTCGGATGAGTTACCTCGTCCGGTGGCGCGGTTATCCCCCGTCCTGGGATACTTGGGAGCCCCGCTCCCAACTGATGGTTGACGTACTGGGTCTGGTTGAGCAGTACGACGCGGCACATCCTGTGCCGCAGAAGGACCGCTAAAGAAAGTCTTTCCGGCATCGGTCGTAAAGAGATTTCAGGTTGTCAAGTCCTTCGTACGTCTCACTAGAGATACGTACGCGCCACCACGGGCTAGTAAGGAGGTAAGCCTCCTTAGGTGCGCGCGCAGAGTTGTTTACACAACAAGGGCACGAGTCTCCCCAAGAGAGGCAGGGTAACCCACTCTCCCTAGACAGAAGATGCAGCTTTAGCGTGCACCTCGGGGTTCTTTTCTCAAACTTATCACGAGCCTTGATAAGTTTGTCGTTCCAAACGTCACGACCTACATCCTCAAGGTTATGGATGTAGGCGTTCCACGCTTGAAGTAGTGAGGGACCATCACGTTTGTGATTCCCACTGTACCATCGATGTTTAAAGAAAGCATCGATGAAGAATTCATTCTCAGCGCGATAGTCTTTCGCACTGGGGTCAAGTTGATGGATCCTTGACGAATCGAACAATCGTGTTCGATAACGATCACTCGTCGTCGCCGACAAGTGATCCATGACAGATTTAGGAGGCATCCATGCCTTCTTCTCGGGAGCGAGACGCAACACATTGCGGTCCCGCTCTTCCTGCGATGTGCCGACAGAAGTACTGGCACCTCGTTGCGAAGTGGTGTCAATTGGAGAACCGACACCACTGTTAGCGCCCGAGTCTTGCGACCTCGAGCGCCTTCGCTTCGGCGATGGTTCGTCTGATGAATCAGATGAACCAAAGATGCTACGACGCATAGCATCATCCATGCCACGCTTGGCAGGCGGCTTGGTTTCGACCGCCTTCGATACAGAGCCATCTTCCGTATCGGGAGAGTATGAGACACCGAGCTCATACTCTGTGAAGACATGAGTATCTTCATGACGAGCGCCTGCATCACCACGTGACACAGGCTGAGTCGTTTCAGCAACCGATGAGACATCAGTTGCTGCGGTTTCTGCTTCGGCGTCCGCACAGAGACGTGCGGACGCGCTCTCGGCGGCCTTGCTCGCGCATCGCATGGGCTTGTTTACCATGCGATGAAACTGTTGGAATGTGGACTCGGACCAACAAGTGCAAACCTTGTCCCAAATGATTTGGGACGAGTATCCATTTAGTCAATCAGTCACTAAAGTGACTGATGGTTAGGGGGGGGGTGATGTAACGGGGTGTATCGTTACATAACAATTTATAAGAAGTTGTTATAGAATATAACTATAAGAGTTATATTCTCAGAATATTGTCATAAGGACAAATATTCTGCAGCACTTACGAGTAGTTCTTAATTGGTTGATATAGGCCATTACATCAACTAACGAAGACGCGCCACGACAGACGCACGCAATGAGTGGTGAGCAGATAGTTGATATGCACATTTGTATTCAGACATAGTTAGATGAGGATAAATAGTGATTTATTGCAGACATTAACTATACTAAATACAGTTCTACTTTTTACTTTAACCAAGTACTCGCTTCTCCTTACCGTCTTCCTCTGCACGTACGAATGTACGTGAAGTTACGAGGCACCGCCTTATTCTGTCATCAGAATAAGTAGCTTGTACTGTCATCAGTACAAGCTTGAGGGTGCTTTGTTACACGCTCTGCATGACTGGACATACGTTTATGCCTCGATTGTGATGGCGCGCATTGTGATCTTCAACAGGACAAAATCATCGAATATTTACGTCGACACTGGTCACTGCAGCCAGTCTGTGTAAATGAATGGTCACATACGCGAAGTAATCCTACATGGTTCGTGTTAGACTATTAATCTCAAATCAGTCTGTATACGGGTGGAGCCCATGATTTGACTAGATTGACACTAATCAGTGGGTCTCTGGTTCGATTCAGTGGACCAAATTTTTTTTAAGAAAGCTTCTTGGCTGGGTTCAAATTTACTATTTACATTTCACTCAATGGTGAGGAGGGTGAGTTTCACGATCGTCTCTGCACATGTTAACATGAACAAAATGTCTGAAAAGTACTGAGCCAGGATACAAGCGCAGATGTTGGTGGCTTGTCGTGACTGATGTCCCATAAAGTCGGGTGTCCTTGCGGATCTTGCCGAATAAATTCAATACAGACGAGGAGACGCGCTCTGTGACAGCAGTGATCGCCGACCGATGTTCGTGTAGAGCGATCACCTTGAGCTGCCGCAGGCCGCTTTCCCAAAATGCAGACGCACTCCCAACTGTGGACGATAGCTGTCCACGAAATATCGCCTAATTGCGCTCTACTGAGAGATGCACTTGGCATACAGAGCAGAGTATGAACCCGATGCGTCGATATTCGTCCTTCCGGCCTTGTGAACGTCCTGAAAGATTTCACTCAATGTGATTTGTGGTGAGTTTGCCGCGGTTCATGGTTTTAAAGCATTAAAAAGAAAGACGCTTCAATGGAAATTGCGGTTATTCAAAGCAAACAATACATATTCCTTAAAGGAATTACTCGATCGTCGCTACATTGTTGTTCGTTGCCAGCAGTAAAACCAAATTAGGTAACAACACACCCAGAATTAGACGATATTGGAAATGGTTCGGTCACCGCTACCCTTTTTAAGAAAAACATGTGGTGATTTTGGTTTTGATATTTATTTATAGTTCTTAAATTTGCGTTCGATTTATGCTTTTGCTCACGCCAAGATAATTCATCTTTTTTCCGCATAAATAGTATCCTTTCATTTTCTTTGTGTCTGTTGTCCTCTTCGGATTACGTATAGAAAGTAGTGAGGTGCAAAGGATCGGGCTGGCGCGTTCTTTGAGGTGCGATGACACATGCGATATTGCCGAACAATAGATCCAGATTGACTATCAGATGCAAATTTTTATCGGTTTGCGGGGTCTACACACGAGAAACAGTCAAGTCTGTACAAAAGATTCTGGTCAAACTCATCATCTCTTATCTGCACTTGTTTGTAAATGCATGCTCGTTGCCATCTATGAAAGCTGACGTGTTCATCGTTATATCCAACACTTCCACTCGACGACGGCAAAACTCGCTGCGAAAATACTTGAATCATTATGTCCGTTGTGACTTTGTAAAATAATAAGCAACCCTTCAGTTGGTAGGTGTAACGGGATAGCCCACTACATGATTTTTTTTTTGTTTTTTGGTACATTGCAGTCATTTAGAGAAACTAACGACCCGAAAATGCCCGTCCGGTAGGGGCCTACATATCCCCCGCCGCTGTGCTAACTACCAATAGTGTTAGCCCAACAACCCAAGGTTGCTTACCAAGGGTCGTCCCCCTGTCTATCGGCATGTCTAGTCGTATCTCATAGCGTGTCATGCCAGTGCCCCAGGTCGCTACGTAAGTAGGTCGTAACGACCGCCCATTCGGGTGGCAACAGTGCCACTTCAGGACTGAGAACCTGTATACTGCGTCCTGAATCCATCGCGATCTTTGCCGTGGCGTTCGCCATCTTGTTAAAGTGTCGAAGGTGATGAGTCCACCTGGCCACGCCCAGCCGGTCCCCCACCAATCGACATTGCCTGTACAGATCTTTGAGATGTTGAGCCTGCGGTGGCCTCCTGCACCGTAGCTGTCCAAGAATCAGGTCACTGTCCCCAACGACGTGTAGGCGTTGTAGATGGTACTCCAACGCCTTGCGAAGCCCAAAAAGGAGAGCTTTGTATGCTGCCGCATTGTGTGTTGTAGTGCTTGCCGCGAGGGATACGCTGCACATTCAACGCACCCCGGCCGATTCTAAAGACCCAAATTTGTAATTATAATAGCGCCCGCACCACCCGGGCCGGGATTGCCACGAATCCCACCATTAAAGAAAAGCACGGCGGAGCTGTCCTCGGCTAGCGGAGACATTTGTGGCACTTCTTTTGTCACAGTGTCTTCGAATGCCGTGTAAGCCAAATCAGCCGCCGCTCGGGGATCAGGAGAAGTTGTCGCCATGGTAAGACCACGTAGTGTCAGGTAGCCCTGTCGTAATCGGCCGAAAAGCATTGCCTTCGCCCGGTAGGAAGAGTTGTCCAGGGCGCCATCCCTGCATTTACACCGACGAGCCCAAATGGCTTGCAGGGTGTGCGTGACACCAAGAACCCAAAAGTCCTCTAATATATCGAAACACCAGCTACGTATTCCTTGCCTCCGATCCGACGGCAAGTGACCATATAAGCGCCTCACGTAGATCCAGATACCCCTGGGTACCTGAGGTAAACTGAGGCTAAAAATTGCCTGTAAGTCCCCAGACGGGTCCGCTAAGCCTAGCCTCCCCCATGGTTCTGCAACGACCCGCCACAGAGTCTGCGCTGCTGTACAGTACCACCATTGGTGCGAATAGTTCGCGTAAGTGTGAAGACACTCCGGTAAGGGGCACCCCGGAACCTGTCTTTGCGAGTCCCAGATGGAAGTGGCTCTCAGCTTAATGCGATGCCATAGCTATTCTGCCCAAACCGTACCACCAGTTATGCGTCGAAGTTTCGCCCACGAGATAGTGTTCAGTGCCTCCCCTAACCGCATACTATCGCCCGACCAGGCCAATTGCCGGTGTTTGACCTCCTGCAGCCCTATCCGCCGGGCCTCAGCTAAGACCGCCTATTTGTAATGCGCTCTGGACCACGTTAAGTGTCCTCGGGGTATTCTAATCTCCACCGCCCTGTGTAAAGCCGGGTGAGGTCCCACTTTACAGACTTGATAGGTCCCCCCAGCCCACTGCTGAATGACGAGCAGTGCCTCGTCCCACGAAGAGGCAAAAAAGGTGTGAGCTGTGTGTGTACCGTCCGTCGTAATAATAAAACGGACACCACCATCGTCTCGTCTCTCCGAAACGAGCCATACGTCACAGGGGCGTCAGAAGGCACTGTCACGATCGGGATTAAAGTCTCGGGCCTCCGAGCATGCATAATTTCAGTAAAATTGGCAATCAATGCAACCAGAATGGGTCTGAAACGGGGACTTGGCTTAATTCGTCGTATTGTAAAGACGAGAGACGACCCAGAAATCGATGCCCAGAAAATTTAATTGCTGACAGGGCCTGAAGACAGCTCCTGGATCCATTTGTCCGAGTCTGGCAAGGGGTTGCCGCTCTCATCGAGTAGCAAAAAAAAACGGAGCTCTAATAACGGCAACCCTTGCTCCACCATCGGTTCGTAAGTAGCTCGAAGAAATTTACGGAAGCGTGCAAGGTTGGCACCAAGAAGTGACGAAATGTCGAGTGAGCAGGTGTTGTGTTCCCACCGAAGACACAATGGAAGAGCCGCATCCACAAGGGTCGCAAACTCTGCTACAACGGTCATGTGCTCGGGTGTCGGGCGTGGGAGACCATGCTCGTTCATCATGCGTCCCCCGCTGTCCACACCGTGTTCCCAACCCGAAAACCCGAGAAACGACGGGCCGTGTATCCGATCGTACAGCTGGTGGGGTGTAAGTTTGGCAGATTCTGCGAGGCCACCAGAATGTCACCTACGAGCATATCCGTACCCCGCGCAGTAGAGCTCCATTTTTCCACGGTGATTGCAGCCATAGCTAGTAATTCAGCGTAGAGTTGGGGAATAGCTAGCCCCTCCCCTCCTTGCTGGAAAGGCCGGCAACACGCTCATTCAGCCAGGTCGAACAACGACTATCGAGGTCGCCATAATATCCATGCCAAACGTAAGCTTTAATAAACTTGGTAAAACGTTTTACCGTTGCGGTGGACGGCCACGCATGGCGTGCCACGTAAAGTAGCTTGAAAATGATGATGGCCTTCGCCATTGTGGCTCGTTTTGCCACGGTAAGTGTCTTATGGCTTGCTAACCTTAGCCTCGACCGAAGTTGAGTCTCAGCAAGAGCCCAAGAGTGATCGGCTCCTCCTCCGCATCCTACCTGGAGACCAAGATAGCGTGTATAGACCGTGACACCTTGAAGTTTTATCGGCCACGGCCACGTAGTATCCGGAAGTAGTCCGTCTGGGTACAAAGCAATAGCCAACGTTTTTGAAATGTTGAGCCGCAACCCCGAGGCCTCGCCAAAAAGGGCTTTTGTAGCGAGAACCTTCGGGATTTCGGCTGGCGTCTTAACGTATATGGCCGTATCATCCGCATACCCTGCGACTTTTAACGTTTTCTTGTTCGTAGAGGACTGTAGCAGGATTTTCTCGAAACCCGTTTGGTCATCCAGCTTTTGATAAAGTGGCTCCAATGCCAAGATGAAGAGTAGTGGAGCCAGTGGGCATCCTTGGCGAATACCTCTGGTAATCGGTATCTTGCGCGAGCGAGTCCCGTTGGCTAGAAACCAGCCGGAGGTTCCGTGATGAAGGGACTGGATGACATCCACTAAATGGCTAGGTATCCGTGTTGCCTGAGTGCTGCAAGAAGATGTGCCCGGTCCAACGTATCATATGCTTTAGCAAAATCCAATAAGAGGACTGCCGCATTACGGAAATCTTCCGTGTGTAAGGCGACGTCTTGGGCTGCGTGAAAGTAGTCTATAACCGAGTGAATACTCCTGTTCGGCACAAATCCATGTTGGTGCAAGTGGATCCGCCGGTGAGGGTGCCCCGCAACTGGGTCGCAATGATCCGCGTCATCAGCTTGTAATCAGAGTTAAGCAGTGATAAGGGGCGGTAATTGAGCGGGTTACTACCTTTCCCTGCTTTTTTTAGGCAGAATACGTCCGTCTCCAGAATAGAGACAGGGAATAAGTTCGCGTTATACCACGAAGTAAACATGTGCAGGAGCAACGGAATCAGAAGGTCGGAATACTGGATATACCAGTCATTGCCGAGGCGATCGGGCCCGCACGCCTTTCCCCTTTTAAGTGACTTGATGGCATTAGTTACCGTCGTCGTCGTAAATAGATTATTCATCTCCAGACAGCCTAGGTCGTCAGAGAGGCCCCGAGCCATCCAGTCTGTTATGGATGCCGGCGGGGCGGCTGCCGCTGGCCCGTTGAGAATTGGACTCCACGCGTCCGCGAGTATGTTTGCCTTGTCATGCTGGTCGCGGGAAGGTTGGTCAGTTACCGGTGTTAGAACGGGGATGACATTGTCCCCGAACTTACACGAAATACGCCTAAAAAAATCCTTAGTAGTCTGTCCCCTACGCCAAGGTATGTTGTCGAAAAAGCCGTCGCTGCTTGGATCGAAGCCAGTTCCGTTTAGTGGTCGCAATGACCCGCTCTAGCTCTTGAATCCCGTCATTATGATCAATTAGGGTACTATCAGGTCGCCCTCTCAAGTCCGACGCGGCAAGTATGTCCTGCAGTCGATCATAACGTCGATAAAGTCGTCTTATCTTTTTGCGATACGTATTGGTTAGACTTTTCTTCGCCTCGTGTTGGCGGGATAGAATGCCCTCAACCAGAGAATGCTTAAAGGAGACCCATTTAGTGGCCGCCTCTGCCGCCAACATATCGGGGTGGCTCATGGTGGTGGAGAGCAGATTTAATTGAGACCGGACGTAGTCATCTACCCGTGTCTGAGCATACGGACGGACAAGAAAAACTCTCGGTTCCTTTTCGATTCTTACTGGGTTTGCGGGGTCTCGGAGATGAAGTATGACTCCTTTGTGGTCTCCAGTGAGCCCGTATCTGTCTAGTTCCGTAGTTAGCGCCCAATAACGGGCATCATCATTCACGTAATAACGGTCTAGCCGACTTGAAGCTCTTCCATGTCCCGGCACCGTATACTCATAAGTATGGTAATTAGTGCGGTACTGGTGCATATCCTTTTTCTCTTGTAATCGCGGCATAGCGTAAAGGGTTGAGTCAGTTAGCACCCAATTTTCCAGCAACAGCCTGAGTGCCGGCGAGTCATGGTTCGTGAGACTACTGTAGCTGCAACCATGGTCAGGGTGGAGAGTGGAGTTTAAATCCCCATCAACGTAGAGGTGAGTCCCTTGGGTGTAACGGGGCACCCTGAAGCTTGTACTGGTGACAGTACAAGCTACTTATTCTGATGACAGAATAAGGTGGTGCCTCGTAACTTCACGTACACTCGTACGTGCAGAGGAAGACGGTAAGAAGAAGCGAGTACTCGGTTAGAGTAAAAAGTAGAACTGTATTTATAATAGTTAATGTCTGCAATAAATCACTATTTATCTTCATCTAACTATGTCTAAATACAAATGTGTAAATCAGTTATCTGCTCACCACTCATTGCGTGCGTCTGTCGTGGCGCGTCTTCGTTAGTTGATATAATGGCCTATATCAACCAATTAGGAACTACTTGGAAGTGCTACAGAATATTGTCCTTATGACAATATTCTGAGAATATAACTCTTATAGTTATATTCTATTAACAATTTCTTATAAATTGTTATGTAACGATTCACCCCGTTACATCACCCCCCCTTAACCATCAGTCACTTTAGTGACTGATTGACTAAATGGATACTCGTCCCAAATCATTTGGGACAGGGTTTGCACTTGTTGGTCCGCGTCCACTTTCCAACATCTCATCGCATGGTAAACAAGCCCATGCGATGCGCGAGCAAGGCCGCCGAGAGCGCGTCTGCACGTCTCTGTGCGGACGCCGAAGCAGAAACTACAGCAACTGATGTCCCATCGGTTGCTGAATCGACTCAGCCTGTATCACCTGGTGATGCAGGCGCTGGTCATGAAGATACTCGTGTCTTCACAGAGTACGAGCTCGGTGTCTCGTACTCTCCTGATACGGATGACGGATCCGTATCGACGGCAATTGAATCCAAGCCGCCTGCCAAGCGTGGCATGGACGATGCTTTGCGTCGCAGCATCTTTGGTTCATCTGATGAGTCAGATGAACCATCGCCGAAGCGAAGGCGCTCGAGGTCGCGAGACTCGGGCGCTAATAGTGGTGTCGTTTCTCCAATGGACACCACTTCACAGCGAGGTGCCAGTACTTCTGTCGGCACATCGCAGGAAGAGCGGAACCGCAATGTCGTGCGTCTCGCTCCTGAGAAGAAGGCATGGATGCCTCCTAAATCTGTCATGGATCACTTGTCGGCGACGACGAGTGATCGTTATCGAACACGATTGTTCGATTCGTCGAGGATCCATCACCTTGACCCCAGCGCGAAAGACTATCGCGCTGAGACATGAGTTCTTCATCGATGCTTTCTTCAGACATCGATGGTACAGTGGGAATCACAAACGTGATGGTCCCTCACTACTTCAGGCGTGGAACGCCTACATCCATAACCTTGAGGATGTAGGTCGTGACGCTTGGAACGACAAACTTATCAAAGCTCGTGATAAGTTTGAAAAGCGAACCCCGACAGGTGCACGCTACAAGCTGCATCGTCTGTCAAGGGAGAAAGGATTACCCTGCCTCTCTTGGGGAGACTCGTGCCCATGTTGTGTGAACAACTCTGCACGAGCACCTAAGGAGGCTTACCTCCTTACCAGCCCGTGGTGGCGCGTACGTGTCTCTACTGAGATGTACGAAGGGATTGACAACCTGAAATCCCTTTACGACCGTGCCGGGAAGACTTTCTCCGGCGGTCCTTCTGCGGCACAGGATGTGTCGCGTCGTACTGCTCGACCAGACCCAGTACGTCAACCATCAATTGGGAGCGGGGCTCCCAAGAATCCCAGGACGGGGGATAGCCGCGCCACCGGACGAGGTAACTCGTCCGACGTCCGTTCACGTCGCGGTGGTTCAACAGCTGCTCTACTAGATAGCGCTGGCCACCGCGAGAGTCCTCTAATGGAGGTGGAGGAGGAGGAAAGACGCTCTCCACACGATCATGTGGATCGGTGTGTTCCCGAGAGCTTCTTTGATCGCGTAACGCAAGGGTTACGCGACGATCTCGAGCATGAGCGGAATAGGCGTCTCCAGATGGTGGACACTGCCTTGAAGCATCGAGCTGAGTTTGCCTTTGCTCAGCTTGAGAACGAGAGATCTCTGACATCTCTTCGTGACGAGCTAAGGGTAGCTCGTGGGATTGTTGATCGGTCTCGGGCTGAGATAACTGCTCTTCAGACCCTTGTTGATGCCCACCATCGGGAGCACAAGGCTCTCTGCGAGATGCTTGAGCGCAAGGGCGTTCTTCATCGGAAGAAGCAGCGTACTGATGTTACGGCTTAAGCCGACCAACGTAAAACGTGGGATGCGTTCGCATCTTACGTGGTAACTCGATCGTGTATGCATTGCCTAGGCGGTGCAATACACGAAATGGGCCAATGTACTTGGGTAGTAGTTTACTGCTACCCAAGTTAGTCACTACATGTTTTGGTAGATTAACCGTAGACAGTAGGACTAAGTCACCTTTATTAAATAAAAGAGTGTTTGCCCTTCCATTCTTGTCAGCGTTTTGCTTTTGCTTATCCACCGCTTCGGCGATGGAGTCTTGCACAAAACGGACTACCGTTTCACGAG